ATTTGTTTATATTATTTAATAAAATGTATGTAAAGTTGATGGAGATGATTTTCTACAGTATTTTGTGTCGAATAAACGCTGATGTGTTATCATTGACATGGCCAATTATGAAATACTGTTCCTATGTTGATTCAGTTGCTGTTTATAAACATATTTCAATGTATGATGAATGGTTTTGTTCAATCATCACTGAATGTTTTGTTGAGCCAGTAATCGATATCCCGAATTCCACTATGAATAACTTAATTACTAATACATTCAGATGGTTTGGGTTACTTACACTGTCATCCGATATTCTCTTGCAGAAATACGCAACTTAATTTGCATCATAATACGAAGGATTCGTTATATTTTTTGTTGATGTTTTTCTATCTTAAAGCAAATCTTTTTCAAATACATTGACTAATCATGATAAAAACTAGAACATGAAACAATTCTGAATATTCATCGAGAGACTATTCTATTATATCGATAATAGTTATACTTGATGAGAAATAGTTCAATTCAATATACATTTGCACGGTATGAAATGGTTGTAGATGTTTTTTTACGGAGATGTCAGCTGATGCTATTACTCCTGGAAATGGTAATTGCATTCAAATCATCATTAACTACCCACGTCAACAAAACTATAAAAAGAAAAAATTCTATTATACTCTATTTATTATTCTATAAAATAGTATTTTTGAATAGTTGCTCTGAATTCGTTTGTAATTTCTTTTTCGTTCTTTTTCTTTTCTGTATACTTCATTTTAATAGAGAAATCTGACGATGCATTTTTTATTTCTTGTATACGTAATAAGATCGATATACATATATACCATTCAAATTTGAATCTACGATAAATGATTCGATTTTTTTTGGTTATTTCGATTTCTACTCTAGTGTTTGCTGTTTTGACACAAAATGCAGGTAGTTATTTTCTTTAGAAAATCTCAGTGAGTTTAATTTAAACTATTCTTAGTAGCCAAACAAACTAAATGTGGAGAAAATGAAATATTGGTGAATTGTGTTGAACCATGCCAACCTTCTTGCTCATGGACTAATCGACCGAAATGTCCTACATTTGCTTGTTCACAGGGATGTGAATGTGCGAAGGGATATCTCCGTGCTACCAATCAAACGAGTAGTTCATGTGTCAACTGTAACAAGAAAAGTATTCACTCAAAACTTATTTCTCCTTGATTATTAATTTTTTCGTTCACAGAGGCTTGTGGCACAAACGAAAAGTTAGCATCATGTGCTAGTCCATGTCAACCATCATGTTCGTGGAAAAATCGTCCTTCTTGTCCAACACTAATTTGTTCAGAAGGTTGCGTATGTGAGAATAATTTTTATCGAACAACAAATGATATAAGCAGTCCTTGTATTACGTGTGCCAAAAAATCGAATTGATTTTCTCTTATGTTGCTTAAGATAACTAAAATATCTATTTAAACAAACATAATATAAATATTAAATATAGATAAGATTCTGATACACCAGGACGTAAATAATATTATTTAAATTGATCTGTTTTATTACAATAGTACAATTGAAAAATGATGGTGATTTATGACTGATTCAAGTCATGTTTTGCTGATATAAAAAAAATTCTTCAAATTTAATTCATGATATACCTGATAAAAAATATTTGAAATATTTTTTCATTTCATTTAATTAAATGAACTTCAACTACAAAATATGAAATTGATTATTTTTAAAAAAACAAAAATTGAATAAAAAAATAATAAAAACGCTTTAGTCTCTTGCGTAATTTGGTTGACAAATTTGAAATATTACGAAATTCATCGATTCTTTTTTTATAAAATATTAGAAAAATCAGTCGCATCTAAGGTATCATTTCATTATCGATGTCTGAATCTTTCAGAAAGCTATCTTTAAAGACGTCTTTTTTTCATTTTCACAAAGACGATCCATTAATGACAGTGATCTCGTCATGTCTGAGTAGATCAATTATTGTTCATAACTAAAAAAATTTCTTATTTTAAAAACAAAGTTTCTTCAAATGGATAACATATATAATATAATAGTTTATTATTAATGTTTTGTTGATCTTACATTTACTTTTTATGTAATGTGAATCTTGATCAGTTACTCGAATAATTATCATTCCTGATCGATATGTAAATTGTTATTGAATTTCCTGATCAAACACTAAGTTTAACTGACTTCAATGGCATTCATTATCAAGATCAAACATATCTATCTTGATGATGAATTAAATTATCGAAAGAGTATTATAAGATTGAATATATAAAGCTCAATAATGACGATATATGATCTAGAATAAACAATACAGCATCTATCCATGACATATTCAAATCAAGCTATATATATATATCTGAGAATATACAATACGTAAATTTTTTGTTAGTAAAAATATTAAAAATGACAATGAACCATATCTATGACTAATGTCCGCATCAAAATTAAAGAGAAGTGTTTGTGAGCTCAATAATTTGACAACGACAACAGTTAGTGGCTTTCTATTTTCAGCAATCAAAACAGGAGAATTTTGGATGTCTTTTTGTCTGATATTATATAAGAAAAAATTATTTTAAAATCTATTATCTTTGCAAAACATCCAAAAAAATGCATGAAAACAGTATTCTATTTCGATGTAATTGTGATTTTGACATGTGTTTTAGATAGAACAACTTCAGATCTATAGTTCATGGCATAATTCATGTGATTATCTTTCCACGTTTCAATGTTGAGCAAACCAAATTGCATAGATATTCAGTCAAATTCTATAGGATTCTGTTAGCTCGTAGCAAATTTTCTGAGTTTCTATCAAAATTTTCTTGAAATGGAACATCGTGTCATACATATTTTTGAATTGTTTGCGAAGATGATAGGTTTTAAAATAATTTTGTCTTATACAGTATCAGAAAGCTTACAGCCATCCTCCTTTAATTTGGGCGCGGGTGTTAGTTTTTTTTTTATGATGACCAAATATTGAAATAAAGACTAATAAATATGTGCTGAATATGATCGTATCGTAAAGAAATCAAACTTAAATATGTCTTGAATAAATTGAATCTTATCTGTGCAGAAGTGTTTTTATGCTATGTTAAGTTTCCCGTAATCTAAAAATAATAGTATCGAACATGATCAGTAATATTACATTGATGCATAGATATTCATACTTATATTTATGATTTTGAAATGAATAGAATCTATCCTTCAACTTGTCTATTTAAACAAAAGAAAGTAATCAACATCATCTGACGTGAGTTGATTTTTAAATAATTCGAATAAAACATTTTTATTACATCATCACTCTTGATATTGATAAGTACTCTCTCTTTCTGTCTCGCTTACTGAAATGAAAATGTTTGCCTAGTAATTATTACTCAGAGATTGATACAAAAAGAAATGCAAAGAATGTTTATTGACTGATCTATGAATATGGATTCTTTTCATCAAATCTTATATTTCTTCAACGAATTTGTATTTTATATGATTTATTCATTTCATCGATTGTTAATGATAGGTTACTGATTTTCTTATCGAAATATTACAAACTTTTTTTCCTGATCAAATACAAGAGTATAAATTTCATTTTTTTTTTTTTTGTTAATGTTTCATTTAATAAAACATAATGACTCCACTTAACACTGATGCTTGACATTATGTTCTATGCGATTTATTATTATTTTATATTGAATGTATGTAAAGAAATACAAACAGGTATCAATATAAGTGCAACAAAGATAAGATTTGTACAAATAGCTTTGTTTTAATGAGACATAAGAAACGCTTATTATCAATGATAAAAAAGTTAATTGAAAAGTATAGTTCTCTATTCAAAAGGAAATAATGATGCAATAGTCTCTGATAAGTGATGTATATATGTGTTAGACGATTGAATACTATTTCTTGAACTAACTATAATTGCATTCATGATTATCAATGATCGTATTGATCAGCAAATTATAAGAGCTTGACATTAACCGTAGCAATTATACTGGAATAAAATAAGCAAGACATCTTTATGCAAACAAACAGTTTGCAACTTATAAATCTCTTAATGTCAATTAGCTCTTGTAATATCATTAATATCATTTGCCACCAAGGTTGATATATCTACATTAGTATTTTATGAATTAATCATCCTATTGGTCAGTTATGGCAACTCAACAGATAACATCATCTATAATTCATTTGTAGTATACATAAAAAAACTGACGTCTTCAAGAGATTGATGATCTTAGTCAAATTCTATATCTGTGTTAAGGATGACACGATATCATCCGTTTTCTCTCCTCTTTCGTTTTTTTCTGGTTGACATCGATAGATAGTCACAATTCACACAAACGTACGAAAAAATATTGATATCAATAAAGAATATGTCTGATTCTAGGAATTATGAGAAGATAGTCTAATAAAAAGCAGATTCTCTGTGAATTATGAATAATTTTATTGCTGCAAGAATGATTTCTTTTGAGGATTATTACGAAGGACATAATGTCTATCGAAACAATTATTCGGGCGCTTGTCGACCTTGATCTTCTATAAAGATACTAACACTTGACTGCTAGTTATGTGCATGCCAACTCATTTTTTTTTCTTTCTTTCTTTCTCTTCTTCGTTCTTTCTCTCTTTCTTTTTATTCTTTATTCATAGTAAATCAAAAAAAAAAAAGGTACTTAGTTTGCAAAAGAAGAAGCGCAAAAATATTCGTTGTTTCCTCGTCTCATTTTATCAACAACAAATCTATCAGACGACAAAAAAAAAGCTATTTTTCTCTCGCCTTCTCGACTGAGGAAAGACGCCGGGATAATATTTTCTCTTTTTTTTTTCTACCATGTGCTGCCACTATAATTGTAAGTTGAGAAAGAAACCACAAGCATTATTGAAATAATACATTTATGAATCTGTTTTTTTTTAAGTAACTTGCAAATGTTGATAAGAAAATGAATTCTTGTAGTTTCATGTAAATGCATTTCGATACAAGATTACTTATCGTACATTTTCTATTCATTACCAATTTTATGTGTTTTTGTCAATATTCGGATGAACAAAGTTATTTATCATTAGTTGAATTTAGTCGTGGTGGTCTATCAACAAATGTGATACTATCATCACCACATGGTGGTTTCCTTGGCGCTGAGTTTACATCAAAAAAAGCAGGAAAAACATCGGCTAATGCAATTTCAACAGAACCGCTAGTGCAATTACCTATTGGTGGTTGTTATAACAATACATTAGATCGTTGTGTATATACATTACGAGACTGTTTAAGATCGGATAGTGATGATGGTGACAAAATTTCTTTTCATCCTGATGCACGATGCATTAGGGATCGTAGTTCAACATCATCCATGTATTCATTAACTAAAGCTATAGCTGAAGCATTTTCATCAACGCATCGTCCATTTACTATTTTAAATAAACTTACTCGTCAATATGTTGATCCAGCAGAAGATCTACTTACTGGAACATTTTTACTCGAAAGTTCTACTCGTGTCTATATTGATTATCATCGATTTATAGCTATGTCTAAAGAAGCTATACGTCCACCAGCACGTGGTCTTTTTATTGAATTTGTTTTTCATAAAAATTCACAAACAGTACAACTTGGTTATGGTTTTGAACCAAATCAATCATCAATGATTAGTAAACCAGCTCAATCAACAATAACTGAACTAGTTTCACGTTCTGGTCCTAGTGTTATCAAAGGAAATAATTCATTTGGGTTTTTTTTACATCACAATGGATTTCAATATGTTATTCCACTGGAGCATCAACGACAAATTAAATATCGTTTATCAACTCATTCCACGCGTATGCATGCTGATCAACGATTTAATGCAATTTTGTTTTCATATCCAATCGAACGTTTAAGGACGCATACACTTAAACTGGAAGCCGTGCGAATTGCCAAGGCTATCGAACAGTTCATACATACAAATAATATTAAACCTATTTCTGCATCATTTATACTTTGTGTCAATTCCATCACGATTTTGTTGTTATTCTTGTCACAAGTTTTCTATAATATGTATATTTATCATTGACATTATGCGGTTTTTCTTTTTCTTTTTTTTTTATCATTCTCTCATTGTTGTTATTTGTAATTCATTCTTCACGTACGCATCTTTTTAATATGACGATATTAAGAAATAAATGAAAAAAGAATAAGGTTTGGAGTGAATAGAAATAAATATGATCGAGCATTCTTTGATGAACTTTTCTCAAACAAAATTATGACTACCTCTAACACTAATGTATATAGTTGAACTTTTATTAAAGCACAGCAGGAAATAAATGTGATATAAAATAACATATGCTGTACGTCGCGTCTAAATCAATGGTGTACATGAATCGGATGAACACACTTTATGACCAGCTGTGACATAATAATCATTTTCTCCATTAAATTGAATACATTTTCTTTTTCTTTATAGTCATTATAATTGAACATATAAATTGATAGAGAAGCACACAACTGTTCTATTATGTTCAAAAGAAAAAAAGAAAACTAAATAATAGCGGACCTGCCGATAAGTATAATAAACAAGCAGAAACTCTGATAAATTTCATATCTGACAAAAACATTCATTTTAGAATCAAAAACAAACACAAGTTCTATTTAGATTAAATCGTATTTTTCATTTCTACAAGATTCTCCCAATGGACAATTCAATAATTGACATGATGTACATTCAAATGGTATTGTATAAAATAATGTAATTAATACAATAAATAATGCAATTGTTGTTGCTAATGCTGTTGTTATAACAACAAGACGACGAACATTTTTTTTAAAACTAACATCTGGAAAAACAATCATATTTAGCATAAAACCAATAAGAAAACCAAAACATTGAGAATAATTATCAACTAAGGGTAATAAACCAACCGTAAATAATAAGAAAAGGCATATAATTATTTTAAAAAATGGTATCCATGGTCTTTTTAATGAACGCCAAGCAAGAAATAATTCACTAAGATAACAAGCAAGTATTGCAAATTGTCCACCACCAGGTCCAACTTGAACTGAATCACGTAAAAATAATGCACTAGCTAAACTTCCAACAAAACCTGATACAATATAAATTATCATTACTCGTATACAACCAGCTAATTTTTCTAATGGACGCATTATTGTATATTGAAATATAATTGTTATTAATAAATGAATTATACTAAATAAAAGAAAAATAAGATTTCTTTTTTTGTTTTATTAATTTAAAAATAGAATTTCTACCCAGCATGAATAAAGATAGCTGTCCAAAATCGATAGACTTGATCAGGTAAACGAGCTAAAAATAAAAACAAATCAAACAATGAATTGATAAAAAAAAAAAAGATTTTGCTTCTTTACCAACAAAAAACTCCAGCATACCACAAACTTTTTGAATACAATCGACCTAAATGCAAAAACTTTTCTTTTTTTTTAATTATCGTAAATTTTATCTCACTTGAGAACATAAATGAGCTCGTGGATGATAAACTCCTCGTCGACGATGACAATCATCTCTTGATGTCAATATACAATCTCCTAGTACACCTGTACAACATGGTCTCGCTAAAAAACAATATTAAAATATATTTTTTAAAAAGTAAGATTTCTTTTAAAATCTACCTATATTTGTACATTGCATATGTGGATAAAGAGATATATTATTAGCAATTCGACTACGGTCTTGTTTGAGACAAATCTAAAAGATTTAAATAAATTTCTTTTTCTCTTTTAACTTATTGATTATCTACCGGCCATTTAACAGCATTTGGAGACCATTTCAAAATTTTTGAATTAACAAATGTCAATGACCATGAACTATCATCTTCTCGAGGTGTATTACCACTTAATTTTTTTATACATGTTCTGAAAATATAAATTCATAAAAAAGAATAAAATTCAATATTTTAATTACTCTGGTGTAAGTCCACACACAGCCGGATAAATAATATTATTTTGATCTTTAAGATTTTTACTTTTGAATGGTATTCGATGCCATGTTAAACCTGATCGTGACTATAGAAAAAATAAATAAACAGACAATATATGTTTAAAGTTTGACAATTTAGTAATTCGTACAAGACATTGTTGAGATAACGTTTGCATACAACGTCCAGTTATTGAATGAATACAACAACCAGACATAGCTTCTAATCTTGCTTGTTTTTCATATCGACTTTTAACTTCATCATGTACACGAATACATGGTGTATATTTTGCTCCTAGTCGAATTAAATCATCTGGATATGGACCAAACCATGGATTCATTGTTAAATCAAATTTTTGTTGTTTAAATATAGAAGAATTTTTCTAGAATAGGTTTTTTTTATTGTATGCAAAAAAAAAAAGAGAGAAATGAATTTTGAATAATTACAGATTGAGTTGATGATAATGGAGCATGACCATAAACAATTAATGAAATTATACAAACAAGAATTTGAACAGATGTTACCCAATATGTAAAATAAGGGCGATGTGAACGATAAGATTCACGAATTTCCGCTAATTTTTGATGTTGATGTTTTATTGATTGACGTTTAGAACGAGAAAAAATTGCACTAAGTCGACGATTTTTAACAAAAGCTATAACATACGAAATTTATTTCGAAAACAAAAAGAAAAAAAAAAGAAATAATTACAATGTAATCGTGGATGATTCGTAGAAATATTATTTTTTGAAGTAACAATAGTCGGAGTTGGAACACGATCATTATCAGTTTGTGTATTTTGAACACTAATAATAAAAGAAAAAAACATAAATGAATAAATTTTTTTTTTAAATATTTCTTATTTTACCAAAGATCTGTCTCTATACGATCATGTTCATTAACTCCAATAGGTTCTGTTGTTGTTAGATCTTGTTGACTACTTTTATTTGTTAATATAATATTTTTCAAACCAATACTAGATTCATCTGCTTGTTCATCTTGATCCTGTTCCTATACTCAAAACAAACAAAAAAAAAGCAAACATTTATTTTCATTCAAAATAAACATACAAAAATAAAAAGAAAAAGAAAAAGAAGAAAAACAAAGCAACAGCAAAAAGCAAAGGAAAGGGTTTCAATGATCGGCCAAGTGCTTTTTTCTTAATGCAAGCAATTTTACGTGCATATATAAAAGACACACATTTAAATCATGTGTCTACCTCATCAAATGATGTTGATGCACGTATTGATTTCGTACGTGACATCTCATCTACCTTGAAACAAGATGTAATTACATTAAAAGAATAATAACTTTCTGATAACTTACAGAAAGTAAATTACGAACACCAGTTACAGCCATACCCAAAATTGATCCACGTTTAGCATTTAATGCTTCAGAATCCATACTACCAGATGTGAGATTTTGTGATGTTGAAATAATAGGTCTGTTAATAATTAAAATAAGATATTTATTAAATTAATAATAATAACAATTTTTGCTACCTTTGTTCAACATCAGTACCTTGTTCATTGACACCAATTTGATCGGCCACATCATCTTTTAATTCTCCACCGAACATACTATATTTACTTAAAAAATTATAACGCCTTTGTTGCCAATTATCTTTATGTACTGCTGGAGCAGCAGCTGCTGCTAAAACTGGACTAGTATTCAACTGCATTACACTAAAATTAAAAAAAAAAGAATAAATCAATAATTCTTTCCACAAGGCAATATCTTTTTTATTCTCTTTTTTTTTTTGATTTATGATATGAAAACTATTTTCCTTATCTACCGATCATGTTGATTGATTTGTTCCGATACCGCTCGTCTCTTTCTTACAGGTGTTACTGTTACATTGCCTCCAGGTAATTGTCGAACAATTAAAGCGGTTGAAGGTAATTGTACTTGTGACTTAAGTCGTTTTTTATGCCTTATCGTTGACATTGCAAATTCAATTTGTTGTTCATCATTACTGTCAGCCATTTGCTTCTTTTGAATAGAAACGTTCACTTATGTGTAAGCTGTATAATAAGCGTATTCAAACAACGGAAAATTGCGAAGAAAGAAGTGGTATACTTCAGTTGTTCTGTTATTTATTTGAATAGTGTCAATAGAAAAAATATGAGAACGACTAAAAGGAAGCGTTAAGAGAGACATTGTGTAAGAAATAGAAAAATAATATTTCTATACAAAAGAAAATACAAAAAGAATTGAATTCCATATTTCTATCATATGATGACAAACTCAAATAAATTTGAAATACAAGATGACATTAATAATTATTTTTCAATCACTAGATGCAAGATAATAAATTTACTATAAGACAACAAAATATTATTCAATTCGAAATGAAGAAAAAAAGAAAAAAAATTTCTAAATATGTTCCATCAATAGTAATGAAAGAAGAAAGATAAAGAAATGATTATTGTAATTATTTTTTTTTTCTTTGATAGACGATCAAGAAACGAAGTCGATTATGTATCATGACATAAATGAAGAATTTTACTGATCTATTCATGAAAGACAGCTTGCGCATTTCTATTGTGATTAGTCAAGATGAAAAATGCACAAAAGTAAAAAAAAAAATAAGATTAATTTTATTGAATGAAATCGAATCTGATTAAGTGTAAAGTGTTGAGTTTATCGATAGAGAAAAAAAAAGAAGCTAGATCTTATTTATTACTATGTGGGCAAAAAAAAAGTAGGTAAATATGTTTTTCGATGTGAAAATGACAGAAAACTAATGGAAAATTATGCTTTTGACAGTGATACTTTATCATCAACAAATATATGTTTTTCTCATTTATGCAATATGTATATTGCATCGAAAATAGTTCATGTATACGCAGAAATATAACTATTAAATTATGAATTCCATATAGATTATTATTGACATTCGATACTTTTATATATTAATAAAAGAACTGATAGTGAAGAGGAAACAATAGTAAATACAAACGAGTGATTATTATTTCGTCATTTTCTCTAATAGTAGTAATAATATTACTGCGTATATCCAGCTGCTATTTTTTTTTGTTGTTGTTGTTTTCCTGTTCCATCATTTGTCAATACATACTATTATATCAATACATAGCACAATCAAAAACATCTTATGTATTCATATAAAACTAACTATAAAAACTCAAGTTACAAATATTCATCTTTTCTTCTCATTTGTTTAGTATTATATACAAATTGATAAATATTACTCTCACCTATTCGATTTATTTATTAACTCATTGCTATTTATTATTGTTGGAGTTGATAATGAGCAAAATAAATATTTATTATTTTCTATGTCGTGATGTTGGTCGATAATTTCATTTTCATTAATATCAGAGGATAATAAATGATAATGAATAATAGAAGACATTGAAGATGTCATGTTATTACTAGTCGATGCTATTGTATAATTTTCATCAACCAAACCGTTGTTGTATGTATATGAAAGAAATCAAGTTACGTTATTGACCAGTTCTTATCGAACTGCTCGATGTGTATATATGTGTATAAGAGTGTGCAAAAAAAAATCCTATGCTTGTTCCATGTATGCAAGCAAACTTGTTACTTATATACGTCTTTTTCTTTCTTGTATTCTTTTTTCTTATTGACCTTATTTGCGTTCGATCACAGGCATCATCATATCGACTTTTTTTTCTTCTGTTTATTCTTTCCAATAGATTACAATCACTCTGTATCAGAATTTCTTTCATATTCGACGATATTCTATCGTTATATTAGATATTCTTTTTTATGCGTCAATAGAATAATAAATAAATTGTCGACAAGATTAATAACCTATTATTCGTGTACTTTCTTTGATAATGTTCAGCAAAGTTAATTTTTAGTCGTGCTTACTATTTAAGAGAACAAGTTCTGGATATGTTTTATTATTTTGTTCTCACGCACCTCATCCGAGAATACGATTTTATTCTCGAATATATGATTCGAAAACGATCAATTTGTATATTAGTATCATAAATAAAATGATTTCAACAAAATTATAAATTGCGTTCAATTTCATTTAATCATAAATCGACACTGTTCTTTAAACAATTAATCAAATAGATTAAAAAGAGGAACATTTATTCTCTGAATATAAATAATTTATATTTTAATATTATATTCTATATGTTGTTTTTATTATTATATTATACGAATCGAAAGTATATTAAGCTTAGTGCAATAAAATAAGATTAAAAACGAATGGATCAAATTACATGACGAAAATTGATCTGAGAACTCTTACCGCTTTGTTAAATTATACCATCCAATTGGTTCATTATTAATAGTTGATGAAGTCGCCGATGTTGAAGGTTGTGTGCAATTTTCATGTTCAAGCACACTATCAATAGCTCTATTCCATAAGTGACGACTACGAGATTCGTTTTCATTTGAATTTCTTTCATTAGTTGGACTATTCGGTGTTGAAAATGATTTTCTTGGTTTACGAACTAATGAAGTTGCTTGTGAATGAGCTACAACATATTTTTTTCAAGATAAAGAATACTGATCAAAAAAGAAAAATTTTCGGATTTACATTTTCGAGTTGAATGAAATCTAGTATGATGACTCTTGTTTTCAGCCATTTGTTTAATAACAAATTATTATCATTTGCATTGAATAAAAAGAAAAAAAATAATTATTGTGTTTTTCGATTAAATTATTGTTAAACTAAAATTCTGACTTGATCACTTTTGTGATAGTACCAGTACTAATACAAGATAAATCAATATTCTATGTCACAAGCTGATAATTTAATTTATTGATTTCGCTGATTGGATATTGTGATTCTATATTGAGAGACATCTTAAATGTCATTAATTTGTAACAGATGACGCTGTATAACGCGTACTCTGATTCTTTTTTATGTGTAACATAGTATAGCGTAAGAAGGAAATCGTTGGTAGTATGGGGCAGTACCCTACAATTTTTCAAAAAAAATTCATCTGAGGTAGTATAACTGAAACGATTATTAACTTTTTCTTTTTCTTGTTATTAGGAGAAAAGATCATCATTGGAAGGGCGACATATCGCTTGGCCTATCTTTAGTCACGTCACTAGTGAAACAATCATTTTCTTTATTTTAAAGATGATTATAGATGCATGATAGATATTTATTTCAAATAAACATTATAATATCGAATAAAATTATGATGAAATTTTTCTGGTACCAATTTAGAATTCATTGTGTAATATTTATTACATTTGAATAATGATTTTATTTCACATTACGATCATTTATTTTCTTATAAGAATTAAATAATTTTTTTTGAAGATCATATTCTAGCTAAAATAATCATGAGCAGAAGGCAGATAAATGTGTTTTGACAGATATCTAGGGCTCGATATATAATTTAAACATGAATGCTTATCATAGCATGTGTTTATTATCAAATGTGTTTCATTCTCAAGTATATTCTGTTTCTTTTCGTGACGACAATCGAGTAAGGTTTGTTCTATTTCTTTTTTGTTCGATGCTTTGATATAGTTAAATGCACCTTAACAAAAGTTTTGTCTTATCTTATCTATCTTGTTTAACCATATCTTTTAATATGCTAAGGTTTTTTTTTTATTCTCCTATTCTTTTTATTTTTTTGTACTATCGTCTTTGCTCTTTGATTATATATATAAAGGGGCACGTACAGGAGAAAGGCACAGGTGTGTGCGATTGTAACACAAGAAATATATACAAAAAAAACGATTACCATTACCAATCTAGGTTAATAATAAACGTCGATCAATAGTTTTTACATTTTTTAAAATGCCAATACGATCGCCTATTTATTTAATTGCCAGTGGTGATTCTCGTCTTGCTGCTAATCAAACATGTTGGGAAGCACAAGATAAACTTGAACAAGCATTAGGTAAAGCTCTTCAATCACTTGGTCATACAGTAAAACGCGCACATGAATATGATAAGAGCAAAAAACATGGTTTTATTGATAGTCAACGTATGGGTATGAATGTATTTGCAAATTTACCATCTGATGATGTACCATTAATTGTTGCTGAAGCTGTTTGGCAATATTCTCATCATGTTTTAGCTGGTTTGACAACACATAAAGGTCCAATATTAACTGTAGCTAATTGGTGTGGACAATGGCCAGGTCTTGTTGGTATGCTTAATTTAAATGGTTCATTAACAAAAGCTGGTGTTAAATATAGTACATTATGGTCAGTTGATTTTACAGATAAATTCTTTTTAAATAAACTTAAAGAATGGCTTGAAACAGAAACTATTCAACATGATCTATCACATGCACGACCATTAAAAGGATGTAAAAAAATACCAGATGATTTAGAAAAAATTGGCAAAAAAGTAGCCGAAAATATTTTAAAACATAAAGCTATTATGGGCGTATTTGATGAAGTATGAATATTAGATTTTATTAGAAATTTTTGAATTTTTATTTTTGAATTATTTATTTTATTTAGGGTTGTATGGGAATGTATAATGCAATAATACCCGATGAACTTCTTCATAAATTAGGCATTTTTAAAGAACGTCTTAGTCAATCAGCACTATTTTTTGAAATGCAACAAACAAAAGATGATGAAGCTCGTGCTGTTTATGATTGGCTTAAAAATAAAGGCATGAAATTTGATTTAAAAGAACAACCAAATGATTTAACGGATTTAACTGAAGAACAAATTCTTTGGCAATGTAAAATGTATATTGCTGCTGTACGTTTAGCAAATGATTTTGGTTGTGATTTAATTGGTATTCAATATCAACAAGGTTTAAAAGATTTAGTACCAGCATCCGATTTAGCTGAAGGTTTATTAAATAATGTTGATCGACCACCTGTTAAAGATCGTACAAATCAACATGTACTTTTTGAAAATGCTGCTGTACCACATTTTAATGAAGTTGATGAATGTGCTGGTGTTGATGCATTTATTACAAATCGTATTTGGAAACAATTAGGTTATTCACCTGAATCAACATTACATGATGTACGTTATGGTGAAGATTATAATGGTGTATTTACATGGGTTTTTGAAATATCAGGTGCTGTTCCACCGGAACATTTAACTGATGGTTATAAAGGTGCTGTTAGTTTACGTCAACCACCAATGTACTTTCATAAAGGTGGTGGTACAATTCGTGGTATTTCAAAACCTGGTGAAGTTGTTTGGAGTCGTATATATACAGAAGATAATCGATTAAAAGCTGATATTGGACGAGCACATGTTGTTGAATTACCAAAAGAAGAAAATGAACGACGTTGGCGTGATACAACACCACAATGGCCTATTATGAATGCACAATTGCTTGGTGTTAGTCGAGATCAATTAATGGCAAAACATAAAGCTAATCACATTCAAGTTGCATATGCACCTACTGCTCAAGATGCACAAAAAGCATTGGCAGCTAAAGCAGCTTGTTTTCAAGCATTAGGTATTGAAGTTGTCGTATGTGGTACTGAAACAGGACTTGAATAAATTAACGAAGAAAATTTTTTTATAAATTAGGTTTTTTTTTTTTTTTGTAGCAATTTTATTTATCATTGTTTCAAATAATAAGAACAATTCATTTTTTTTTTTAATGAGAAAAAAAAACAAGAAACAACACAAAAATATGTTCTAATATATACAATATAAAAACAAAAAAAAAGAAATGTTTTCTTTTTTTACAAGAGATTCTATTAGAAATACTTAGATAATCTGGAGATTTAAGATAAGCGACTAACTTTTCGTTTCGGTGTTGTTGAAGATGATAAAGATTTTGATGAATTCAGTTCTGTTGGTTTTAAACGTCGTTCAATATCATTAAGAACAGGCTAAAAACCAAGAAACATTTTCTTTCCCAGAAAAAAAGGCTATCGGCACAATTCTTGCAGGATTACAATATGAAACACTATATAGCTACTATTGCTAATCATAGGGAGATTGTTTTACTCGATCTATTTCAGGACACATTTCTTCACTATTCTTTTACTTAACTTTTGAAGAAATGCAGTGAGGAAGTAGTTAATATACTAGAACGAGACATTATAGATATACGATTTTTCATCGTATATCAACAACGTCTGTCATGAAAAAACAGACGATTTTCTGGATGTGGATTAAGAGAACTGCACGCACTTTCATACTAGAGCCGGTCGAATCGGTCTCGGACCTCGTTTGAAGTTTGTGAACCCGGCAAGTTCTAATCTACGCCTTCATTTATCAAGAACTTTATTATTGATTTTTCATCCGTGCTTTTTCTATTAAATAAATTTAATTCAATTTAAACTGCTCATCTTTTTATATACTCAATAAAAAAAATACGCTGAAGTCTCTGTCAATATTTTTACCCTTCGCAATTTCTATTTTCGATCAAAATTGAGATTACTGGATAGATTTTGCAAGGAATGTCAGTGATGATCTGTAGATTCCATATGTTAGAATCTTTGCGGCGAGGCGGGTGTGTGTGTGTGTGCAAATTTCTACCCTCTATACTTCAAGAATTCTTTTAAATCGTGTTTTACAAAAAAGATCTATTCGAAATATAAATACATACCATAAGATATTTTTTCCATGCTAAATGTTCTTCTTTATCATAATCATCTTCATTTTGTTCATTTTTTTCCATAATATGTGGAAAATTTTCTTTTAATATACGATATGATGCTAATGTTTTTATATTAAGTTTACTAAGACAAAATGCAATATTTGCACGTTTTCGATCATCACCACTAAAATAAATTCAATAGATGAAATTTTATATATGTATTTATTTTTTTTTTTGGTTACCTTGCTTGTTTAAATTGTCTACAAAGACGTTTAACCAATATTTCACAATGACGATCATTTTTTATAAATGAAAAAAGATAGGAAATAATTTGATGAAATAAATCAAGTGTACATATATTATTCATTGATAAACGTGATATAATATCAGGTAAAACATTAAATAAAGCCATACCACGTTGACGTAAAGATAATTCATCAAAAAAATGTTGAGCTATACTTGATATTGGTGTATGAGAATGAAATAAGCATAATGCTATTTCACTAATATAACCACGTACCTAATTAAATTAAATTTCAATCAAAGATTTTTCTTCAAAAAAATTTTTTTTTTTATACTTTAATCATTTCTCGTAAAATAAGTATTGCAATAGTACATAATGCTGTTTCACCAACATTTAAATCTTTATCATGAATTTGTGCATAAAATTGTGGTGTAAATGGTTCAAGTATATTTGGATGTCTATAATTAAAATTATTATAAAAAATTCAATAAGATATTAACTTACCGAAGAAGAAGATCACCAAGAGAAACAATTAAAGCAGAACGTACAGATGAATATGTACATATTTTAGAAAGTTCAAAGATTCGATCGACATATTTTGAACATAGAATTGTTGAAACATACATCATACGAGTACAAGTTAGAATGCTTGTTAAAACAAGATTTTCATCATATAATGAATGATCCTCATAAATGAACTAGAACGAAAAAAGTAAATAGAATTCTTAAATTGCTTTTTTTCTTAACAGGATATTCTATAATGAATAGACATTTTACAAGTCACTGATTTTTGATTTTCAGACAGTCATAACTTGACGTAACACAAAGAACTGAAACTTACATTGCACTAAGATATATGAACATTCTAGTTTAACTAAAATTTTCATTTCATTTAGTTGAACTTTGATGACTTTTTAAGAATAAAAAATCGTCGTAACGCACACATCTAAAAGGATTCCGTTCACCGAGGATATTTAAAAAAACTCACATTCCTGGAAATTTTTTTCAGTCTGAATAAAATAGTTTCATTTACGTTTGTAGCAAAGACAACAGAACTCACGATAGTGAAATTTGTTCTTTTGGAAGTTTGTTCCTGGAAGGAAATATCATTGAAATATTATGGTAACGCCCTGAACTACCTTGTTTTTAAACTCAATCAAAAAGCATAGTTTTTACAGCTTTGACAACAAAAAAAAGTGATCCACTGATGTCAAACTGTAACTCAACGTTCGATAACACTACTATTATTTCTATTTTTTTGTAAATGGGTTGATGACTACTATTTATTTTTGTCATTATTCAAAACACATGCCAATTATCAATGTACAGTAAATGAAAATATTAAAAAAAAGATTTCGAATGAATAAATTCGATCGATTAGTATTCGACAAATCTTCTGGTCAACTTTTGCCAATCACAGTTCTTTTTAGTTGGACAGACCAAAATGTTCAGTGACGAATTTAGATAGGGAGGGGGGAGTAGAATCCGTCGAGTCCAAAATTTTCGGATCCGGACGCAGTCGAATCGTACTTTAATACTCTCGATGGAATCTTCCACCCGGAATTGGATAGTCGCTCTGAAGATACGAGACAGTTTTGTCCGATTTTTTGTATTCGATGACTAACGCCTCCGATACGTTTTTTAGACGACTAGAACCTGTGGGGTGCATTATTTTCGGATCCAGACCCGATCCAACAGGTTTTAGAGGAGGACGCTGAGGACGATCGTCCATCTCTTTCGAAATATTTTTCGATTTTTCTAAACAGAAAATGCCCAAAAAAGAAACTGATATAACCTCTACGGGACTCCATTGTTGTCATTTTTGATAAAATTTAACAAAGAAATCAAAGATCTATTTTTCATCGCTTCTGAATTAACAAAGCAAAAGAAAACATAATACTGTATTTAAACAGAAAAAACTAGATTTGAAATTATTATTCTTACTGTTTCAATCCATTTTTCAATTGAATAAAAAAACGAATTTAATTGAAGTAATTCATTTTCAAGATGGCTAAGATCCGACTGTTGTGGTTGAATAAATGTAAGATGATCTTCTGGACTATCTATTGTATCTTCATCTTCGTTATCAAATAATTGTCGTGATACTGTTGATGTTATTGGTGATGCTGCTGCTGCTGCTGATGATGATGATGATATAAAAGAATTTTCATTATTAGTTTCATTATCATCATCATCATTTGTAATAAAAGTATTTTTTTGTTTATGAATTTTTTTTATTGATGATAAATTATTACATTCGTGTTTTTGTATTCGTTGAGTTAATAAAGTATTTATTAATGCTAACATTCGAATGAATATTATTTTCCATGATGTATCATTTAATTTTGATTGATAATCAATATTATACAATGGCCATTGAATTTGATCAGCTAATGAATGAAGAAATTTCATTATTAAATCATTTGCTGATATTTGAATAGGTTCTCTAAGAAATAAAATTGTTATTATTTGTTTCATACAATTAATCCATGAATGTTGATTAGATTGTATATTAGAATCAAGTAATTTTTTAATAATTAAATCATAAAATTCATTTGGAATATTATATGAAGTTTTTGTTATTAATAAATTTGAAATAATTTGCATTTGATAACGAATATAATCAAGATTTTCTGTATCAATTTTACGTAGAAGATTTTGAATAATTGTATTGAAATGTGATGATAAACGATGTTTTTTATCATATGGAATAACAAATGATATTAATTGTAAAAATGATGATTGACGTTGACGAATTTGTTTTAAAAAATCATCAGATAAATATTTTTTTTGAATTATGTATTGTTAATTCCAAATAATAATCAAGAAGAACTTCAATAAAATGAAATATATTTGCTGTTATTGATGTAGATTCACTAAGAAGTTGTTTAAGTATATGTTCAAATGTTAATGTTAAATTTAAATCGATTTGATCAAGTAATTTTTCAATAATTTGTTTTGATGATATTCTATAGGAAAAAAAAAAAAGTTAAAATAATTATAAATCAAATTTTACCAATATATCAATCAATTTGAAAATGATGATAGAAAAAATTTAATTTTTAAAAAGTATTGATAAATCTAATTTTTCTTCAAATCAATTTGAACTACTATACTAATATTCAATTATTTTTCTTACTTGTCATCTTTATTATCTTCATCAATTTTTAAACATATTCTTTTAAATGCATTAAGAACAGCATTTGAAATATTCTTATCATTTGACCAAATTAATGAAAACATATGTTGTTCAAGTTTTTTATATATAGCTGATTCACATTCAAATGTTGACCACTAATAAAAAGAGAAAATATTTAAGAAAAAAATATTTTATTTTTACATCATACCAAAACAAGAAAATCAATTATTTCAAGAACATCACTTGTAACTTTTGAACTAAGTAAATAAAAAGCATCTTTAAAAAGAAATCTTCGAAGATGATTACAAAAATCAGTTGCATTATGTAAATAAGATCTAGAATAATAAATCAAGATAATAATAAAAAATATAATAATTTATTATCGTTTTCTTTCTTACACAAGTTTTGATTGTTTAACCATATTATCAAATAATCTTGTTGCTTTTTCACTTGGTTCTTCATCATCATTTATTTCAATATCAGAATTTGTCGATAAACAATTATTAAGTTTACTTTGTAATTGTATTAATATACTCATTTCAGCATTATATTGTTCAAATGATGGTAATGATTCATCAGTTAAATACATTGAACAAACACGTTGTTGTTGTTCAACAATACGTTCAAATAAAACATGTTGATTATCCAGATCATTCTCTTCTTCTCTCTCATTTATTTTATTTACATTATTTGAAACATTCTCTATTTTTAATGTTTGTCCTAATAATTTTTGTAATCGAATTAATTTATTCATTTCAGCATTATATTCATCAAGCATCACACCAATTGGAAGAAACTACAATAATAATATGAAAGAAAAGCCAGTTGTTAGTGCAATTTCTGCGGAATTAAAATGTGAAACACGATGTAGTTGCTGTTAGGAATACAATAAGGAAGTGGTTCATATATTAGAACGACACGTTATTGATATATGATATTTGATTGGATATCAATAACGCCTGTGACAGAGATGCTATGTATCTGAATTTAACTGCACTTTGGATTTTGATTGCAAGAGACTAGTCGCCTAGCAACAGTTATTACAAGTAAAATGTACATTTCAAATTGAAATTCTAATTCTATTCATTAGATATTATACTGTTATTTAGCGTTATATGTTTACTATATATTATAGGTATTTCTCACTTTCTAAAATTTCTTCTGCCCCAATAGAACTAAAAAACTACTCGTAATACACTCAAAAAATAATAGCTGGTGAATAATACAATAATTTCGCTGAGTTTTCCCGGAACTTTTATGTGAATTTCGATTTACTATCGAATAGTGCATGTCATTAACTCACTTTGGCGAATACGCAAAGGTGCAGAACAAAGTCATTATTGAGATACGGCGTCTCAAATATAACCTTCGATGTAGACGCATTCAGAATAACTTATATAATAATTATTTAACTTTCAGATCGATTAAGTTTTCAATAGAGAATACAAACTGAAATATATACATTTTAAAACTTCTACATCGATTGTTTGGTTATAAATATACTCCATAGATACTTTTCAACTTTGGAGTTCTTATCGAGAAACGTTGATAATTTACAAGGGAACCTCTCCAAATGCTAAATCATTTCTGGATCGAGACAATGTTTATTCAATGCGTATTGAAAAAGTCTATTCTCTCGGAATTATTATCAGTAAAAGAGGTTAGATAGGCACAGATAATCAGCATCAAGTGCGAAGCATAATCACATAAAATACTAAGTTATTAGTTACAGTAATCGTAGGGATTGCTTCTTGCCCCTCTCCCTTTTCCTGTCCACTGTAATGGAGGGCTCCAAATTTTTGCTCCTATATTTCAACACTCATTTTAGATCGTGTTTCATAAAAAACTTCTACTAAACAAAAATCTTTACCCGATCTGTGTATGGATTAAATTTAAGTAATTTTATTGCTAGTTGTATAGCATGTTTTCTTACAATACATGATGTATCATTCATTCTTTCCAAAGTTGCTTGTGTTAAATGACAATAAAATTTAATTGGAATTAATTTTGATTCAACTAAATTCATACATAATCCAATAGCATGTGATCGTACATGAACATTACAATCAAGAAAATATTGATCAATTATTAAAAAAAATAATTCACCACGTAATTCTTTATATTGAGATAATGATGAACAATAACGAATTATATTTACACATACATTTAATAAACAATTACGCATTTGTAAACAATCACTATCGAATAAATCAAGTAAACGATTAATATAATTTATTAAATGATCAGATATATGAATTGATAATTCATCAAGTAATTTTGCCATTGTACGAGTACTATTTGTTTCGTTTTGAGTGTTTGATAGAGAAGTATTTGAACGACATGAATGATTTGATGCAGATGATTGAATAATCGAAGGCGATAGACATATATGACACATATCACTGATAATAAAGATTTTCTTTTTTTTTTTTTATTATTGATTAAAATTTGTCTTACTTGATAATTCTTTCTAATAAAGTGTCTGTTCGAAAGTGTTTTACATGACATATAATAGCAGCTGAATAAATTGTTGCTGTATGTTCTTGGATTTGTAACATTTGAATTATTTTCATACTTGAATCTAGGGCATAAAATCATCATTTCATAGTTGAAAAATATATTTAAATATATCTCATGTGTATGATACTGTTTAATAATAATAAATTTTTCTCAGTAATGGATAGGGGAATTCTATCCTAATTAGAGGACGATTTCTAAATGGTACTCTCTAAAGTAACGAGAATTTTTTTAGAAGCCAATCAAGTGGTGCGCTCGTTTATATATGATTCTCCATACTAATTTTATACTAAAAATCTACAAAATTCATGAACAAATAGCTTTTATCTAAATAAAGCAATGAGCAATCAAAGCCAAAGATTCAGACGATGATTAGATTTAGAAAATTCATCAAGAGTAAAATTAATTTTATATCTAAATATCGATTAATATACACCATAGCTAATCCATTAAATCTTTTTTTACTTATCATGTTATCCTTTGAACTTACTTCTTTTTTGAAAAATTTATTTATATGGGGACATATTTTTTGCCTGAAAAGACAGTTGAATCGATAATATTAAACAAAACTATCTTAAAAATAAAAAAGTTTTACATTTCATCATTACATTTTTAAAGTTTATCGTACAATATTTATTAGAACAACCAGATCTTTCTATAAAAAAAAAATATATACAAACTCTCAAGACAAATGCTTAAATCCTTCTTTTTCAAGTTGAAGCTATCGTGTTATTTGATTTTGAATACTTCAAATTTTTGTTTATTTTTGAAGTCATCATCCATTTATCAGATAAGTGACTAATGTCCTTTTGAACTAATAGACGTTGTTCATCAAATAGTTTTACTGAGTATCAAAATTGCACTTGAACAAATGCGATCGACATTATGTTAGCGATTTTCTCGATTTGAGCATTTTAATTCATTTCTGCAAACATTTATTAGACAGATTCTCGAAAAGATTTCTTTATTACTTCTATTCGCGAAAAGTCTCAATCACCAGATCCTTGTACTCCTAGATCCGCCTCTAATTACTCGAGAATCAAACTCACAGAATTTTATCTTAATCGCTATTATTTTTTAAAAAACGGTAAATTAACAATTTTTGTTTTTAAACAATTTCTCTGATATTCGTGTATTTGAAAAGAACGAATTCTAGTTAAACACAATGAGATAGCCTAAACCTTTCCACACAATAGAAGACCCTTAGTTTTCTATTACGTTCGGCGCATTATTCCTCCAAGAATGTCTTCTATTGCGGTGAGGGCTTCACTTTTCATTCATAGCTATCACAATTGGATCATCATTCAAACAAATATTCTTCTATGTTGTTTCTGAATATCGACATGGGCCGTAATTTGCATACCAAATTTTCTCGAGATCTATAAATCATTCTATTTTATTTTAGTCTCTAGTCGATGATAAATGATGAGCTTTTTTGTTCTTTTAAAAAAAAAAGTGTACAATAAATACTATATTGATCCTATAAAGAGTCTCTTCCTTTTCTTCTTGGTTGAACATATTTTATTTTACCTCACGATTAAGATCAATGAAATTGATCTTTTTCAGAAAATTGGACACTCAGAATAAGATAAACAAATGTAAAGATGATTAATACACTTTCAGATTTACTTTTTCCTTTCTCTATGTTCGTAACAGTATTACAATATAAAGAAAGAAAAAAGAAATAGTAGATATGATAGTTATATTAATCATCCTAGTGTTTGTTCATCTTACCCTACATGTTCAATTTTCCAAAGAAGGTCAGTTTCATTGGTCGAAAGCTTTAATTGAAATAAAATATTTTCAATCAAGAAGAAAAGGAAGAATACGCTTGCCTTTCGGCTACCTTACTGTATAGAGTGCTACCTAGTGGCAGATTCATTAGCTCTGTATCTTCCCTACAACTATGATTCGCTGTACCTCTGGATAGAAGACTGGTCTGATGCAGAATTCTTGCACTTTCCATTTGCACTGACTACGAGAGCGGGTATATATCACAACTTAGCCAGCATACTATCGGATGGATGATCCACGACAAACAGTTATTAACGACTTGTCCAAGACCATGTCACAGCTTATAGTACCGAGGTTCGAACATAACATCTATTAGATACGTACAGAACAACGTAGCCAATCAAACATGACAATCTCAAAGTAAGAGAGTCTTTACATGAACGATGTCTACAATCTTCCTCAATCGTAAAGAATAAACATTACAATCAATGATCTACTTCTTCATTTACCTTCTTCAATACGAAACAGTCCAATAGTTAATGCCAATATAAATGATAAATAATCTTTCACTGTTCTTGCTCGTGATGAAAATTGATTATTTCGAATCATTGTTAAACATACATCCACAATTGTACTAAAATATTTATTAACAAACATTATTAAAAAAGAAAGAGAAAAATAAATAAATAATTGTCTTACTTTCCAATTTGTTGATCTTCTAATCGTTCAGTTTCATGCCAAAATTGACGAAGATCAAGTTTAATAAAATTTGTGAATAAATAAAGTATTTCATCACGTTCATTAATATACCAATCCATATGACAAATTTGAAACGATCGTTTTTGTTTTTTATTATTTGGAGTTCCAATATGTTGTTGTTGATCATTATCACTAATTAAATGCTCAAGCACAAGTAAATATCGACAAAGAAGATCTAATGAAAAAAGTATCATTTGACGATAAATATCATCAGCATTAATTTGTTGATGAGAACTAATTGATTGCATTTCATCTTGTATGACTAAAAACAAAAAATATTTTCATTTTGTTAAAATATCTTGTTGGATTTTTGCTATTTTAGTCGAAAATAAAAATGTCCAAAATTAGAATGAAGTTTTTTTGCATACTTTGACTCTCACTATACAGTCCTGGCCAAAAAGTAGTTGCTCCCAATGAAGTACTAATATCCTTCATGATTTTGAGTTGATAGTTTGGACGTAGACGTGCGACAATAAATCAAGGTCGCAAGCACTAATCAGCCCTTCACCGGTCCGCATATACTCGATTTATAATTTGCACATTGTCTTTCCCTTGTGAAAAGGATATTCAGTTGAAATATGTACCCAAAAAAGTTTTTGTCATTCCACGAGCTACTTTATTATTCTCAAACTCCGTGACGCATAGTCAAGATCTTAGTAATTAGCATGTTCTAAGATAGTGAACCCATGTCGTAGTGCTAATTCGATATCATTTCGTTCTGCAGTTATAAAACTTTCAGAACAGACTTGCCACCTTATAGGAACTTTCTATTAAAATTTTCACATGAATTGATCAAAGTCATTATGGAAAAGATCTATCTTACTAGAAACTAGCATTTGCTCTACAACAGATCTCCTTAAAGAGAAGACAATATCTCAGTTATTTTAAAGTGGTTTCTAACGAAATTCTGACTAGAGATAGCTACAACAATGGTCTTTCGAATGAGGAATTGGATGAAAATATTTGTGCCAATATGGTTGAGATAAGGCAATCATAAGAGGAAGATGCTATCTGAATAATAATTTCAGTATAAGTGAACCCATGGAGGATGAGTGGATGCTAACGATTAGGATTCATTGTCGTACACATACATTCAAAATATTAGCTCAGTATCATGAAGAATAGGAGCACTTGATGGGAAGCACAATATGCATTTTTCGCATGGCATGCGGACATGTGACTTTCTTGCTCAGAAACGGATTTCTTTGCTCAGAAAAAATGCCTGAGGGAGACCCTTGCCTGTAATTATTCGAGAAATTTTTTTTCTTCAAAATTATTTTGTGTCATATATTATTCGACGGAGTTAAATGCACTGATTTCGAATATACTAGTTTTTTTGAAACCCACTGCGTAGTCCAGAGATGTTTGTACTAACAGGAATTAGAGATAGTAGATAGAAGAACATTTTGACAAAATTTGGAGGTTGTATTGTTCATTTTACGGGACTAGCCGTTCGAATGACACTGTAGAAAAACAATATTTTTTACCATTGTATAGAGCTCAGCTTGAAGACTCAGAAAATGTACTAGATTTGTCTGTTGAAAAGTTTAATTTTGTCAAAGATGAATTTTCCTAGTGACATTGCGATTTTCAGGTAAATTTTTGGATAATTAGTTTTTTAGTTTGTTTAAGAGTTATAACAAAGTTATTCATACCATTAGATAGACTATATTGCGCAGTGTATTTTTCTATATTTAAACCTTAAAAAAGCACAATTTTCATTTTTAGTCCAATATCCGCCTATATGCCCGCTGTGGGAAGAGGGAACAGCTACTTTTGTGCACGACTGTTACTTTAAGAGTTTTTTCGAATATTTTTATGGTTCGACTAAATTAGAAATTAATATCATTTTGGTTATTTACTGTCTTTGAGAAGAATACCAAATACTTTTCGAACTTCATGTGATCGTTCAACATGCCTAAATATGAATGAAATTTATTTATTTTCTCTTTCAAATGTACGATACATACACAATAAGATCATCAATAATAGCATGTAGCTTTGACAGACTATAGGAAGGATTATTATGTTTATTCAATTGACATTCTATTATATAAATTCAAAAAAAAATGAAATAAGATTTTTTAGTTATGTTAATATATTAACCTTTTAACAATACATTTAATTCTTCCTTGCTAATGCCCATGATTAGTTAATTTTTTTGTTTTGAGTCTCTTATTACATCTAAAATTAAACAAAAGCGCCATTATCATTATCTATAATTTAATGGAAAATGAAAATGATGATCAAAAAGATACTTCTGAATCTGTACACTTATCAAAAGAAGAACAACAAACAAAATCTTATGGGTATGATGCATTCATACTAAAATATTTATTGAAAATCTGAATCGGTACTATTTTTTTGTTTTCTTAGAAAGAAATTAAAAACTAAACGACATTCAAGTTTATCTATATCTTTATCAAGTAAAAATGATAATGAAGAAATATCAACATTATCTCTTCATTCATCTTCTCAATCTATGTCTCATGTAATTTATTTTGGATGTGAACAACATTCTGGAAATGAATTATGGGATACATCTTATTTTCTTTCATTAATTTTTGAACTTTTAGATGAATTTAAAGATAATTCAAATGAAGAATCTCGTCTTACTGCATTTATTATATGTCGTCTTAATGAAATAAATTTACATTCACAAATACCAATTAAATTAGTTGTTCAAATATTAAAATATTTTCATAATGTTCGATTAAAAATTCTTGTTTTACTTGAACTTTTAAATATATGTGAAACAATTGATTGTACTCAAGGACTTATGTTATTATGGGAATTTTCATCTTATGGCTATATGATACTTTTTTATGTATTAGATCGAATTAAATTTTCGATTATTGATAAAGATATGGAATGGAAATCATTATTAACTATATTTGAACCACTCGAAAATAAAAAACATGCAGCTTATATTGTATTAGATAAAACAAATTTTTACAAACCAAATAAAGCAATAATTGTTTTTGGATCGAAAAAACTTGAACGATATTTTTAATTTTGACCGCTCATTCATATTGGCATCGTCTTTATGTTTTCTTAACTTTTTATTGGACTGTCCGACAGTACTATATATTAATCTATAATGATAGATGTCAGTAATGTGTAATCATCATTATATTAATTAATTATTTCAAAATATGTAAATAAACCTTCATGGTTCATAATTTTTATTAGTCATCGAAAAAAAAGCATAAAATTGATCAATTAGCAAATTCTATAAAGAAAAAGTAATAATGAGCTTTACGGTTATTGCATTCTTTTGATTTAACAATTAGTATCTTTTGATGAAAGTAAAATGTTCGAAAATCATATTTCATCTTTTGATTAAAATAATGTAAGACAAATTTTGTTTTAGCTTCAAAGATCATTTTATTGTTCAAAGTAAAAAAAATCGATGGATAGGAGAACTCGTGAGTCAATAGATCGATCATGATAACTAATTCATCAAAATTAATATTTACAATCGACTTGCGAATGTTTTTGTAGAATATTTTCTTAGGATTATTCATAAAAAAGTTACTAATCCTTTTGTTAACTGAAATTTTCATAATTTTGAATATTTTTACTATTTAACATATTGCTAAAGGTCAGGTTCTATAGTTCTTTTCGAACAGTATATCGAATTCAATGCTTTTTTTGCAATTGATTGTAATCATGAAAATCATTATCAGGTCATGTACATCATCAAAGTCGGAGAAGTCATGAAGTAAATAATTTTGCCTTTGTCTAATCTTCTATACAGATTCGAAAGGACAGAGCATAATAATACATTTATTAGTTATTTGCAAAGTCTTCAATTCATTCTGCATTATGTATAGATTTAAATCATAGATTCCAACATCGCTCTGATTTCTACATGAGTATATCGCTGTTTTGAAACATCTAAATTGATAATGAAAGATTTGAAGCTGAGAAAAATAATATTCGTTCATGAAAATTTATTTATTATCTTGTTAACTATCACTTTCCTTGCCACATTTATGTTTTTTTGAGGACAACAAGATCGATGCCATTAATGATGATTAAAGAAGACACTAATGAGTTAACCATTTGATTACACGGCTCGTATATATACGAGCTAAGCTTTTATACAGATTATAACTTTGATAATCTTCTCTTTTTCCCTTATGGTTTTAGTATGACAGCAACGTTAGATGATATCACTGTACATGCATATCAAGTGGAAAAGAGGAATAGTGGATTTATAAGTCTATGAGAATCCATAGGCTCTTTATATCCTAAATCGTTCAAAGCCTTGTTAAATCAAACAGAAATTAGAATTCTAGACCCACTGCCGTACTAGAAAGGTGCGATTACTACTGAAGCTTTAACATTACTGAAGACTAGGCGCTTAATAATTGAGCAAACATGCATTTTTATTTTTATCTTTCCAAGGATCCATAACCAATGGGTTAATGACGATGATTAAGCAAACAGATCTCACACAAGTAAAACGTCGCGTTTGACTTGTATGGATATTGAAAATCAAGTGATGTATAGGCGTTATTAGTGCTCAGTATAGTCATCTCTATTTTATACAATATAACATTTCTAGCAATATTCACTCTTGTTATCACGATTATTTCTTGATCTTTTCGCATACAAAATAGCTGAAGATTAATGTGTCTAAGAATAAATTTATCTTTTATAACTCTGTGTCTGAAATTTAGATAATTTTAAAAAAAAACAGAAAAAGAAAAATAATCATCTGATAAGATCAATTTTGACTACCGAATACACCTTTATCCACAATAAAATAATTACATCGATTCATTTTTGATATATGATAACAATAATCAATTGATAATGAACGTAAATGAACTACATTGGTTTTAATACTTGTTGTTGCTTTTCGTTCATCAAAGACAATTTGTGATTGTTGAGAATCTGGATGATGTTCTTCAATCTTTTCAGTTTTACTTAATTTTATACGACAATGAACAAGAAATGCCCAAGTAAGACCTAATGCTGGACCTAATGTCATCGATTGAGGAAATAAAGAACAATCAGATTTTTGACTAAATTGAGTTTGTACCTACAAACAAACGATATTATCAACAATACTGACGAATGATAAAATATCATCTATATATATATACTTGATTAACACACACAATAGCAAGATTATATCGATGACAAAGTGTATGCATTGCAAATCCAAAGTATTGTAGAGTAGTTGCTTTTTTATGATGTTCAAATAAAATATCTTCAGAACGGAAAAGAGCAGCTAATGAATCAATAATAATTAATCGAATATTTGGTTCACGACTAAGTAAAAGAGGTAGTCGATCAATAAGTGTCATTTCTAAATGATGCTAATATAAAAATGATATTTTAAATATTTTGAAATAATAAAAAATATACAAACATAATGTCGAATAATATCAATATAAATATTATCAAAAAATTTTTGTTGTAAACATCGAGCATCAGCTATATTAAATGGTTTATCAGTTTTTGCACGATAATAAGAAATATGTCTTAATCGTTTATCAATTTTTTCAATTTGAGATTCTGTATTGATATAGACTACCTCTATGAGAAAAATAGTTATATAAAAATAGAAATAAAATATATTAAAACTTACTGGCTTCTTGTCCTTGAGCTCGAAATGTTCGTTGAACTTCTAGAGACATTTGAATACAAAATTGAGTCTTTCCACATCCACTTTCACCGTACACTTCAGTTATTTGACCAAGACGAATTCCACCATCGAGTGTTTTATCAATGATTGGACAACCTGTTGAAAATGTTGTTATCAAATCACGTTCATTTTCAATCATTTGCCAAACTAGATTAAAAATAATTACCATAGTTTAATAAAATAGTTTTTAGTTATATGTGAAACAGACCCGACATTTGTCGTCTTGTAAAAGGATAAAATGTATTCGAAACACATTTTAATGCAATATCAATTTCTGGTATTGTCATTCGAGTTGTACGAATCACTTGATCTGGATCCAATTTCAGAAAACTTTGTAACGAACAATTAGCACCATAAGCTAAACATATGATTTATATAGATATATGCATAGCAAATAACTTATATATATATATATATATCAAATAATCAACCTCGATAAAGTTTTCCTTCAACAGCCGGTGGTAAATCAATATCACTTAAAGTAAGAGGCATATTTCATATCTATAGAAACAAATTTAAATCTATATTTACTTCTGACAAATGATAAACTTTCCTTTTCTTTTTTTGCTAAGAATCTCAATAAATGTGCAATGTTTGACATAAATATACTTGTTAGAACAATGATCATCATGTTTACAAAAAGAAAAAAAAGGGAAAAACATAAAAACAATAAACAATAAATCTTATTTCTCTCTATATACGTTTTGTATACAAGAAAAAAAATATTAAAATGAATAGCACAGATCTTTGTTCTTCATATTTCATTCAACAACGACTGATTTCATCGTATTTTCTTCAATTGTTAATTTTTGATGAAGATCGTCCTCGAGTTCTTCTATATTATCCATATGATTATCAATATCTTCATCAGTTGTGTGATCAATACGAAATTTTTCTATATTAAGATTCGTAGTTCCAACAATATCATCATCATCATCATCTTCATCAGTTGTTACAGCATCATGTTGTTCAATTTGCTAAAATTAAAAATATACGATTAGATTTTATTTTTCATTCGAAATTGTTTATTTTAAGAAAGCCATGCAAATTGAATCAGCATGCGAATAAGAGCGTAATCATAAAATTGATAATCTTTTCTTTTTCAATGGATTTTTTTTTTGGTCATGCTCATTTGATCATACCTGAGCTGTAAGTCGAACTGCTAATTCCTCTCTAAATTTTTCTTTTGCCCATTCCAAAAAATGAGCTGTTTCATATGTCGTCTGCTGATAGATAATATTAATTATTTTTTTTTATTAAAAAATACCAAAAACATAATAAGAATAATAAGAATAATACATACTTCTTTATTTAATGATAATAATTCACTATTGATATCATCATTTTCTGATGCTAATTGTTTTTCTACGGCTTCTTCTAATTTCAATTGTTGTTGAAGTTGATCAAGTGATTCTATAATATGACCTTAAAAAAAAACTTATCTTAGAAAAATAAATTTTGTTCATTTTTAAAGTTTCTTACTGTCTGTTGTTGATACATCTGATGGTGGACTAATAACATCATGAGTTGATATATTGTTTTCTTCATCATCTAATGTTGATTCTTTTAAATGTATACTTGTTGATAATGAACTATTTCCACTATCATCTACTGTTGTTGTTGTTGTTTTTGTTGGTTGAGAATCAGTTTTAACTGTTAATTGATTTGTTCCTATTAATTCTGGATTATCATCTTCCCACCATTCTTCAATAACATTAATATCATTTGAATCATTTATTTCATTATTATTTATATTATGTCGATTTGAATTTGATCGATTATTAAAATCATTTCGTCGTTGATAATTATTATTGAAACCATATTGACGAGGATCATATGATGATAATGGAAATTGATGTTTATCATGGTAATATGTTCGTTGTTTTGTTGATCGTCGTCTTTGATATGAAGTTCCCCAATAATTATTATTATTATTCATATTTTCATTTCGATAGGATGATTCGTTTGTATTCATATATGCAGCAAGTGGTAGGCTACTATTGTTATTGTTATTATTGTTATTATTATTATTATTTCTTTGATAACGAGTATTATTATTATTATTATTATTATTATTAGTGTTTGATGGACGAAAAAAACTTGTATTTGGTTGTTGTTGAGATGAAAAATCATAAAATGATTGTGGACGTGATTGAAAACGATTATCATTAGACATTAAAGAGGAATTATATAAACGTTCGAAATCACCAGAAATTGGTCTTTGTTTAGAATATTTATTATCTTGATCCGAATTTTTTAAACGACGAAATCGTGGTGGTAAATCAACGGATAGATCTTCTTGTTGTTGATGAATATAAGAGCTTGAAGTTGATGGAGTTGATAATTGTGCTGGTGGAGGAGGAGGGGGAAAAGGATGAGGTGGTAGTGGTGGTTGAAAAATGGACGATGATTGAAAATGAGATGGATGATGAAATTGATGACGATTGGAATTTTCAAATGTACGTGTTGGATAATATTGATGAAAATGTGGTTGTGATGGTTGTGAAGAAGGAGGACCAGTAGACATAGGTGAAGATGGATGAGCAAAGTAAACTGTACCATTTCCATTGAATGATGATGATTGAGCTGGTGATGGATAAACAAAATTATGAGGATAAGCAGATTCTTAAAAAAAAAGAGTTAAAAGAAAAATACTTGAATTTATATAACGATAAATAGAAAAACATAGACTTACGATCTAGTTGATCTCCACCATTATTCATAAAATGATCAATACCTGTATGATGACCATTGATATTTGTTGGTAAAAGTTGTACATGAATTGGAGGTGGTAGAGAACCACTTTGCCAAATTGGTATTTGTGGTAAATCTAGATGAAATTCAGAAGTTTCTCCTGAATGACCATTATTATGTATTCCAGATCGGCGCATTCGTTCTATAAATAAATCGTTCAAACACAAATTCTTGATTCCATATCGTGAAGAAAACAATAGTTTTACCGTCTCGTCGGCGTTGTTCTTGATCTTGAGTTCGTTGTTGTTGTTGTTGCTGATTCAAACGGCCACTACCGACACGTGTAGCTAAAAATTAAAAAGAAATATATAGTTTCATATATTATAACAAGAAATAGATTGGAAAAAAGAAACGTAATCGGTGAGTATCTACGCAAACGAACGATAAGTAAGAAAAAAAAAGGATAAAAAAAATCAGTCATGCAATTATCCGATTAACTACCATTGTGTAAACCATTAACCTTCGACAAAAGACAAAATGATTTTTTTTTTTGTGAAAATGGTCAAAGAGAAATTGAGAGCACAAAAAGAAACTCATTAGTCATAAGACAATTTGCTTACATGTCGGGCGTTGCCTGTTGATTCTAATTAAATCGATGTTCTATAACGGAGTGTGCATTAGTGTGTCTCCATTCTATTGTCTACTACTGCTGATGATGGTAAAATATGTGTATACATGCAGTGTATATTGCACTATCATTTCTCGCTTTTTTTCTCCTCTCGCTCTTTCTCTCTCTCTCTCTCTCTCTTTCTTCTATTCTTTTCGTCCATCGACAAAGACGGCGAAAACGTGCACATCGATCATCCAGGTATATCTACCATTTAACATCATATATATGTATCTATATATTATATACACATGCCTTATATTAAGTTTCAAGGCATTTAATCAGCTGATTTACAAGCACCGTCAATAGCATCATGCAATGCAAAGCACGAAAAAAAAAACGAAGGTGAATAGAAGATGATAAAAAAAAGAGTGGCAACTCATTCAATGAGCAATGAATAATCCGTTACCTACCTTGATTGTTTACAATGACAATTTTTTTTGCGTGAGCCGGTTCGTCGGCATCTGCGCATAAAATTAATTTCATGACAATTTAAAATTTTCGTATAAATAAAATAAATATTCTCAATGCTTGAAAAAGAAATTCTTTTCACTGAATTTTTGTTTTTAAATTGAATATTTAAAGAAATGGTATCATATTCTTTGTACACTTTTGGAATAAAAAGATATTCATATCTCACCATGATTATCTTCTGTTCGATGCCGAGATGGATATGCATATTCAAGCAATTCAGGACTGATGGAATTATTATTATTATTATTATTATTATTATTATTATGTTGTTGTTGTTGTTGCTGATTAGCAAGTTCTTGTGCTCGTTCACGTTTTAAACGATTGTAATCAACTCGTTGAGCACGTTGAGGTTGAACATCAATACGCTCCTTTTGATTAGATATAGAATTTTGATCAAATCAAAATGATTTAAAAATATTTACATTTTCAAATTTTCGTCGTAGTGGTGCTCGATGCATTGGTTCATGTGGATTTTTCTGTAGATGACATCATATTTTGAAAGAAAAAAGAAAAAAAAATACAAAAGAAAAATACTTGAAAATTTTGTTGATTTGCTGTATTTCGTCCACGGTTTTTTGTTTCCTAAAAACGATGATGATCAGACAATGAGATAAGTATGAAATTTGATTGACTTACACCTCGCATAGGTGTTGTCATTGATGTTGTGTCTTTAGATTCAATTTTAGTTACTGTTGTTGTTGCACCTGATCGTTGAGCAAGTTGTCGGTCTTCTTCAATTTCCTTCAATAAATATAAACATGTAAATGTACATAAAAGAAAAAAACAGATACATTTGTAAACTTCAACACGATTCTTTTTCTTAGGTTGTCACTTCTATAAAAACACACCATACAATACGCAACTCACAACTTCAGAATAAATTTGTAATTATAAGAAGGCAACAGGGAGAGAGACCGAGAGTAGAGAAAAACATTATTTTAGGCACGCACTCACGATCATTATTGATGTACAACTTGCCTTAACGGCGTCTATTGAAACTTTATATCCCTTGTTCTGTATGCACGTTTATTCCCTGTTAGAAGCGAAAGAAGACGACGAAGAGGAAGGGAACGAAACTGTCAAAAAAAATCTTTCTCTCATTATAACGGCATTCGAGAGCATGTTGAGTATAAAAGAGAAAGAACAAACCTCTTAACCAACACATATCAATCGTCGGAGTTCTCTTATTCTCTCTTTTCCTTCTCTCTTACTCCTTTGGTCTTTCATCGACTGCTTTTACACACGTTTCAAACAAACAATTAGTATATACTCAAGTGCAAACCTGATGACGTTTAAGTAATTCCAAGTTTTTGATACGCATTTCAGCCATCTTTTGATCAATTGCCGAGATAGATGATATCCCGTCCATCGATGTTGTCTATTCAATAAATCGATGGATAGATTATCTGAAATAGCCAAGATCATTAAGTATGCACATACTTACACTGGACAACATACATATATATACATATATACAAAGAAGATCATTTATATGATTTATCGGACATAACATAAAGAACCATAGAAAAAGAGAAATAACGAGACCACTAAAATGTGATGGACCGATTTACCTTGTAAAAGAAGATGTATGCTTGAAATTTCTATTTCTACTCTATGTATATTAGTTACAGATGATTGAAAAAGTGTTCTATTCATCGGCTTCACGCGTTTTTTTCTACGGCTATTATTTGCTTGCTTGCTGGCCTAAGATACCATACATATGAAATATGACAATCAATTGTACGATTCAACGATACAAATGCGAGAATAATCGTTTTCTGATGTGTGCAGATGTATATTTAGCGGACGAATGACAACAAATAATTCAATAGCTATCGATATCTTAGAGAGTCCTACTTTCGCATTTCAAAGCAATGATATTCAACGTATGTGTATGTATAGTAAGATGGGTAATATAAGAGAGAGAGAAAGAAAAAAAAAAGTGCTATATCAGAAGATTTACTATTGAGAGAAAACGTGAAAAAATGAGAAGAATGTATTTATATCCTGCTTTCTTTTGTATGATAAATAAATAACGTCAAATCAACAATTATAATTCACAACTTATTGTATCTTTATCATATCCTTGAAAGAAAGGATCAAATAAGATTTACTTTTACAATAAATACATACTTGAATAAAAGAGTGATAGGAAGAATATTTGATTAACAAATATCCTTTCTTTGTCTTATTACTAAATATATCTACATGTTTAAGAAATATTAATAGCTAGCCTACATATGCCTTTAAAATAAACAGAAAAAATAAAAAAAACAAAGGTAATTTTGCGTATGTGCGTATGTGTGTGTGAGGGTAGGCGTGTATACATCTGTACAAAATACAACACATTCGATTGATTTGAAAATATTAGATGTCACTATAAAATACATGCTTTAAACTAACATATAAAACATGATTAATCAAAACGACAATCTTACCTTGTTTAACAAAAGGTATTGTATTTATCACATTTACCTTTTCGTTTGTAATAAATATATATTATCAACTTTCTTATTTACATTTGCTATAAATTTAAATTCAATCTTTAAAACAATATTGATGCAAGTATGACGAATAAAAAAAAAAATTCTTTCTAGTCGAAAATATTTTTTTATTCTAATAAGTTCATGATAGGACATTATAATCAAATAAAATATTGAGTAGATGTCTATGATATAATACATCAATATATAAATTTAAATATATTCATTATTTTATCCTTAATGAAATATAAAACATTGATACATACTTTAAGTCAAATTGTTTTATGAAAATAAACAATATCGACTATTGAAATAGATTGTATTAGTGCATCTATCTAAACAAAATATTAAAAAAGAACAGATATGCTTTAGCTATTTTTGTAAAGGAAAATTAATGTTAATATATGTTTATTATTCCGAAAGATTTATGAAATGTAATGATAGAGAACCTTCTATACAACGTCGTTTGAATTGAAAAAAACAAACAATATTAGTTAAATAAATTCAGTCAATATTTGCAACATTTTTTCTATAAAATTTACGTTGCTGTGAAGTAAACATTGACTTATGTTCAGGATCCAATAGCTCATTTAGTGAATGATAATCATTGTTTTCTTTTTTCAAAATATGATTTAACTAATTACACTATGCAATTAACTTAATTACTTTTCTGTTGTTTACTTTATCACGAAATTTCAAATTTTCCGTATGCCTTTTATTGGATCGTTCATAGACCAACTAATGTGTTTTTCAATAGACAATATTTTTTTATCTTATAGAATCAGATGTCGCACTGATAAAATAAAGCATAATGACTTCAGTAAACCCTGTCCTCGGAATAGAAGATCTTAGGTCTTCTATTATGTTGACGTGTACAAATTTGTAAACGGATCTTCTGTTATGACTAATCTATTTTCATAAAAAAAAGTTTTTCATAAAAGTACAATGATTTTGTAGCTTAAAAAAGTGATTTTTAAAAAAGCAGAAACGATGTTGGCCAGTCTTTTAAGATTTTCAGGTTGAAATTCTGAAAACTAGGTATATTTTAATATAAATATTAAGAGAGAACAAATTGATTTCTATTAGTTTTCTTGACTTTCAATAATTGTCAATATTTCTAGTAATTGCTCTTGATTTTTCGTGAATTTCCTTCATTTCTAAGCATTCCTAATGATTTTTATTGATTTGCGATGAACAGATAAAAACTGATTCCCATTGATGATAGAAATTACCTGAAATCAGAGAAATCAGTTTGCTATCGCTTGGTAAATATTCTAATTAAAATTCCAATTTTTTGAGAAATCAATCAATCAAGAGGACATTCAATTACGTTCGGCGCATTGTTCCCTCAAAGGAGTCTTCTAATATGAGAAGGATTTATTATTCGGCTTAGAATATTCTATTCATTAACTTCAGTGAAAATATATAATTATAGTAGAAGATTTGATGAGCAAATTTTATTTGTTTAAAATCATTTGTTGACAATACTTAAGCATAGTAGAAATACTCTTATTGATCTTGCATGTTATTTTACAACTTTCAAATACTTATATTTATCAGATCTTTTCTTTTTTCATTAAAAAAAACAGCAATAGTTATGACAAAAACATTAATAATTTTATTTTAAAATAAAACGTCAAAATTTATTATCGATTTCGCTTGTAAAAAGATATGCATTTTGAATTGCATGACTATTGAAACGATGAGTAATTGATTATAGTAATATGTAATTTCTATGTCTAACATGCATAGATTATATCAATAAACATGACATTTGAAATCATCTGTTTTCTAGTTGTAACATTTTGTTCATCCTTAATGTGCATATGCTGCAATCTAATAAAGCTTGTCTCAGTTGTCATCTGGTTCTTATTCAGACGAGAATATATTATCATCTTTTATAAATGTCGATACAGTATTTTGTTCGAAGAGATTCTCAAATTAATGATAAAACCGAAGATATTTTATAGATTACAAATCAATCATTAAATGTAAAAATAGATACTCTTAAGCAAAACTATTTATTTGTACTGAAGTATTGCCTATGGCAATAATAGTATACTCAATAATTTTAAAATATTGACTAACGAACCTATTGAACTATTTTCTGATTGAAGAGAATCTATTTAGAATTATTTTTTCATATAATTCATTGTTATTTTGTTTTATGAGTAACTACTATTCATTGAGCTTTTTCTTTTTTTTTGTTTTTTGAATAATTTTAAAAACATTATTCACAAGCGAACATTTTGTTTATATAACTGTTGAGATATGATATAAATAGAAGAATTTTATACCAAAAGTAAAAAGAAAAACCCGATGAATTCAACAATGAGCATTTTAATTCATTGTTTCTTTAATAGTTGAGTTTTCTGATTTATAAATAAGAATATATTCACATTGTTTTATAAAACATAGTGAATTCATTCACGATTGAGAATATTTTTTTATAAATAATAAACGAGCAAAAAAGAAAAAGAAAAAAAAAATTTTTTAACGAAACAGAAAAGAAGAAAACTATCCGCAATACAGAAAAATAAACTACTGATATCACCGATTCGTTATAGTTGTTGTTATAGGCATATGTTCATTCGAATCAATAATAATATTATTCATATTATTTCCTGTACTACGTCGATTATTTGTCCAATTATCAAATAAATGATAACCAGTACCTGATGGTTCCCAATCATCACTAGTTGATTCAAGTGAATAAGTAAATTGTCTTCGTCTTTGACGTTTTCGTTGGAAATAAACAAATGCAACTGCTATACTGACAGAACTAATAATTAATAAAAGTCCAAGTATAATTATTGTTGTTACAACACCACCACGAATAGTTCGTTTCATTTTTGGCAAAGTTACTCGTGACATTGATTCTATTGATGAAAATACAAAGAGACAAAAGAAAAAAGAAAAATTTTATTTAATAAAATATTTTTTTTTTTTCATACTTGGACAACCCAATTCATCTATGCCTCGTGGACATGAATGATAACCATCACAATGAAAAATGTCATCTATGCACCATTGATCTTGATTACTTATGAAACAACGATATTGATTTAATATACATGGACCTATATGAAGAGAAAAAAAAATTCTTCTTTTCTTTCTTTCTTGTCAAGGTTAAAATAATTTATTAATTTTATTTACCTTTTGATATATTTGTTATTAAAATTTCAAATGATTGTATATCAAAATGACATAAACTAAATATAAGAGGTAAATCAATAATATCTGTTTTAATAAATGTATGGTTTAATGATAAATAATTAAATAATTCTATTGATTGCATTTGTTTATTAAATATTTGAAATGATGAACTTATTTCTGACATATTATGAATATTAATTATTATTTGTTCTGAACTATTAGATAAATATGATTTATCAAGTGTTATATTACAACATATTGTGTAAGATAAAGAAGTTGGTGTGAAAAGGATTGATAATGGAGATGATATATTTATTGTTTGATTACAGAAAGACATAAATTGAACTAAAGAAAAATCAATATAAAAAATGAAATAAAATAAAATACTATTTTTTTATTGATTTACCTTGTCTTAAATTTGAACAAATACTTTGAATAAGTACTAGTAACCACCAGCACCATATTAGAATGATTTTAGTATTTGCCATTATTTGAAGATTAAATATATATATAGTTCAGTCATTCAATTGTGCGTTTTGACGAGCTGAATAGCAAACAAAATTTCTTTTTCTCATTCGGATATGTATTGCAATCTATCTTGAATGCTGCTGCTTCTAGTTGATTGTCAAATCGGCTGCGCATGTTTCTCTCTTTTCTTTTTTTCTCTTCTTTCTTTCTTTCTTTTTCTCGTTTCTTCCGACCTAAAGTAACAAACATACATCGGGCAGATTCTTTCTCTATCGTCGTCTTTTTTTGTTTCGATGACGATGATTCAGCTTCGAAAATATGCGAGAGAGCGAGCAAAAGAGAAAAGAGAATAACAGAATATGGTTGTACGTGCTATGCTTTCACCTTAGACAGTTTCTCTATTTTGTCGTTCTAACATCATCATCAAATAGTAGCATTAAGATGGAATGAGCGAAAAAGAAAAAAAGAAAGAAGAGAAAAGATGAGTCGTTCATAGAATAGAGAATGCTATTGATGAATGACTAGATGATAAGTAAAGACAGAATGTTAACAAGTGTAAAAAAAGAAAAGTGGAAGAAAATGAATCAGTCAGATACATCTCTAGTAAGAGTACCATAACAAACTCTTGATAAATTGATGTGTATTCAGAAGATTAGATTGACCGATATAATCTACTATGTTCTTATACTACCTCTAATGGATAAACTAGATTTCCCCACGGAAAGGGAAATATTTGAACAAAAAAATCTTAATCTGTATTATATAAAAGAAAACACAGAAGAGAGTATGTGAGATTTGTACGATTAGTTTATTTCATAAATTATGTTTTCATCAATTAATTCTGAATTTTTGTCATTGGATCTCTTTGGTTTTTTTTTTTTGCTTTTTAATTAATAATTAATTATTTGTGGTGAGAAAATTCAAATGCACACTTATAAAAATTGCTTTTTATATAAATTTGGTCTTTTGGTAGAAAAAAAAAAATGAGGAGCTATCCTAATGAATTAAACAATGACTAATATTAGGAATTTCTATATTGTTGTTATAGAGACTTGAAATATTTAAATAGAATGATTAAAATTGTCGAATGATCTTAATTAATTTATCATTAAAGAATATGAAAGTGATTGATTAGGAAATCGAATTAAATTTACACTTGACATAGACACAAGCTCGAGAGAATAATCATAATAGAGAGAATTTTCTTGGATTTTCATAAGAATTACGTAAACGAAAATTCATCGATTTGGTTAGAATGTATTTTAAGAGTTTTTATTGGCAAAATATTATTAAAATATTCTGTGAATTTATAATTTATTGTATTCATTTAAAAGACAAAAATAGATGAAATTTCATTTTCATCTTTAGTTTAATTATATACATCAATGATTCTGACATTAGTCCATAAAATTTACTTTTTTATTTTCAATATTTATTCTGTTTTTATTACATTAGTGACATATTTTCTGTTAAGTGTTCAATAAAAAGGTCATGGTACATACTTTTTTCTCGTTATAATATCTAGACATAATATGCAGTTGAACTTATTTATTGCTATATAGTCACTTTTTAAAGACATTCGTAGAAATATTTTCTTTTTTTTGTTTTTATTTAGTTATAGCAACAAATCATAGTATGAGAAAGATAGAAAAAATCTTTTATTGTTGATTGCTGATTGTTTTGTTTCTATACAAAAATATGATAGAACTTTTCTCGAACGTTTTTCCTTTTTTACTTACTGACAATGCTTGATAGAGAACAGGAATTAATAGAAATAAATGAACGTTTGTATATATAGTGTTTTTGCATATATTTCAATAATAGTTAGAATAGCTCATCCTAATATCAATGAAATATGAAATGAGAAATTGAAATTCTCAACAATTTATGTCATTAAAAAAAAAACTTCTTAATTCTTTTGACTAATTTATTGAATCTTTAGTGCCTTGAAATTTGTTCTCGCAGATGAAGACAATAATCTGTATGAAATGTCAAATATAAACGTTAGTATAATTGTTAAGAGTAGTAAGAATATTCTTTAGAAATTCTCTATAAATTCTGTCTTTTGATTTTCAGCTATGCTTAATAGATTTTTATTGCCAAAATAAAATAAACTCAGTGACTTCTATCCTTATTTATTATTAGAGATTTCCTATCACGCAGTTATATTATCGAATGCAAGCATAAAAGAAAAGCTTCTCAATATGTAGAAATCACAAGAAAATAGGTCGCTTACACATAATTAATGAGTACAGTTATTTCATCGGGTATGATAGATTATGTTTTATAGGAAATTGAATTTATATAAGTATCTTTTGACCATATTTTGCTCTTTTTACATTATTGATTCAATAAATTAATGGAAGAAGTTGTTCCAAAAAAGTCAGAACAAGGTGTTCGATGGAATAAAAAAGAAAAAAACTAATAGATATAGAAATAATATTACAGTTTTAATTATTATCTAGTTTGCTCGATAACTGCATGTATACACAATATAAAGATAGTACAAATTGATACTGTTTATTGAAGAAAATTAAAGATATTTTATATAATTTAATCTTTCGAACAGATATTGAAAAACGTATGGTGTTAACTGTCGAAATTCTATTTCTGTGTTGATGCATTTTTATTTAATTAATACATATGTATATGTGTATATACAAAGCAGTTGCTAATCTATCAAGAAACCAAACTTTTCTTTATTGATTTAAATTTTGATTCATTTATCATTATGTTTTTTTTATGCTGAGTAAATCAATCGCAGAACTTTGTTTGTATATATATATATATATATAATAGTTTGAATGAAACGCACACGTTCAATGAATAATATTGATATAAGTAAACATTTATTGAATCAAAATATTTGAGAAGAAATGATATACGTAATTGACAGAACAACTCTTTTTTGTTTATGTCTATATAGAAAATAAGTACTATGCAAAAATATTTTCTTCAATTACTTGTTCCAAATAATGCATACAGCTTTTCTATGATAAAAATAAACAGTAAAAATTATTCTACAAATTAAAATCTCATTAGCGTATCACATTGGTGTTAAAACGTAGTGCTCGATGCATGAGTACTTCGAGTAAAGCATAAAAATATTAATCATTTATAATAGATACTAAATGATAGTGAACTCTGAAAAGCGGAATCTAGTCACGCATTTATTATTATCTGATAGATTAAAAAAACTTTAAAATTCATAACAGCAGAAAATGTGTTATGTAATGATAAGCTTACTTTGTTCTGTATCTCAAAATAAAAGTACTTATTGAATTTCTTATGTCTTTATGTTATTTTATGAAATACAAAGCTGATAAGAATAAAATACTTGACTCTTGATCTGTATTTATAAACTATTTTGTTCTCTTCTACCTACGACTACTCCTATGATGATGATTATGATAATCGCAATGGATTACTTCTTACGCATCCTCAATGGTAGATTCTTTCACTATTCTTTACACTATTATTCATCATTAACATCAAACTTTGATCGTGACATTCCTTCTTGTTTTATGTACATGGTAGGAGGAGATAGATGTATATTAAAGGATTACTATTCATAAATACTCTAAAATACTATATATATATATACATGTATTCAATTGATTAATGACAATCAAAAGAAAATATGATTATCACTATTCGAATTGGTTTTGTATTGACATTTGTGCTCTTATTCATTGTCATCAGTGCTACTGGTAGGATAAATAACAAATATTTAATTGTTTCTTTCTTTCATATATATATATATATATATGTGTTTTTTTGTTCAAATAGAAAGTCAGTGTTCTGATAATGAAGAGTACAATGAATGTGGTAGTGCTTGTCAAGAAAATTGTACACATACACCCGCATTTTGCACACTTCAATGTGTTCCGGGATGTGTTTGTAAAAAAGGTTTTGTACGTGAAACTGATGATAAAAGTAAATGTATACCACGTTCCCAGTGCGCTTGTTCTGTAAATGAATTTTTCAACGAATGTGGATCAGCTTGTCCAGATACTTGTGCAGCTAGATCTCAATTATGTACTAGACAATGTGTACCTGGTTGCTTCTGCAAGGATGGTTTTATCCGTTTAAACAATCAAACGGGTAGTCCATGCATTCCTGAATCGGAATGTAATAATTCTTTATGCCATGATCCCAATGCAGAATATACAGAATGTGGATCATCATGTTCACAAACATGTGATGACGAGCGTAATCCAATTCAAAAATTTCGACTTTGTTCAACAGTGTGTCGAAATGGATGTTTTTGTAAAACGGGTTTTGTTATCGGAGAGAATAGTCAATGTGTTAAACCTGAAACTTGTTGTCAGACAATTAATGGATTATATAAAACATGTGATACAGTTTGTTCGCAATCGTGTACAAACAAGAACAATTTGTACTGTCTTCTTCCATGTGTTTCTGGTTGCTTCTGTGAGAAAAATTACATACGCAAAAGTAATGAAATAAATAGTCCTTGCATTCTCAAAACAACATGTTAAGAAGATTTATTCTTAATAAATTATAACTTTTATTTGTTTTAGCAAGTTGAGTAAAAGACAATATCAAAATATAATATAAACTTTTCTTTTTAAAATACAATATTTAATAAATATGTTTTGTATTATGTTGAAAAGAATGAAATAAATCATCTGTTCACTATGTTTTGTTTAATATTTATTAGAAAATGAAAGAAAAATTTATATTGTTTATGATATGAGATTCTGCCTGAATGTAAAGAATAAGTAAGTTTTTATTGTACAAATGATTTAGTCATTCTATTTGATGTTCTTTTTATGTGATAATTAGTGAAGAATATTAAATAATTGCTTCTTTTGATTAAAATGAATATTTATGTTTATAAACTATTCGAGGTTGAATTCACCTTTAGAACCAAAGAATATTTTTAGATAACAATAAATGAAATGGAATCTCTTTTATTAAATAATTTTTTTTTTAAATTTCTAAAAAGAATACATAGTTAATTGAGAAAAATGGAATAGAAAGATTTTTCTTTTGCTTTTTTTTGTGTAATCATCAAATACTAAAAATTTATATCGTATAAAAATGATATGATAGTTGGATTATTATTGTTCAAGAAAACTTCTTTGATATTCTATCGAAAAAAAAATTAGTTTATCTTCTTCAGAAAATTGTGATTATCTCTAATTACAATATTGGATATCTCAGATCTATTCCATTCTGAAAGTAGGCAACTGTTAGATATTTACATTTGATATTTCAACGTGCATTGATGATTTACTGTATATATTACGAATGATTTCGTAATTAATGAAAGAAGACGAACACTTACTAGAAACTGATATATCAAGATTTTGAATTATACTTTAAAAAGAAGTAGAAAATTCTGTTCTGTAAACTTCATTGTGACATCATAAATAAATATTTGCATTGATAATAATTAGTATTCTACTCTGTATGTAAAAAACATGTTTCAATGCTTCTGTTTCATTTTCAATTATTTCTTGTTTTGACTCACTATGAATAAATATAGTCAATACTTTATCAGAAATGAAAAAACAACATCATACATGTAGAACCAATTTCTTTTTTATTGAATTACTTTAATTGTATTTGCATGTTTTCATTCATGCAACGTTTATAACTTGAAAAGACAAGTATTTATAGTCTATATAATGAAAACGATAAAATATTTGAGCACTAGCTCGATCAAAGTGCAGTTTCCTTATGCCAATCATGAAAAATTTCTGTTTTTCTCTCCTATTCTGACCACGAATAACATAAAATAAGAATATATAATTGCTTTATACATATACCAGCATTGTAACTTGTAACAGTTATGATCAGTTGGGCCTAATAGATAATTTTTCATCAGCTAGTAGACACAACTATTTCTTTATTGACTGGTTTCGATTATTTTTTTGAATTCTAGCATATTGTTTGTTTTTTCAAAAATTTGATCTTGATTGCAAATTAAACACTTTTTACTGATGTTGAAGGGTATTTCTATGAAATAGCATTTATCGTAGTAAACTTAATATATTTTATTCAATCACTTTTATGTCAAGTTATGTTATCGAAACAAAAATATGTATATAGTATACACAATAAGATCTACTTCTATCATAATAAACTACATAGGAGATAGATTAATTTTTTTTTAAATTACCATTATGAAGAAAAAATATTAGTAAAAACTTAGAACATACATTTTTATTGTTGATTACTATTCAAAGCACAAAGTGAAACCGAAATATTAATAGAATTTTTATTGTTTTGAATACTTTTTCATATTATTTTTTACCAGTTTGTAATTATATGAAAATTTAATTATGTATAAACCAAATACGTATGTTTCAGATAATTGAGGCAGATAATATGAAAATTTTCAATTGTCTCTCAATGTTTCATAGAGATGCGCAACTCTAATTCGGAGTTGGAGTTAATTCCGGAGTTGAACCGAGACGTCGTCGAATTGTCCACTCCTGATACTTCATTATCAGTTATTAAGACAAAGGTAGTTAAAGTTCTACTTTTTTAAAGATCAACGAGCAATGATATTTCTTTAATTTTTATTAATATATCTGTAAAATAATTGTGCATACGTGTTTAGTGTTCGAAAAAAAATAGTTTTCGATTTTTTTAACCATGTCTCTTGATATTGATGAATTTAAATATATTGACAAACATATACAGTTCGATTAGCTTGATCAAGTCATATGAAAAAATTTTCATATTCTTCCAATTTAAAAAGAATCATTCCAATCAATTGAACAAACTGATTCTTTTTTTCTCATAAATACGGCTGGCACAAAACTAACTTCTTGTCATGGATTTGTGCCATCCAGATCAACTTTATCATCGAATGATCAAATAAATAAGACTTGATCTTGTCTATCTTCTGATATGTCATATCGTAATTCATGTGTTTGATTGTAACGAAGAAATAAACTAGAAAAGTGACTCAATTCTTCTATATCATTCTGGTATTTTCCTAGCAATAATATTAATATGTTTATAAGTAAAAACTAAATGTAAAAACTAATCAATATGGGTATTTCCATGGAATTTCAACTACGTTTACATCGAGCGGTTTCAAATCGCATGAAAATTCCAGGCCCTGTACATCATAGTGAGCTATTGAAATTCTTAAGACCAGGTTTTTTAAAATTCATTAATAAATGGGTATATCATGAAATGATATTTTCTATGGATTTTAAGTACAGTTGCAGAAATTCAGATTTTTTTGAATGTGAGCCTACACAGAAATCCTTCAAATTGAACACATAGAGTATTAATTATTCTATATATTCTGATAGGTCCTGATCTTGGCTACATTTTGAGTACAAAATATAGTGATTTTGTAAATACTTTGACAATATTATCCTTTTATATATGTAGCGCATTGGCCAAATTATAGTGCACATTCTTGTGCTAAAAAAAAACGTTCATAAAGTTGAATTCATAACCATAGCCAAATATATGGGGTTTTATAGAGAATTGATTGCTCTTTAAGATGCACTAGACCCGAGCTCTCGCTTTTTTAAATATATAAGCGAAAAATATGTCAATTTTAGCAATAAGGATACGTTTTATTCTTCTAAAAAGAACTTCTCACATTATTAATTCAAACATTTATATACTTTTCTATACATTTATGTTCATTTGATACGTTTTTTAAATTACAATTCGATATAATCCCGGACAAATATGGAAACATCGTATTTCGCATAAACCACGATCGGACCTGCTCAATCAAGTGGTCATCTGATTTTGCTCAATTTAAGATATGATTGTCGAAGAAAGAGTTTTATGAATTTTGATACAAGCCATTTTTAAAAAGGGTGTGGGTGTGTATGTGTGAATGAGGTGGGAATGTTAACACAAGTGTGAGCGTGTGTTTAGATCATTGTTTAAGTCATACCCACACCTCAATTTGATATCGTTTTCTACGTAGAAAGATTTTCCGGTTTTTCTCTCCGAGTTTTGGAGCAATAGGGTTCGCCAAGGTTTGTAGCGTTACAACATTTTTCAGCAATGTCAGTCATAGTCTTTCAGACGGACTCAAGGGTCTAGTTTTCTCGCTATATACTTCGACAACAGTACTTCCAATCATCTTGCATAAAAGTAAGTTGAATAAAACGATACGCGATGAGATTTTTCTATAAAGATGACGATGAAAAAAATGTGCCATATGCTGACGTATTATTGATGTATTGTTTCGAATCTGTTCTTGATATATGAGAAGAAAGGGCTACACGATAGTTTTCATTATTTAATAGAGTCCGTCGAGTTGTACTTGGAACAAATCATGTCTTTCATGCATGTATCAAAATCACAGCAAAATTGTGATCTTTTTTTCTTAACGCAAGTATCATTAACGTAATAAGTATTTATATTGATATTATTTATATAATATAAAGACAACAAGTATTTACTGTTTTCATATCTATCAATGAATATGATTTCATATATTGTAATTTTTATTAGCAGATTATTTTGGCCGTTCAATAATCCAGATTTTCTTTCTTTTTTGACGATATTGACATGTAAATTCTTTTCTAAATATATCAAATTGAAAAACGAAAGTAATTCCGCTAATTTTGAGTTTTTTAGACGTTCAATCAATCAAATCATCTGATAGTATGAATGAAAAAACTCGAGAAGTTAATCAAAGAATGTTCGGTGCAAGTACAAGTCAGCACAAGAATGCTGAACACCAAAAATAAGTTACATAAATAACGAGTCTATTGGATTGGCAATATTTATGGATGGAAATGTAATCAAATACTAATGTTTAATAGAAAAAGTATAAGTGCATTATTATTTGTATTGGTATCAATCTCTATCAGAATGACTATATGATCAGTGAAATTAAGGTTTGATAAACGTTTCTTGACGCTTTCATTTATTCTCTTCTTTGTAAACGATTGACTAATACTGATTTCTAGAATATTGCCATCGATACACATTGCCTTCATTCATTGATTTTCTGAAAAATGACGATACAAAAGAGTAGTAGTATGCAGGGGACATATCTCCCCAGCCACCTTAGTAATTAAAAGTTATTCAATCAATTTACATTTCGCTGAAACTGACGTCAGCGAAATGAAGATTGTCAAATTTCGGTGATGTGACTATCGGTAATTTTCTGTAATGGTACTTCTAATATTAGAAACATTCTGCTATTATATGTTTTGAAAATAATTGCAATGTAGCAGTTATAATGTATGTAGCAAATTAGGGACTAAATAATTAAGTAACTAAATTAGGAACTGATACAAGTTTAGATCGTCATTCATAATTTATACACGAGAGTCGAATAAGACATACGCTCTCTCTCAATGCAACATATATCCAAAAAGTGAAGGAAAAGAATGATTGGTGAAACGATATCCGCTGATATAGATCTTCGGAAGAAACTTACTGATCTTTCTTAAGATGATCAGCACATCGATGAACTCTATTTTAGTGATGCACATTTGGACGATCCTCGACAATGAGATATATTATTACTTATTCTTCATTAGCAAACAGGATGTGTAGGTCGTTTGTGAAATTTACAGTACTCATGTGATACAATGTCGCATATACTTCTTACATTCTTTCCCTCCTGTAACCTTCCCGTAGGCTTGTCTATACACATGTAGTTTAATACACGAAGTATTGCATAAAGGTGAGCACGTTATGTGAACCATAAAAAACTAATCGAAATTGTTGTACTGATCATTTCTCATACTCAATATTCTTGTTCTAAAACTTCCGTGCTTAACTGTCATCCATCTCAGTAACAAGTATGCTGTAGTAAAATTAATAAGCACGTGAATAATGCATACTAATGAGAGACTTTTTAATAATATCCATTTCTCGATATAAAGATATCTGAGTAAAGCTTAACATCGATTAACAACATAGATTCTTTACAACTCATAAAATTGATACTTGAAAGTATGTCCTCTAATACACTTACATGCATTTTCAAACTAGTGTATCATAGAAACACATCAATGTACTATTATGAAGCACAATAACCAATAAAATATCTATTAGTTATCAATCAATAATTTAATTTAATTTAACTCGAACTTTTGTTAAAGTGTTTAGTAATCAAATGAATACTTTTGTATTATTCATCGTTCTACTTACATAATACTTGAGATCGACCATTTATATTCTTTTTCTTTTTTTTTTCTTTTTCATTTTCCTTTGAAAATCAATCAACCGTGTCCCATGTACATCTAAAAAAGAAGTGTCGATATACGCCTATGCTGTAAGAAGGTCGTTGACAAGTATACTGGTGTCTTATATTATACACAATAACCATTTAACAAAAAGTTAATATTTATACAAAATGGCATGGAGTGTTCAAACATGTAGAAGACTGTCATTATCTATAGGTTATTTTTGTATATTTGTCTTTTTTTCATTGACAACTTATGTTATTTATGTTTTTTATGCAAAAATTGCTCCAACTGTACTTCAAAGAGGAGAATATAAAAGATTTGTTTCTCACATGATATTTGGTAATTGGCTTGCAATAAATGTTTTTTTTAATTATATTATGGCATGGTTATCTTCACCTGGTCTAGCTAAAGATTATCAAAATTTAGCAACACAATATCAAGATATATTCTTGTATGTTAAAATACAAAAATAAAATAAAAGAGAAATAGAAATGTTTAGAAAGAGAAATAATAAATGAATAATTTCTCCTAAATGCAAAAAATGTTCAATGAACAAACCACCTCGTACTCATCATTGTAGTTGGTGTGATGCATGTATTTTAAAATTTGACCATCATTGTCCATGTAAGAGATATTAAAACTTAAATTGACTTCATATTTAAAAGTTTTTTTTTTCTTAAATAGGGCTCAATAATTGTGTTGGCTTTTATAATCATCGACATTTCTTCCAATTTAGTAGTTTTCTAGCTATTGCATGCATATATGTTGGTACTGTTGGTTATCGTGAATATCAAATTAGTCTACTTGGAGAACAAACGTAAATAATATTGAAATTCCTTTTTTTTTATTATTCTATAATTGTTTAGATTCTATTATAAAGATTCACTTTTTAAACCATTTGATATTCTCGAAACAATGGGAACAATTGGCTTTATAATATATTATATATTTATTGCTACGTTAACATGTGGCATTTTAATAATTGGCCTTCTTTGTTGGCATGGACGAATGATAGGTCGTGGTGAGACATCACTTGAACGTATACTTAATGTCTATTATACTAAGCAATGTTATATGCAAGGTTTTATTTTTGTTAATCCTTATGATTTTGGTTTCATAGAAAATTGGAAACGATTTTTTGGTGTCCGTACCATAGGTGAATTTATTCGACGAGTTCTTTTGCCAAGTACACATAGACCAGAAGGTGATGGAATAACATGGGATGGTTATAATGTTAATACTAATTTAGAATTACATCAACAGCAATCTCGACAAACAACACAACCTATTGCTTTTCCTCCTGGTATTCATCCAAAACCTCCTGGCGTTCATCCAACCAATGGGTATCGATTTCTTGCACCACCGTGGGAAAAGCGAAACAAACCAGCTCATATTTCGACTGTTTACCAACCGAAAACACCACCAATAGAAACAGTAGATTCAAGGAAAAATCGTTAGCAATATGATCTTTTTTTTTTCTCCAGTAGATGACATTCGATTTTTAGGAAAAATAAAAGATAAGAAGTAAATTAATTTTTGTTGTACTTTTCTATTATATATGAACAAGGAATGATCTCTCAGTGAATGCATCTATATAAGGTTTGAGTATTCATGTCGATCTTTTAAATAGCATAGTATTGAATAACACTTTCTCTTGTAAGAATATTAATACAAATATACGAATATAATGTTCAATTAATCGGAATTAATCAATGAAATTTTTAGAAAATTTTTCTTATTAAAAGTGATGGCTGTATTTGAGACAAAAAGTACAAGAGAAACTAATGAGAAGTTATTGTGAACATTTATTTGAGACTTGTCATAAGCGCATCATGAATAAATAGTGTAAAATGAACCAGAATACATGAAAATACTCTGTATCCAACAAAAAATAAACTATTGTACAGAATGAATAGTTTTCATTGTGCAAACGGTATTCATATGTTTCCTTCATTTTAAATTGTTTACTGTGTATATAGTTTGATTGATTATTTAAGATGTGGCTTATAAATAAACATCTATCGAAAATAAATAGGAAATATTGAAGGCAAAAAATATGAAGAAGACAATTTTCAAATTTTATATATTTAAAAATTATCGAAGTAGGTATAACTAGTAGAGACAAATATATGATAGTTAATTGATATTTTTTGTGTAATAAACTCATCATTTAATTCAGTCAAATATAATGTTTTTCTTTTTCTTATTAAAAACAATTTATTGATCGATTTCGAAAAATTGAATATTGTGTATGCTTCTATTCATTTTATTATTCTTACAAAGGAAGACGTCATTCAATATCATGCTATTTGAAATGTCAACACGAATATTCAAGCTTCATATAAATATATTCAGTTAGAGATCATTTCCTGTATGCAGCATATAAATTGATTTTTATAGATGTTCAGAACTTATTTAACAATCAATATTGATGTGTATTGGCGGGTGAGTCAAATCTCATTATCATTGTTATATGTTTGATTTGCTTCGCTTTGTCTGTGAACTTATATTTGGTTCTTCACTATCTCTTTCACATGAATGTTTCGACTATCTCTCGTCTAATCTTCATGGCATAGTCACACAACTCATTCAACAATCATTTTCAATTGCATTACGATCAAAACGAACTCAATTAATAGGTGATGATTTACAATTAATACTTAAATGTCGAGCTATATCTCCATTATACGGTTATTGTTGTTCGGTAAACACAGATAAATTACCATTGTTTGAAGCTACACATCAACTTGGACGTATATTATTTGTTCAAACTGATACTATGATTAATTTGAATGAAAAACATTTAACTAACACAGAGTAATCGAATCATTTTTTATAGATGATATATAATGAATGAAAACTATTTATTGTAGTAATTCGTATCAAAATAAGAATTTTCAATTGGAAAAAATTCGGAAAAAAAGTATTGTTTTATGTAATGATATTCTTCTTCATGTTGAATGGTTAACTATAGCTGGAGAACAAAAATATCTTCAAATAAAATCATCATTATTTAATAAATCAATATTAAATATTGAACAACAATTATATTTATCGTTTCTTCAATCAAAAAATTTTAATGAAGAAATTTGGAATTTTTTACGTTATGATCAAATTGCATTAAATACTATTCTTTCATATCTTATTGAATGGTGTCGAAATAATATTTGTGAATGTCTTATACATAGTTGTCGATTAAAGAAACGTTGTCAACTTGCTTCTTATCTTATTATTATTGATTGTTTACTTCAAAATTCATTAATAAATATTAATCATTATTTACATATTCTATCACCAATAATTATGACTTGTCTATTGTATGAATTTGAGGTTAGACAGAATAAAACTATAGAGATTTATTCTGTATTTTTATATTCAAGATAGATGACTTGTTAGATTATAATGATAGTAATATGAAATCTGCTGCTGATACTGGTCATGTATGGTCACTTCGTTTATTAGCTGCTCAAGCATGTGTTAAAATGTTACAACGTTCAAATTTTCTCGTCTATGATATTTTTTACACACGTATTATCTCGCGACTTATTTATTCACTTACTAGTTCAAGCAGTCCATCTTCTGTGATTTATGCTATTCTTTGTCTATTTGAACAATTAGGTTCTTATGCTTCTCGTACATTTCTGTTGCCTTATTTGCTAGATATAGATTCATCAAAGATGCTTTCTTCAAAATTAATACTTGCAGTACTTGAACGTATTGCTTTAATGATTGCAGAAAAATAACACTACAACGTTTATCAAGAAATAAAAGTTCTTTTTTTTTGTTCTGGTACATAACTATTGTCTACATCAAACGAACAACATATGTATGATAAATGTAATGAAGAGTTTTCTTTGTCATTTATCTACCCATCAGGTGGAATAACTCAAACAATATTATGACTCTTATATCAAAATATGACAAAAAAAAAATTAAATTTCATTCGATGAAACAGACATTTATATTGATGTAGTCCAATTTCATTGATTTAAAAGGTCATTTTAATAAAAAAAAAATATTAATTAAAATAGATGGCTTAATAAAAGTACATTGTAGTAAACAAACTATTGACAAATTATTTAACATTTCTTCTATCTTCGTCGTAAGACGACGATGAATGAAATTTATTTCTACAAATGTATTGCCGTTTAATTTTTCCATTAATTGATTCAGATCTATTCTATATTAAGGGTATGCTAGTGATTGCATCTTCATGTCTGTAACATTGGAAATAATTATGAGTACTAATTGTAGCAAACGTATAGAATCTACCTGTATGCGCCAATGCGTGTCAGAGGAAATGTTTCTCTTGTAACAATAAGAGCATAAGCTTCGTAAACAACTTCTTTGATGTATTTATTAATAGATAGTATCGAAATCGTTTGCTCTTTTATTTAACTATACAATGCATTACGTCTTGAAATGAGAACGGCTTCTATTAATAGACGATTAATAAAGATTAGTATTTTATACGGCTTTTTTTGTGTCTTAAATAAATCGATTTCTCTTTTACTTTCTTCGAACGTGCGAGTGAAAAAAGTGAATCCAACTTTTCCTTTATTTTGATAGCAGAGGAAATTTTTTATTGTAGAAGCAGATTCTGCACTTCTAAATTGTAAACTAGTGTAGTAACTTTCTTACCATAGTAGTAGTTTCTGAGAGAAAATTTTTCGACATGGAACATCGCCGAGACTACTTCTTGATAAATTAAACAGGTTTTCATTTTGTTGCCATACCTCACAGCTTTTGATTCAGATCCTATATATTTCAAAATAGGTTTAGTTGATATTTCTAGGGTTCAATGGATACATCTTGAAACACATTATTTCATAAAGTTGTGATGAAAACAGTGACATGTTGAAAATTTTACGAAAAAATAGTGGAAAAAAATTATGCTGGATATCTTAAATGTTATAGGTGAGTTCGATAATGCACATGTCAAGGATTCTTTTACAAAGAAAGTAGGGCGAAAAACCTTACCTCCTAGTGTTAAACCTTGAGTAAAGTAACGCTCGAATACACATGAACGATAACAGTAGAAAGTAGATCATATTAACCTGATAAGAAAAAAGAATGAGAATATAAAAAAATCAATACATGTGATTCTCATTGTTATCTAATTTCCTTGTAGATTTTTCACATATTTTATCTTCATATATCCTTGTCAATCCTATCGAGCTTCTTTCATGTCACTTAGAATAATTTGTATGAAATAGTAACTTCTTGAATCTTATAAAAGCCTTTATCAAATATCTCAAACTAACGATCTATATGTATTTGAAATCTTAAAGAATCCTCTTTTTTTTTTGTCCATTTTTCTAGATTTGTCTAATGTTGAACATAATATTGTGAATGAACAACTATATTCCATTAGCGAAAAAAAAAACAAATATATTTTAAAAGAAATTATATAAAAAACAAACAAACAATAAGAAAAAACATGAGAATAACAATCACTGTGATTTTTTATGGTTTACTCAATGATGACATAAAATGATATTGTCGATTTTTAGATATTGGTTTTAATCTTGAATTAGGTGATTTGCGATGATAAAACCCATTTCCATATAACATAAAAATTACTATACGATAAAGTCGTGATCGACATAATATAATAAAAACAAAAAAAACACCAATTGAACCAATTAATGATGGAATAAATATTGGATTTTGTAATGTAAAAAAAGCTCGAACTAAATGTGATGATGTTTCACTGTTATCAACTATAACATTATTATCCATACTATCATCTTCATTTAACATAAAACGATTTTGATATCTCATTATATTACTAACAAAAAGAAAACTCGAATTTATATTAATTGCAATAAATAGAAAAATTTTCTTACTTTTGTGATACCGAATTAGTTATCAATGGTTCGGATGGTTTAACAGGTTGATTAATAAAACATTTCGGTAATTCTCTTTGTTTATTTGTATTATCTATATCATTTCTTTCAATAACACGAGAAAATTTATGTAAACGACTTGTGTTTAATCTTTCAAGTTCAGGTACATCTAAATCCATTTGTCGATTTTCATCTAATTGTAAAAATAATTTTGGTACACGACTTGATGTTGTAAATTCTAATAAAGCAAGTAAAAGCCAATAACAATCACGTACAAGATGTACTGAATCAATACAATTTGAATCACCATAAATTGCTACACGACCACCACCAGATGCTTCTACAAGACCAAGAATAGGCATTGAAATAGGACGAGTTTTCATAATTGACTCAATATCTATTTGATGTTTTACGCGATTTTCATGATCTTCTAGATTTAAATGACGTTGTTGTGGCATACGTGACGAACTAGGCATTCGTATTATTGTTTCACCTTGATCAATTAATGGACGATAGATTAAATAACCATCAGCTGGAAATTGAACTATATGTGTACCTATAAAGAATATTTATGAATGATCAAAATATAATAACATTTTTGAACAGTACTGTAGTACTAAGAATAGTCAGTTTATTTGGAAAAATTACTATAACTTCTTTTTTCTGTCTTCTAACTCGAGTGATCTTCCTCTTTCTATTAATCAATTGTGTGAATTGCATAAGCTCTCATCGAGTCACTTAACACCTCAGTAACTGATCTTTCATTTAACATTACTCTTTTCACACTTTCCTATTCGTAAAATTACATAGTGGCATATTTTCTACTGTAAAAGATATTCGGAGTAATATCGATAGTACTCGGTCGTTTATTACGGTTTTCAAATAAATGAAATTTCTATATTAAAACAATGGCAAACATTAAGAGAATTTTTTTACCTGATGCATAATAAATTGTATGTTCTCCAAGATCAAAATTGCCTTCTAAAACAGTATCACCTAGAGCAATACCAAGTGGCTTTAGAAGATTATTTAATGCTGGTAAATTAGCACCACCGGTTTCTGGTAGCCACCTTTAAATTATAAAGTATAGAGAAAATAATAATTTTCTTATTTAAAAGAAATTTTCTTTCTATACCATTGTCGAGTATTTTCATCAAAAAATTGTACACGTCTCATAACAGATACATTATACCAATCAGCAAATACAATAAGTGATAACGATTTATTAATAATATCATTATGTAATTTAGAAATTTCTTCAACAAAAAATTCTTCTTCGGGATCAACAATTAATAATGTTCCTAAATACAAAAAATAAATACGTTTCTTATAGATGAAAACAATATGATTACCATAAAGAGAAGCATCAAAACATGTATATGGTTTTCCTAATACTTCAATAAAATATCCAGCATTTCTTAAATGTTCATAAACATGACGAAAATTCGTATGAATATGATCAGCATTCCAATCAAGTGGATCATTTTTTTGTTTTAAATCATCTCGTGGAAAATACCCAGGTGGATAACCAATTGAATGATATTGATCCCAAAGTATACGATGAGAACGTATTGGTGTTGGAATTATACGAACACGAATTGGTAAAATTAAATCACTTTTTTGAATTAAACTTTCCGAATCCTAAAAAAATAACGAAAATTTTTGATAAATAAAAAAAAAAAGAAACATTTTTTTTCTCTTATTACTTTTGCTGGTGATTCAATAGTTAATGTAACATGACCTTGAACTATTCCTTCAAATTGTGAAGCATTTCGATGAATAGTCATTGATATTGCAAGATAACCTGACCATGGCCATAATTTTGATGAAAAATCAAATGATAATTCAAGATATTGACCATATGAATCTTGTGGATGCCATTGAGGCTACATAAATTTAATTTTCATTCTTTTTTTTTCTTGTTTTTATATGATTAATTTTAAAAATTACCTGTCCAACAACTTCACCAATAACATCCATTCCATTTAAAATTGTTACATTAACAATAATTGGCATAGCACTATAATAAAGTGGTTGTAAACAATATGGCCAAAAATATGGACATTCGGTAAAATCAATATACGATGGACTTAATCTATATAATATAAAAGTTCATCTTTTAACTAAAAAAATTTTTAAAAACTAATTATTTACGATGCTTGTGGAACATATTGATTAAGGATACGAAATGCACGTAATAAATTTAATTTTCCATGTCCTTGTTCAAACATATTAGCATGTCGAATACGTTGAGCTGATGCTAATAATGCTTGTTTTAAAGTAGCTGGATTAATTATATTAGGTGTACGATGCAGTACAGAACTTTAAAGAAAATATTTTAAATATAAACAAACAAAAATATTTTATGTATATAGAAACCTTGCTAACAGAGCAACAGCACCAGTAACAACAGGTGATGCAACACTTGTGCCTGATAAAACTTTACAACCAGATACAAGATTTGAACCTCTTACAAGTGAACCATATGTTACTAAATCAGGTTTCATTCGACCATAACCAGCTGGAAGCTAATAAAAAGAAAATAATTCTTCTAAAATTTATTGAAAAAATGTTCAAAATTATTTCTCAGTGATTACGATCTCATGAGAAAAATCTTCTGATATCAAATCACTTTTTGACCGAGGCGATGTTCATTTGATGAATGCTAGAGAGTAGTAGAATAGTTTGGTTTTCCGTGTCTTTGTTCTCGAGATATCGAAATTCTACTGGGTTTTTCAATAAAAAGCTGTGGTTCCCCTTAGATCACATAGAAAATTGATTTTCGACTTCAAACTTTAACATGAACAAAATTCTTAATGAGATCACTTGATTGTGTAAGTTTTACCTTTTCTAGATTTCGCTTCTGAAAATGTAAATATATGAACAAAATTTGCTTTTATACATGAGAGAATTTCAAATATCTCACGACAGAAGATACTAGAAAAATTACAACTTGTCCAGCGAACTAATCTTGATCATTTTAGACTTTTCTATTACCAATCAAATAAATGTCGTCTCGGTGAAAAAAGAAAAATGGTTCTCCAATATGTGAAAAAGACTTCTGTAATACATATTAATCGTGGCTCACAACTACAAACTATTATCGTATATAAAACTGATACTTTACCTCCCATATTGTCATTCCTCGAGATGAAAAACGTGATATAGCATCATCTATTGTTATACTTCCAACTCCAATTACATCCATTTGATCGCCAGGATTATTCAATGTACTACAGAGAAAACATATTCATCCATTAATATAAAGTATTTAATGTAAGACTACTTACCCATATAAAGGTCCATCATTGCCAATCGCTGATACAAGAATAATACTATTCGAAGTTAAATCCCATACCTATATACAAAAAGAAATTGTATTTCAATCAAATTTTAACAAAATAAAGATCAATACTTTATCAATAAATGGTTGATCCATAAAATCCGGACCACCAATACTTAAATTCAGCACATGTACTTTCTTTACAATAGCATAATTAAAAGCATCAAGAAACCAAGATGTATAAGATATCTAAATATTTTTTTTTATGAACGAAAAACGAAAGACCAAGAAAAACAAAAATCATACTTGATTATTTGTAAATACTTTAAATATATGTAATTGTGCTTCTGGCGCAATGCCTAAACATTCGCTGTTACTACCAATAACACCAGCAACAAATAATCCATGACCTATGGCTAAAAAGAAACGTTTAAAAATGATCATAATTATTCAAATGAAAATATTGTCATACTATCATGATCACTCTTTTCATCAGTCCAATTTGTTACTTCAGCAATATTAGGAAAATGTGGATGACCATCTTGAATACCTGTATCAAATACTGCTACATGAATACCACTACCTAGATAATCAATGCAAAAAAAAATATAAAAAAAATCAATTAATTTATTTGAAATTAACCTCGATGACCCATTTTCCATAATTTTGGTGCTTGTAAACTTTCTGCTATCCGTATATGATTTGGTGGACTACGATGTAATTTTCTTTTATTGCCACCTATTTCAATGCTATCTTCAACTGAAAAAAATCAAATATTTCTTTTAATTATCTATAGAAAAACAATACGAACCAGTTGAATAATGAATATGACGAATAATTTGTCGATGAGGATAAATAGCTCGAATAAGTGGATGTTTCTTAAGACTATTGATTATTTGTTCATTACCATTAAACTATATTCAAGAAAAAGACTCTATTCAATATGCATAACGATAGAATTCGATAACTCAAACTTCGTCTATCGAAAGAGTCTGATGAGGAAAGTCCTGGAATTGATAAATCACTATTGAGTCGAGATTACTCGTATTATGTAGACTCAAATGAGCTATAAGCATCTCTGAAAAGAGTGCGTGTCCTTAACTTATCACTGTGGACATACTGCGCTTTTAACGATATTTTTTAAATAAATGCCGTAGTTCAGAAAAACTGATTTTCCAATTTCGACTTGAAACTTTGCATAGAGACAGGTCTTAATAAGAATAGTTCGTTGTGAAAATTTCAGATCTTTTTTGATTAGCTTCAATCTTGAAATAAGAACATCAAACCTATCAGTGTATATGAGCGACGTAAAAGACATGCTATCAGAGACAGAATCGATTTGAATTTTTCGAGACCAGTATCAGTCCATCTCTGCACGCTATTGCGATAGTTGTATATAACGATAGGAACAGTGACAAGATCTGAAGCATTCACAAAAAACTACTCTCGTTAAGGTCTGTCCCTATGCAAACTTCCAAGTCGAAATTCGAAAATCAATTTTTCTGGTATTCCCGAGAGGCGAATACACTATTCAGTTTAAAATACACTGTAAAAATACAGTATCTCCGCAGAAATAAGCTAAGAACACGAATTTTTTTCAGGGTACTTATAGCTCATTTAGGTCTACATAATGTACATAGTTTCAATTTAAAAGCGATTTAATAGTTGGAGGACTTTCCTTGTGAACTGTCTAGCTGCATTGCCCGTTACGCTTAGAACCTACTCGAACAATGTCAAAATCAGATGGATAATGTTGCATTAAATTATTTCTTTTAACTATTTCATAATAAGATACATTATTACGTTCAAAAACTCGTATTAAATAATTTGTTCGAGCTATTGCAGTATAATAACCAGTAAATTGAACAATAAATTCTAATGAAAATAAAAGTAATTATTCAAAATAATAAATATAAATTAAATAAATCCTACCATCTTGTATCGTTTTCGCTTCATATTCTACATTAATTTTTTGTTCGCTTATATTTGTTGTTATATTACACGGGAGTATTTCATTACTATTAATTGTTGTTGTTATTGTTGTAAGTATAAGAAAATAAATAAATAAAATCTTGTTTAACACATTGACCATCGTGGGCCATGCCGCATATAAAAAAAGTAACTCTAAAATTAATTTTATTCCATTATCTAAAAATTAACTTAATTAGACAAATAACATAGTACAAGAAAAAAAAGAAAAGAAAAAGAAAAAAAAAAGGAAATTATTCATTTTGTACACATGTTAAGCAGATCGACAATTCATTGTTTCTAAAAAGAAAACAAATAAATCTAAATAATAAAGAATTTTTATGAAATTAATTTACATATTTGTTGAACAAAAAAGACAATATGTCTTATTACATTGTGAACATTGCGTGAGATGATTTGAACAATATTGTCTTTCACAATAATCACACATCGCTACCATTGGTATTGTACAATGCATTGATGAACAACATGAATTTACTGGAAACGATTTTATTTCTGAGAAAAATATAGATTTTATTTGATTTTTAAGATAAAATAAAAATGATTTACCATTGTTGTTTATAGAATCTTTTAATTTTCGAAAGAAATTTTTTGAACCATCATATAATTTTTGTTGTGTTGTTTCTAAATTGTATTATGAAGACAATGAATAACTGATGGGGTCGAAAATTTCGAGACAAAATGTTTGTTTATTTTTGACTACCGTGAAAGTGTTTTCGAGAAATCAAAAGCTATGAATTATGATCAGAATTTTGTACTCTTTCCGAATGTAGACCTAGAAATTTTCTTGAGATCAACGAGATGATCAATAGTTTGGACGAACACAGTTTTTGGTACACTTTTGTACTATCATTATTGCAACTCGGAAGTAAACGTTAACATCTTTATTAATATATCACCTTGTAGAGCAGAAGTTACTCTACAAAATTTATTATTGGAGACTTTTGTGCAGGTCACTTCAGTTTCCGTTTCCCTTAAATCTTCATTTTTGAAAAATCAAGTTTTGTACCAAAAGGTGTTTTGTATAGAAAGGAGTTTTTGACAAAATGCCTATAATTTCACTTAAGTAAAAGCTACAGCTTAGTTCACATATAAAATTTTGTAAAGAAGTAACCACTCGACAACACAACTGACCCGAATATTTTTTGACACCTTCAAAAAGGGACTTATGGGGTACGGTAGGTCGCAACGTGGACATTAGTTAAAAAAATGAAAGTGAGCTTCTTCGAGATTTGAATAGTAATTTGTGCAATTTCATTAACGACCAGTTTTTTTAGTAAAAAAACACATTGTTTCAGCTGCTAAATTTAATAGAAAATCTAATTCGATATTGACGAAACTTTCAGAGAATGTTCTTGTATATCTGGAACATATACTAAGGGAGCGTAAATAGTTCTGGAGTGAGATACAGATTTTCTAAAAATCTTGGTTTTTAGAGATTTTTTTGTGTCTTCTTTGCCATAGAAACAATTTGAGAGAAAAATAAAGAGACATTTGTTATCAGCGTGAAAAACTGCATCGAATGATGTGTCATTTATTAATTTTTAAAAGAAAAACTTTTTTCACAGGAATTTAGAATAAGGATCCCGTTCAGGAATTTTCCATTGCAAATGGTCTTTTCTTCATCAATCTTATTTTTTTCAGTGCAAGAAGTTAATATTTCTATAAAAAAAAATCATTTTTGACAGAAAATAAGTCATGCCCACTATGTAGGGTTAGCAAAAGCCTATTGGTTTACCATTCAATCTAACCTTTTAGGTCTTTCAAAGATTATTTTAGTACTCTCGAACAAAACACTGAGATAAAATTGCTAAGTCTATATTTGAAAAGTGCACAATATGCTGATCCTAATCCATAGATTTTAACTTCTCGGAAATACTTTCAAGAGAGCTGAAACCAAACAAATATTTTGTCTCAAAACTTTTGGGCCTACACGTTATCATATGAAAGAATCAATTACATACGATAAATACTATTCTGATGATAATTAGTCATTCGTTGTCGTTGTTTACTATTTTGTTCATCATTATTATTATTATTATTATTAGTATTATCAGAAAATTTTCTTTTTCTTGACATCATCTAGAATCAAAGCAAACTATAGATAAATGCTCACTATGGATATATTATGATGTCTTATTAGTAGAAATATAAAAAAAAACTTAACACACATTACATAATATTTAAGAATATCGTTATTAGTATGAAAGGCAAAAAAAAGTGAAAAAATAAAATATCACAACGAATGAAAATTTATAGATCATATTTAACTTGTGCTGGAGACTTCATATTAATATAAACATCATTCTTCGATGAGCCGATGACTCGTATAGCCTAAATATATATATATATGATAAATATGATTTTTTGTTTATTAGAAAAATGAAATCTATTTCACCCTACCATATAATTTAAAAGTGACTCAACACTGAGTCGCATTTTATTTTTCAATGATACAAATGTATCTGAAATTATTTAAATTATTTACAGAAAATAGAATAGTTATTTATATTACCAGTTTCCGTTGAATATCGTGCTCGAACAGCTTGAGCTTCAGCATCAGCTCTATATTAAATATTGATATATACAAATTTTATATTAAAACAAAATCTTACTGATTTAAAATAATACTACTATCTGTTTCAGCACGTTCATTGATTATTTGAGCTTGTTTTAATGCTTTTTGATATTCTGTACGAGCTTGTGTTAATAATTTTGGTCGTTCATTTTCAGCAATCTATTATTATATGTATTCTTTTATGAAAAAAACAAATGAATTTAACTAAACAACTAACTTTAATATTTTCTTTTGCTGCTTCTTTATCTTTAACAGCTGTTTCAAAATCTCCTGGTCGACGAACATTATTTACCTATTTAATAATAATTGATAAATATTAATTTATTGGAAAAAATTATTACTTGTAAATCTCGAAGAATTGCATAAAATGGACTGAATGTATTTTTCATTTCCTAATAAAATTTCAAAACTTAAACTATTTATTATTTAAATAGCATTTTTAATTTACTTCGAGTAATTTAACTTGAAAATAGCCTCTCATACTTTGGAATGCAGTTGTATTAAAACTAAAATAAACAAATATTAGCGATAATTCAAAATAATTATTTGTTTTATATATCTTATGTATATAGATATCTATATTTTCTACAGCAATGCGGAAATAACATGTCAATAGGAAAAACTTTTAAATGGATAATATTCTATTCTGTTTAATATAATTTACTAAGAAAAGCAATTTTGAAATCATTCAAAAAGAAAAAATATGTCTTTGAAATACTTAAGGCGTACCTAAAGTAGTAGCGGAGACACTTCTAGGTCATACAGAATAGCTGAGAAAATTTTCTCTCTATATTCGCTGATAGTAACAGTAGTGCTTTAATATTTCATCAGTTTTTCATTAATATAATGATAATAAAACTTCGATAACAGCAGTCTGTTATCATATGTGATGATAATGCCAAGGTCATTCCAAAGAATAAAGACGAATAGGTATATTTTGAATAACTTTTGATAGAATCAAGATTGACAGTCGCAATTATCGGCATTAGAAACAGAAGATGGAGACTCATGAAATTGTATGTTACATTTTTTTTTCGCTTGGTTTTTTAAAGTTTTCAATCGATCTTTTCGAAAATAAACCTATTTCTTAAGGTGTTTGCAGTGAATTTCCAATGATTAAGTATGCACTCAAACTGCCAAAATGAAGATCTAGAAAATTATGCAAGGCTCAGATGTTTAGATATCATCATTTAGGAGCTATATAGATATTCTACTCGAAATTCAAAGTCGATTTTTCTAACAATTTCTGTTTTAAAAAACCGGTTTATTGCTTTTTCTCTTTGATAAAAAAAATTCATCTCTCGGCATTGTTCTAGATAATCTATTAAAAAAATATTCAGAAAATATATTAGAAAAACTAATAATATACGATTCCATGCATCTTCATCCTATCAATCGTTATTCAAAATAATTAAGTATTATCATCAGGCGTCGTAACAAACAACTCTTATCAAAATTTTTATTATTATGACGTTAGTTGAAGAATGTTGAACAAAATAGAGAGCACTATAAGTAACAGTAGGCATTCAAAATATTCAAATTTGAAAAATATAAAGTTCCAAAAGTATATTATATAAGATTTGTTTGTATCATCAATCTATGCAAATATTTATTATCTGTAAGCTTATTGAACCAGGCAATAAATCAATATTAAGAAACTGCAAGCTATTGTGACGAGAGAACAATTTCATTCGTTATTCAATATCATACTTTAATTGTTTCGATCTCTACGAGACTGAGAAAAGTCTAAAAGAATTCAAATCTAAAATCATTTTGTGCTAAGGTTAGACATGATATCCTTTTTCGTATAGTTTTTGAACAACAAAACACTACATTCTTAACTTATTGTAGTAGAACAATATTTTTTTTTTCATGTAGACGAATTGTTCGTTTTGTTTTCCATTCTCTAATGTGCAATTACAATTGTAGAATTGATTTCTCAGACTTACTGTGCACAAGTGTCATGAACAGCTGCTCGGCCAGTAGCATAAAGAATTTTTTTATATCCTTCAAAATCTTTGAATTGTACAATAATATCATATAAATGATTTGGATCAGCTTGAAATTGTAAAGTACAATCAAGACTAATCGAGACACCATCTCGATTAAGACACTAAAATAAAATTACAAAAAAAAAAAAACATTTCTAAAATCATAATTCTTATTAAAAACAAACTGATATATCATCAAATTCCATTGATGTAAATACACTTGGAAATATAATAAATTTAAAGCCTGGTGCATTCAAATGTAATCCAGCTGCTTGAACATTTCGACCAAGTTTTTTTGAAATTGTATTATATGAAATTGCAACTTTAAAAAATCAAATTTATATTAATAACTAACAAATAAATTTAATACAAACTTTGATCTGTATTAAGTCGACCCAAACTTGCAATTGTAAGAGATCCTATTGTTATTAACAATAAAGCAATCACAACTGAAACTAATACATATAATGCTGCCGGCATATTAAAATAAAAGATAAAAGAATTTTCTTTCTAAAAACAAAAGAAAACATGAAGACTATTCAAGTTAATTTTATTCAAGAAACAAAAAGAAAATCTTGCAAATTGTATATTGACGACTAGTAAGTAAATAGATAAGAGAATGAATTACAAAAGAAAAAAACAGAAACTGACAAATGAATTATTGAAGACAAAGAGATTATATAAATGAGCACAAATTGTTAATTTGAAGTATCTATGTAAATTACAGAAAGAAGAAAAAAAAAGAAGAGAATATGAACATCTGACAGATGAAGTCATCTGATTTGGCTTTCTTTTTTTGTCGAATTTATATCTGACAGATATAATATACATATTAGATCTGTTTTCTTTTAAGGTTTAGGACAACTCTAAATAAAATTAAGAAAAAAATGATTTATGAAATGAAAATAAACATGTTTTTTTTTTTCTTAAAATTTACTTGATCTCGTAAAATTTCCCATTCATTATAAGCACGTTGATAATTTTCAAATTCTTTACACCAATCATTGTATTTTTCAATATATTTTTCAGCTGTTAAACAATTACATTCGCCATTACCTAAAATAAAATCAATATTTAGAAATTACAATACTTAACATAAAAGTTTATAATTCCATTTCAAAAATAAAAGCAATTAGCGTAATCGATTTAGGAGTAAAATATGAAACACAATATAGTTGTTGTTACTAATCACTGAGAATTTCTTTTATTGTATCTATTTAAGGACATACGTCTTCATTATACTTTTACTTAATCCTTTACAAGTACCATTGATATTTTGCGAGGGGAGAAGTATTGCCAAGACGTCTGTCACGGTCCGTCGATGGCATCTTTCAAGATCTTATTGTTTTTATGATCTGTGGGAGGGAGAAAATGATAGGTACAAATATCTACCTCATATACTTCAACACTCCTTGTAGATCATGTTTTACAAAAGACTAATTTTGTTTAGGTTTATTTATTAATGGCAGCTATGCAAAGCTTCATAAAATAAGTTTTCGCTGAATATGAATGATTCTTCGTATATATAGAAGTTGACTTTTCAATTTTAGAATCAACTAAGATTCACTTTCAAATTAGAAGATCTTGAAATATCTTTTTACAACACTGCAATAACAACAGAATAGAAATGTGTAGCTTTTAACTTTAGAAGTCGTGTGTTTAGATGAAGCTCGATGAACTTGCTGGTGAAAAACTTATCAGTCACGATTCGGAAACTAAGGATGATGGTGTTGTGAAGAACTTTAAAAAAAAAGCTTCCATGTATCTTATTATATCCAACATTTTTCATATAAATTGATGTATCTTCTTCATGTCGTCTACAGTTAAATTTTAAAGTCAACTCCGACATATATATATATATATCGGATAAGAAATCTCGTGACATTCAAAAAATAATTTACGTCGAGATAAATTTGTAACCGTTGACGCAACATCTCCATATACAAATGAATCTAATTAAAAAGAAAAATGAAATTAATTACAAAAAAATTTCAGATCATCTATTTTTTCTTACTTCGATCTGTTTCAAGTGAATATGAAACAATTGGTTGATGACCAATAAAACAAGTATATTGACCATTAAGTGAAGTATTCATATTAATAATAATTAAATCTAAATTAATTTCAATAAATATAAGAATTTCAATGTAAAAGAAAAAAATAATGAATTGTTTTTTTACTTTGTTCTTTTGTTAAAAGAAAATTATTAAATAATGTATCTTGAATATTTCGACCATTCCAACGCCATTCAATAGATGAACGTAAATGTTCACTAACATCACATTGTAACCAAACAGTTTCACCTTTTTTTCTTGTTAATTGAAGTATTTTACCTATGAAAAAATATTTTCTATTACATTTAATTCAAAAAAAAAAACAATTAAATGATCTACTTGGTCGTTGTACAGATTTTTTACACCAAGATTCTGGTTGTAAACGAGCAATAGCAAGTTTTTGATTACTAAAACAAAGTCAATCAAATAAATAATCCTTAAACATAATTTTTATTTACTTGTCATCCACATTTAAACATCGATTTGATTGTACATCATAATGACATAATGGATCACGTTCACACTCTACACAAAGCATATAACGATTACATTGATTAACTGAAAATTGATAAACTGCTATATCTGTTGATACATATAATTGTTTTGTATCCTAATTTAAAACAAAATAAAAAAAAGAAAAGTAATAAGGTCTATTCAATAAAATCAATAATCATTTATTTACTTGAGCAAGAACCATATTTCTAACAGGTGATTTTTCATTATTATTTTCATCTAATATCCATGATGTTAATAAAATAAATTTTTCACCTTTTTTCTTTTGTACTAATTTTAAAACTTGTCCATCTTGTGTACCAGCATAAATTAATGTTATTTGATTATCATTATTATAATTAATTGAATCTGTAACAAGACGAGTTATAATTATATTTGGTATTTGAAATGCTATTTCTAATGGTGGTGATGAATATACATTTCCATTCATAAGAACGTGTGAACGAAGAAAACTTAAAACTGTATCTGACAATGATCCATTTGATTCACACTAAATTAAATTTATTAAAATAAATATGAAGAAGAAAAGAAAAAAAAATAAATCATACATTTTTTGGTACGCCATCTGGTACATGATCACGTGGTAGTTCTCTCCAAAAACTACTTGAATCAGCTTCTTTAAAATTTCCATCGAGGATCGAATCAATATCACGTCGAGAATATTCACAAATAATTGATGTTGTTAAATCACCTCTATATATGAAAAACAAAAATTCATTATTAAATTCTTTGTAATTTAGTAGATGAACTCAATATGAATGTTTGTATCTTGTATAAGATTTCGTTTAAGGATATATCCTTCCCTCTTTTTAATCATTTCGAGTTCTTAAAGAGGATACAACTGATTTCCACGAAATGTTTACCGTAGCGCACCTGGTATAAAGAGAAATATGTTCGAGGACGAAAATTTTAAACAAAGATTTTGGAGGTTTTTTTCAGAAATGTTCTGGTTTTTCTTAGGATCACATTGGGCTTACTTACGACCTCCATTTGACTGTGTTCGATTGGGCTTAAAATTTTTTGGAGATACTTTAGACTATATCTTAGAGGTGGTTTTAAACTTTTTCAAAAATCTCATTTACTTTGTTTTCATGAAAGAATTACGTTAAATTTCGAATCCAAAACCCGAGTGCTGGTGTTCAGGGCTCTATAAATTCGAATAAAAAGACCAAAAACGAAAACGGGTGAATTCACCTCTGGAGAATACTTCCAAGTATCTGCTGTTAAGATTTCAGCCCGATCAGAGATAGACGGTGGCCATAAGCGGATCCGATGCAGCCCTATGGAAAGACAGAACTGTTTCGAAAAAATTGCGAAAATCTTGTTTAAATTTTTTTGCTCGAACATGTGTTTCCTTATTTCAGGTGCTCTGTAGTAAAAATTTCATGCAGGTCCGTTGTACCTAGACATGTACCAAGCTCAAACTCAAACTCAAACTGTTTGGAAGTTTGAGTTCGGATATTGTGTTTGGATTTTGATTTGGTACTAAAAGTAATCGAATGATTCAAGTTTGAGCTTAGGTTCACTTCTGCTTATGTTATTTTCTTCCAGGGATGCCGTACTAATTCTAATTCCAGTTGAATCCGCTCTAGTAGAAAATTTGAAATTGAAATTGGTGCACTTCTGGAGCAGAAGTGGGCCTAAGCTCAAATTGAAATCATTTCATTACTGTTAGTACCAAGGCCAAACCATTTGGATTTCGTTCATATCTAGTTGTACCCTCTTCAGAAACTAGAAATGGTCAAAACAATAGAAGATACTCCTAAGAATACCTCCTTTCCCGGGTTTCTCAAGAACGACTCGACAAAGAATTTTGAAACTTTCCAGGTAGATAGATCTCGATTAGTAGAACAAAATTGTCATAGACTCAGAATTCCTGGACGGCCTCCTTTTAAGAGATATAGGAGACGTAAGAGCCAAAACTTAACTGAAATTCCTTCTTCTCGCGCAAACAACCATAATTCATTTTTTATGACTGTATTATTTTTTGTAACAACTAGGATTAAATTGGAGTCTATATAGTTTTTTCTTTGAAAAATATTATTTTCGTCACTTAGGAAAATCAAAATAATGGAAGCCCTGTCAAAAAATGTGTTTTTTTTGGTTAGGGCAAATTTTGTAAGATCTGCTAAAAATCACTGAAACATTATTTTAAGACAAAAAATATATGTATACCTCGATTCGATATTTCTTGTCACACAAAAAAATTTAAGCTCAATCGATCGAAGTGTCTGGAAGAAAAAGAGGAGAAACTTCAATTTTACTATTTCAAAATTGATTTTGAGAAAAACACGAAACAATGTACAGTTTCGATAGATACTACTTAAGAATATTAAATAGATTTTTCTGAAGTCTCATACTAAAGAAAATAATTTTTAAAATAATTATGATAAATGAATGCAACATTCAAACATGAAAAACTACCGAATAGAATGAAACTACTAAACATCGATTCATAACTAAATCAACATTAGCAGAACTAATAACCAAAAATGTTTCATTATTATTTCATCAATGTAAATAACCTATGAATCACCGTTTATTTTTCATACACTTTTCTATATCGCATTCGCAATCATAATGAGTACAACATGGTTTGATGTGTTTTATATAATTTTAAAAAAACCGTACTTCTATACGATGTGTATCGATTTAGATAAATTTATATCTTCTTTTTTTTGTTGATATCTCGGTGGACGTAATATGTCCATATGAAAACAATAAAAAAATTCTCTTGTACAATTTTAAATGAGTTCATTTAATTTGTTCTAATTGGCAATCTATCAGAAATTATTCGAAGATTCTTTTTATATCTGTGTTAAGACAATTCTTCATAGATATAATGTATCGAACTGAAATTCTTACTTTTGAGTAGACCTGCAACAGTTCTCAATTCAATGAACCAATTCCTTTTTCGAGAATTGGATAGAATGAACAGTTCTGTTTTTTCAAGAACTACGGCTAGTAATCATTTCTTTTTTTAGCACTGGACCTAGTGACTAGTCCGTTTTTTTGAGAATTAAGTTCCTCTATTCCAGCATTGTTTCCGCTAGCTTCATCCCAGCACATTTGTGCAGTTTAAAAACATGGTCCAGAATGAAGCAATTATAAATCTAATGGGTAGATTAAAATGAAATGTCTGATGACATCAGTTCATTCAAAAAGTATTGCTATATAAATCAGTTTTCATCAAAGGAACTGTTGGAATAGTTCTCAACGTCGGAACTGTCGTAGATCTACTTATGAGATGTCTAACTCGAGATATGCCCTTCTCTAAAAATGCCATCAAGACTAAATGATCGAGAAAAGCAATATTTTTTTTGAGGAGACTCCTTAATCTCAAATAGTCCTAGATAAATATTTGAAGTAATATCGAATTTATTTAAGTTAGACTTGTGTCTAAAAATGAATGACACATTTATAACCTTTTATGAATGACACATTTATAACCTTTTATGAATGAGTAATAAAACTATTCATGAATTGAACTTTTATATATGAACTATCGATCATAAAAAACAAGCATTCCTATTGAATTTTAACTTACTAATCAAAATTTCTAAATTTCATACATGATTTCAAATCAAAATAGTACTTCGATTTACGTACTTTCATTAAAAGTTAATTTATGACTAAAGATTCTATTTTTTTTGTCAAATATTTACTTACGGTGAACTAGTAAATGAAACAAAAAATCGATCATCATGTAGTTTTGTCACAGCATCTAAATAAAAAAATATTTTTTTTCAAAATAAAATATCTTTATTTTAATTTTATTAATTTAATCTTACTTATATCATTGAATACAAAAGGTGAATCATTTACACCACTTAAACAAGTTATTCTTGCTTTACGAAATGTTGTCCATGTATTAGCCATAATTGTTGCTGTATCAATATCATTCTTAAAGTAAAATCAAAATTTATTTTTCAAAATTAATCCAAAAAAGCTTATTTTTACTTTGCATAAACGACCAACACGAGAATAAATTTTTGGAAATATATCACGTTGTTCTTCAGCTTTTTCTCGAAAGAAAAAATATATATTTGAATCAACATCAAATGAAGCAATAAATTCGGGTGCTAAATAAAAACAAACATAAAAAAAAAATATTATCATTCATTTATTTAAAACACATTAACAATTTACCACTCAACCAATCTGTATCATATTGAGGAGTACGTAAAAATTTAATATTTCCATCATCAGATGGTGGTCGATAAATAATTGGCTCAGTTTTTGTATAATCAATAACAGCACCCGTATAAAAAAATCCATAATTTTGTGGATTACCTTCATCTAATTAATAACAAAAAAAAATTCTTAAATAAAAACAAACAAATATGTCATACCTGACCAAAGAGCAGTGTTATTATGACGAGGATCTCGTGAACAATAACCAAAACCTTCTTTACTTCCTTGTTTTTCAGTTAAATCAGGCTACAAATATAATTTCATAATTAGAAAAAAAAAATAAAAAATTTTATAAATAAATTTCTTACATTAAAATAATAAAGTTTTGGTGAAAATGCATTTGTTGAACATACAAATATATCATTATATTTTGTTTTACGTCGTAATAATACTCGAACATGATTTTCACAATCAAAAGCCTTTGAAAAAAGACAAAACACAAAATATAAAATATACATGTATATATTTATGAGTAACATCATTTGTTAGCAATGTGACTTTTGCAAAATTAGAACACATATATCTCGGGATAAGGAATTTTCTTAGAACTAGCTTCTATGTGTTGTTGTGACGATCTTTGATAGAAGAAGTACTAGTGCGAATGAAATTACGCTTTAGTCAGCTTTCTCACATCATCAATCGTACCGTTTATACACACAACACATATTGATATACGCATTCAGAAGAAAGAAAGATAGAAATAACAGAAAGGATAGTCATGGAAACAGATAGTTATATTGGTGTTGTCACATTCTCACATTGGAATCAGCCGCACTCCTGTGTGTCTTGGAGTGAATACCAAGGACAAAAGTCACAAAAGCTTTCATCAGGTAAATGAAATCGCCAAGACAATACAACAAATTATGGGAAGAGAAACACAATAAAAAAAAATTAGTCGTACATGTCAAAGGGTTTACAAAAGTCGTCGATAACAGCAGTCAACAGGGTGATTAGATTAATACAGTTGGGAAAGGCGGCATATAGCATACAAGCCATATTGAACCGATAAATCGACACCAATAATTAACAAGTAAAGAAGAAAGTAATAGTTTGACACGACAGTCAGTATGAGATAGGGTGAAGACCTAACGACTGCGTTTGTAATTTGCCACGCAAATTGCGTGGCCGATTAGTTGATAAACCGTTTATTTAAGCTGCCATCGATTCAGATCATGACATGTAGTGATGAGAGCGGTATTGACCGGTGAATTTATGGTGCAAATGATAGGAGTATTGTGGGAGCAAAATAGATACAAATAGTGATATTGGATATCTATTGGTATATGCGATGCAGGTGCATGCATGAAATGGATGAGATAAATCAGCAGGCAGTAGGAGATGAACACTTCCAAGACATTCTTCTCATGGATGGGTCTGCTATTCGGTTGGCAGAATACTATCTTAACTACCTCCAAATTGAGATTGACTCGGCTATTTGTATGCCGCCGCCGATTTACCAATACGAGCCCACCGAAGGCCACTGCCGTCCATTACGATGAGGATACTAAATGCTACAACAATGTCCCGCCAGCACTACGATTTAAGATTCAGATTTGACATATTATGGTTTGAATTTTCGTTGTTGAAAACAAATGTGACGCAAGAAAGATGTATTGGCTCAACATTAAAATCATCGACTTCGAACAGAAACTTGCGAGGATTCGTTAGTCAAGATCGTCAGATGTGACGATTTTTGATAGAAGAAGTACTAGCACGGATAAAATTACGATTGATTCAGCTTCCTCAAATCATGAATCACACCGTTTACACACACAACACACATCGATATACGCATCTAGGAGAGAGAAAGATAGGAATAACAGGAAGGACAGCCATGAGAGAAGAGAGACATGTCGGTGTCGGCACAGCTATGTATATGTTAAGTTACTCTAGATACAGTATTTTATCCAGATTTTCTCTTTTGGAGGGGCAATTTAAAATTTCGAGTGGATGAACACCTGTTTTAAGAAGCACAGATACATCGTACATGGTACACTAATCAAAAACTCCGCAAGGATCAATTCAATTTTTCGAAATTGCGCCGCCCTCACGTTGAATAAAAACTGCTTAGATACCCTTAAAAAGTCAGTATTAGAGATTTTTGTTCAGGAAAGCCATTAGTAAAAGCACAGCATTAAGAAGGATATTGACTTTCACTTCATGTATTTCAGTTTAAAAAAAACTGAATTGAGGCAAAACTAAATCGTATATTCTGTAGACAATTGTTGAGGCTAGAAAATCTCTATCAAAAGTTTTTTCTAAACATGCTTAGATATTTCAAAAGAATTGATTTACTTTTCCATTAACGATGTGACGAAGTTCGAATACACAAGTGGAAAAATGCTCTTATAACTGAATGAGAACTTCAAAACCAATTTAAAATAGTAAAATTTCTTCATCAGAATCTCTAAAAAATCAGTTTTTTAAGAAAAAGTTTTTTGAAATTGGATCTTGTTGATAATTTCATCATATATGCGGTTCGTATCGTAGAGTCTATTCTGAAGTTTTCGAATATTTTGCTAATAACTTTTTAACATGTGTACTGGAATAAATTGCACTAAATCTTGGTGCATAACTGTACACAATTGACGACCTTGTTTTTTCAAACAAGTTTAACCTTGTCGATGCCAAATTAAAAAGATTTACATCTACTCAATCACTCGCCTGCTGTTTCCTATTCTCTGCTGACGCTTATTGACTTTTGTAAAATCAATGCCAATAGATAGAAGTTTTGTTCTCTATGCCTCTACGATCTTGTCAAGGTTCTCGAGATTGGTGTTTACGAGGAAAAGATTTGCAACGGACAACTGTCAGTATTTTTGAGTGCATTTTACAAAATCATGTTTTCAAAAGCTAGATTTGCTCTATGAAAAAATTATTATTATATTATCGGATATAGAACTTAAATCTGAACATCACTGTGTAAAGATTCAATTAAACCATGAAAATATTTTGGTTATTTTGAGTTAGAAAATAACGATGACATAGATCTAACAGAAAAAGAACTTTTTCTGATGCTCTCGTTTTTTTTTTGTTTTATTGACCATCGAAGTTCGACAACTAAGTAAGTAATCTTCTTCTAAATATTGCATTGACAAGAGAAAGTTATCTGCGAAAAAATAGCTTAGAATTCTGTCTTTAGGCATAAGAGAAAATTTTTTTGATGATTAAGAAACAACAGAAAAATGCACTGAGATCTAGTACAATTTCTCTTGAGACACCTGTTAGCTAAGTAATACTCAGATGAAAGAGCCAACATTTTTTTCATATGTCTATGGTAAAAGAACTTATTCAGAAAAATAACTTTTGTAAAGAATCAAAGTCAAATGAAAGATGGATATGTCCCTTTTTGCCTGAAAATGACTCATACGTATGTGATTTATTAAAACATATACCTGATTTAATGAATGTGATAAACATTTTTGTACTTCATCTCGTTTTGATGGAAGATCAATTGATTTATAAATCTATTTAATTAAATATATTTATCTTATTATTCTTAATAAATCCCTTACTGGACTTGTTCGATCTTCAATATTATCTCGATCTAATCGAACGATTAAATTTCTATTTAAAAAAAAAATAGATTTAGATTACAAAAAAAAAAACATTTAATACACATAACAACTTACTGTCCACCAACATAAAGACTATCATCATCGAGTAATAAATTCCAATAATAATTTAAACCTGATGAATATTTATGAATAGCTATTGAACAAAAATGAATAAGATAGAAAGTTCATTTCATATCGTTTAAAATCACTTACAAGTTGGTACATATTTCGATACAGGAATAATTGGTATTGAAGAACTACCAACTAATGCAATACCAAATAGAACAATGATAAAATTAGATATCATATCTAAAAAAAACAATCACATACATAGAAGAAAATAATAATAAAACGAACGTATCTCTCTAAAAGAATCCTTTATTATATAAAGTTCGCAATGCAGAAATAAATAAAAGAAATCTTTACGTTGCTGATTGGTTATCTTCGAATAGAACTATAGTCTATAAGAGATTTTTTACTTCACCTATTTTGTATTAGTTTAATGAGGCTAAATGACATATGTGAGTTTCACATTTCAGCTCGAATGGAGCTGTGCTAACAAGGTTATTTCATTAATATTAAGAGTATTTATGTATAAATAACGACCCATTGTATAGATCTATGTTAACCAATAATTGATGAAAAACCAAATTCTCATTCTATTTCTTTCATGAGAATTCATAACAGAAAATACAATATAATACATAGTTATAAAAGAATTTATGAATGAGTCGATAATGTTACATAACGATCAAGTGCGAAAAGATTATTGTTTGTTCTAAAGATATCATCTATAAAGAGAAATTATAGACTAAATTAATTAATCTTTTCAACTTACCAACATTATTTTTTCATCTTAATTCATATCATTGTTAAATATAATAAATAAAATGATTTACTAGCAAAATACTTGAAAACTATTCATAAATTAAGATAATAATTTCCATGATCATCGGATAGTATTAAATAAATACAATAAGGCTTCATAGATCAAAAACAAATTGAAGCATCACCGAGCAACGAAAAATTTAAATTAGTTACTTTATATTTCGCTTTACATAAATGTATTAAAAAAAAAATACTATGATAATTATTTTAAAAACTGGAATTTATTTTGAATCATTAGGTTTTAAATTAATTCTGGTGATTTTCTTCTCGAATGATCTTAAACAATGATAAGATTGAATCATATGTGGATAAAAAAAAACCGAGGTCACACAATGACAAGAGGCTAGTGTGTGGGTTTTATCAAAAAAAAACACTCGACATTCAATTTTCGGAATAAGCGAATCGTTAGATTAGAAAAAAACAAAAGCTATAATATCACAATTAACAGTAGAAGTAAACTAAATGTTTTATATCCAACCGTGCGACTATGACCTACTTCATCTCTATGTTTACCGATGCCATATTTGAATGACAAATAATAATCCATAATTATTCATATGACTATTGGCGACATCAGGTCAAACTATTTTCATAAAAAATATCTATGATTGAAATATTTTTTTAAAGAATTCAATAAAATAATGCATGAAGATTGCTTAAATAATGATTTTAAAATATTTGACTACAACCAAAAACTAATGACCTCTGTCAAAGATCCTTGACATTCGGATTGCGCATATGACCAACACCATAAGAGAAGAAGTTCGATAAATAGATATATTTGTTTTTTTTTGTTCTTTAAATAGTAAGAAGACGTCACGATAATATGTACTGTTTATTATTGTTCTATTGCTTTTTTTTTTAATAAATTTCGTAGAGTTTTTAATTGACCCATCAAATATTCGTGCATAATATATTGTAGAAATCTTTTAATCAATTTTTATTTCTTAATCATTTTAATTAATTTTCATTTTCGACGGATCATTAATAAAGATGACCCGCATATTATTAATTCTTCCGTATCTTCTTTTATCAATTATTCAAATGACTTTCTCCGATGTCTTTGTGGTATGATGATTAAAAAAAAAGGATTTTTCTATTTTAATGATTGCATTTTCTTTTATTAGTATAATGCAGTAAATAAAGCTGTTGAAGATTATGATGATCAACCAGCGAATTTTGGTCCATCATTTCCATCTAATGGAATAACAGTAATAGATTGCTTTTTTTAATATATATTTTTAAATTGTATTTTTTTTCTTTACAAAGGGATATGTGATCTTAACAAATCCAAAAAATGCATGTACTAAAGTAGCACCACCACCTAATATTCCGACATCTAAATATCGTTGGATTGCACTTATTCCTCGTACAAAATTAGACGATATGTGTGATTTTGATCTTAAGGTTAATTTTGTTTTAATCATTTTCTAGTATTTTATTTTATTTTATTTTTTTGTTTTTAGGTACTAAATGCTCAAAATGCAAATTTTAGTGCAGTTATTATTTATAATTATGAAGATGCACTTATCACAATGGGTCCACATGGAAGAAGTAAAGAAAAAAAATAATATAATTCATATTCAATAGAAGTTTTTTTTTTAATGTTAGGTATACAGATACCATCAACATTAATAATGTATTCTGATGGATTATCAATTATCTTAAATTATTTATATAATGAAACAACAGCAAATTCAACTCCACAGTAAATATTTTATTTACAGAGTGGACTATAAATAACACTAAGATAAAGAAATGAAATATCTCGATGTTGGTTCAATCAAATGGGATCATTTTTTTATGCAAACAATTTTAGCTGTTATCAAGTAAGAAAAATACATATGAAACATTTCATAGATAATTTTTAGTTTTCATCTAAGAGAATAATAATAAATTAAAACGAACTATATTGATACATATAAAGCAAATTTTCAGAACTAGTTAGTTTAAACGTCAATGATTATAAAATTTCGAATTTTTAAACATGAAAAAATTTTTGTTGCAAGAAAGTTTGTGTTCAAAGACCTGCGATTGTGTAATTTACTTAAGAGACACAACTTTCAACATTTAAACTAACTAGTTTTAGAAACTTGTTCTATATGTATCAATATATTTCATTTTGACTTCTTATTATTATTCTCTTCGATGACAACTGATGATTTTCTATGGAAGGCTTCATATGTATTTTTCTTACTTGACAATAGTATTTGTTTACGTTATCCGTATAACAAAAAAAAACTTCAAACAAACTACCACTAATCAAAAAAATCAGCTAATTCGACCGAACAGAAGCAGAGATATTTCAATTTTTTATCGTAGTGCTATTTATGATCCATCTTGTATATTTATTTTCATTGATGGAATTGTTTCTTTTCTTTTTGTTTTTTATTAATAGATTTCATGTAAAAATAACTACAGGACAATTTAACTTTGGTGCTTATTTAATACCATTTATTTGTATTATTAGTGTATCATTTTTTGGTCTTATTGGTTTTATGGTAAGACCATGAATTGAATAGAAAAATATTTTCATTATATTTTGTTTAGTTGGTTAAATGTTATTTACAACGACGTCGTTTACGTCGTCATCGTTTACCACGTTCAGCACTTAAACAATTAAAAATAAAAAAATTTGCTAAAGGTGATCGTTGGGAAGTTTGTGCTATTTGTTTAGATGATTTTGAAGAAGGTGCAAAAATACGTATATTACCTTGTGATCATGGTTTGTTTGTTCTTTCTTTGACTCTAGAGTTTTTTTTAATTTTATTTTCTTATCATTCAATTATTTTTTAGCTTATCATATGAAATGTATTGATCCATGGTTATTAAATAATCGACGTCAATGTCCAATATGTAAACGTTATGTATTTCCTAATCATGATAATTCAGATGAAGAAGAAAATAACGATCGAACACCTACAGAACAAACACCATTAATACAACCATCTAATGATATTTCAGTTCCAATTCTTTCAAGAATTCGTCAAAGAGGTAAATATATAGTGTGTTACAAAAATTAGTCTCTTTAATTGAATTCCAATAACTTATTCATAGATTACAATTTAACGACTATTTCATATTTCTAGCATTGTCGAGATCTATAAATTGTGTAAATGTGAAGTAACATTTATTTTGATATGAACCTACCAGTGCTCTACCTAGCTTTTCTCTTTCGGAATGGCGAATACCTGTTTTCGAGAGCATAGACACACAGCACATTATAGAAGAACCACAAATTCCGGAAGAGTCAAACTAATCTTTGAATGTGCGCCACCACTTTGACCCTCACGATAGATAAGACACTGGACACTTCAAAAAAAAAGATAGCAATGTTACTAAGTCCAGGATTGATAAAATTTATAAGATCGATTCATTCTTTCCAGATAAGAAATAAACTAAAGTTTTATATTTCTGTCAATGGTCATACTTTGAAGAAGTAGATTTCCTGTATTTAATAAATCTTTCAATTTTAGAACGTCGAATCCTAAATTCAACAGGTACTGGTGCTTCTAATTCTACAACTGCTATTAATGGATCATCAGATACTGATGATGATGATGATGATGATGATGACAACCATGATGCATCGTCACTATTAAGACAAATAACAACAACAAATCATATAACTACTAATGATCTTGTATTCAATCGACCATTAACGAATTCTCAAAGTTATTCAAATCCAGAATTATCACATGTTCATTTACATCAATCAGATTCCGAAGATATCGATAATAATACAACAGCAACAACAATAACAACATATGAAAGTTTACATGATTCTTTATCAACATCATATACAACACCTCGTGCTGCAAATTTTTTTGTTGGTTCACCTGGTGGTACAACTGATAATACAAATATATCAGCACATTCAGTTATTGAAAATGTTAGTGACATTGAAACAGATGATAATGATGAACGAATGCATTCAGTATTAACTGACGTTGAAATTAATCATGCATATGTTTCTGATGATGAAACAACAAATGTACTTAGAACGAACTTGTAAATTTTTTTTTTTTGCTGTTCATATTCTTGGCTTGTCTTTCCAGGTATTCAAACAGTGTATTTCTTTTTCTCTTATTTAATTAATCGAGTCAATCTATATTACTAATTTTGTTCATACAACAAATCAGTTTATACATTCATGCAAACAATGTATCAAGCGTTCATTGTTATCTGTTTCTTTTGTTGTACTATTTTTTTTTCTGATTTTCTTTGTATTTTTTTTTTGTTTGCAAATGTGACATAATTTAAGAAAACAAAAAATTACTTTTCAAAATTTTCTGATCAATCTCTTTCCTATTTTCCATAATACGTATGGGAATGCAGTAATACTATTGCATATCATCAAAAAACAACAAAAGGTATGAACTACAAGTAACATAAGATACATTCAAGAAAATTCGATTTAATATGAATCTTCTTTTTCGATCGATAGTTTCAGTCTGTCTCTATAGACAAAATATTATATGGAAAAGAGAGAAACAACCATCACTTTTGTTTTTCTCTCGTCATACTGGTCGTCGATATAGATCACATGTATACGTATTAGAGGGCAACATATATCATCGAGGCACATATATGTATATCCTTTGTTTTCATCGTCGACGCATCACTCTCTTGCTCCCGATTATATCATTTCGTTTTTTCTCTCTCCCTCTCTTTTCTCTAGTCTGTGGCTGTTTCGTCCGTCCGTCTGTCACGATCTATAAAAAGCGGAGGTCATATGTATATGATTCCACTTGTTTGTTAACGTCGATTTGGTAAGAAAAAAAAAGGTGAGAAGGAAAGTAGTACAAAACTTTTTCGGACGCAATCACCGGTTATCAGGAACGCTTTGATACATGACTCGGCGTGTCTGTTGACCGGTGAAAACTGTTTGAAAATCGTTTGCCATGGATTTATCTCTTCTTCGTGCATTTTCACTGTTCGATGTGCCTCCCTTGAGTAAACGACAAGACTAGGGAGATACAGGGACGGTGCCACTGCGCGTAAGATTTTATTTACTTTATTATTTTTTTTTTCTTTCTATATATCAAATTCCGCTGATGTGTGTAAGCTACTGTTCTGCTTGTGCCACGCTACGCGAATCGAATGTGAGCGAAGTACAGCAGCCAGTACATGACGCCATCAATATTCCATTTTTTTTTGAAAAATGAAAAAACAAGAAATTCACTTTATGTCAAATAGACAACTGTTCAGTTATACCTCGCTTGGACATATAAAGGAGCGAAGCATTGCTGGACAGTAGTCGAATTGACAAATGATCGTCCATGATAGTGAAGTTGAAGAAAAAACTCGGATCTTCATCTCACTGTATTTCCTACCTCGCTATTGGTATGAAACAGCGAGCGTAGGTAATGGCAGTGGTCTGAAGTTTATCTGAGAGTACGGATGAATATTCTATTTGTTTTTATTCTATTTTTAATATTTGAATCATTATTTCTAGCGAAACGTGAAAGGTTATTTCCTTAAGTACGGATAATATCAATGAAAAGATTACAATAGAAAAGTTATTAGAAAATTTAAAATGCATTTTATAACTTAGCTTGTGCCACAATTAATATAGCTTATTATCTATATCAAATTGTAGATCACAATTGCTTGAATATTGACGTCAGAAAATGTCTTCATTCTTAATAATTCAGTATTTTCGAGTGCATATATATTTGAAGGTCAAAGAATATTACATATACTACGTTACGCTTTTGATGATTGAAATACAGAACCATTAATGATATAATGGCATGAACGAATTTAAAGATGTCGACAAAATTGAATTTTGTTTTTGTTACTTACATAAATATTACAAAGAGAAGAAAAGTTTTGATAGCACTTCTAATGATCATCGAAAAAGTATTTTTCAAAAAAAAAATCGATAGAAGACATAATCGTACTATTCAAAAATGGTGCATACAGCTGAAAATATTTTACTTAATTGAGAATATTAACAAATATTGTATGAAAAATGAAGTGAAAAGTAGAAATTATCTCATGAATTATGACAGATACTACGTACTTACGTAGATAAATAACATGTCACTGCTCTTGCAAGAACAAGAAAAAAATGAATATAAATTTATATAAAAAAAAGGAAAAACAAGAAAGAAAAAAAAACAAAAATCAATAGTATACATCGAGCATAGTACTACCATGGCCATTTACATTGATCGAATGAGGTCTATAATCTCGTGATATACCTGCTACAGGTCGATTAGAATATTGAGAATTATTTAACAATTGTCCATCGGATGCACGTAGAATAAATTCATTTGTATCGAGATATTGCAATTTTGTCGGTTGTTTTCTATGAGAGTTCGATGGTGGTGGAGGTGGTGGTGGTGCTGGTCCTGGTCGTTTTTGTTGATTTTGTTGTAGTTGTGTCTTTACAGATAGTTTATTATTTGGGTAACTTGCATAAAGTGGATGTTGTAAAGGTGCTGAAGTAGTTCGTCGTTGAATTGGTGGACTTAATTGATGACGATGATGATGATTATTATTATTATGATTATAAGATGCTTGAACGATTGGAGTTTCATATGACAATAAATTTGGTTGTGAACCGATCATTACTGGTGATGTAGCTGTCCAAAGTGGATTTGTTGAAATAGGTGCACCACTTCCATTGACAAGACGACTTTCATAACGAGGACTAAGATGCATTCTAAGCTGTGGATCATATAATAAATTTGTTTCAGAACGAGTTCGATATTCATGTGGTATTTGTTGATGTTGATGTTGATAATGAGTATGATGATAATAAGCATTTAATTCATTTTTCAATGATGAATTTGGTTGTGGTAAACTATTTTGTAATTCATAATTATTATTATTATTACGAGTAAAAAGTTTTCTATTAGAATCAATATAAGATATAGAATTAAAAAAAAAATAAATAATGAATAAAAATATATACTTAGTAATAGCAGTAATTTGTGGTGGTCGAAAACGAAAAACTGGTTGTTTATCTTGTTGTTCATTTTCAATATGTTCAATATTACCATCATTATCAGTCAATATTGAACCTGTTTCATCTTTAAGAAATTCAAATGCTAAACTGACAGTTTCTACCTAAATGAAAATCAAAAAAAGAGCAATAATAATAATTTTTAGTTTTTCGAAAGATCATTTTGTTTTTTTTTAAATTCTATACCGGATCAATAGTGGTATCACTTCTTTGAGTTGAAAAACGTGGTCTTCCATTTTTTTCAATAACACCATTATTCAATTCGTTTTTTTTAAATTCATCTGTAGTAGAGTTATTACTTGATGAATGATAATTTGACAATGCTTGCCGTCGTTTGTGATTATTATCTGGATCGATTGGTGTATAACCAACAATTGTCGGCTAGAACAAAGTAAATGAAATCAATATGATAGTTTTCTTTTTTATTAGATTTATATGAAATTTTTCAAATAAAATTTCGATCACCTTTGATCTAAAACATAAGCCATAAGTAGAACGTAATTTAGCAGTTAAAATATTAGTAAAATTTGTTGGTAGTAAACTATCATGTTTGAAACGAACCATTATGTCATTTGACTCGAATAGCACGTATAAAAAATGTTCATTGACTAGTCTTTTTTCACTCAGACAGAATAAAGAACAAAAAGAGAGAAATGCAAATCTCTTTATCAAGGGATGATGTGATTAAAATGTTGTCGTTGATTGTAAAGCAAGAGACGTCGTGAACAGTGAGAGTGTATGTATTTGCCCAAGAGAAGATGATGACGAAGAAACGATGGCGGTAGCTACCTCAGATCAAAAACGAGTGAGAGAGAGAGAGAAAGGAATTGCTTACTAAATTGACATCTTTTCGTTATATATATACTGACGCCAACAAGGCTTTTTTTTTTCTTTAAGTAGAACTCTCTGTTCAATACATGTAATGAGTTATTGATTGATCGAAAAAAAGTAAGGCAACCTTTAATGTGAAGTACGAGTGAGTGTGCGGAATGTGAAAAGAGAAAGTGTATGTACGAAATTCTTATTCAATCAAAATGTTTTTCTTTTTACCTCTGTACTTTTCCATGCTTGTGCTCGTTGAATATTTCCATGTGATACATGTACTGTATCATAATCTTTAGGTGGAAATAGAAGAGGTTCTTGTGAATGAAGTTTTTTTTGAAATTCTTCTGTAATTGATTTAACTGGATCGATTTTATCTTGTCGACTACTAGAATTTGTTGATGAAGATGAAATATTTGCACTTGTTTTATTAGATTTTAAAGTTGTTGTATTTGATGATTGTAATTGTGATTTTGAACTTTCATAATTATCTAAATTAAGTAAATTATGTTGAAGTAAATGTTGTTCGAGTTGTACAATTTTAGAACGATGATTATCATTAAGTGTATATGCACGAATACGAAGTAATAATTTTTGAGCAGTACGTGTTGAATCACACCGGTATACATGAACAAACGCTGGATAATGACGACCAGTAAGTGGTGATATATAAACAACACCTAATTTTCGAAACAAAAAACAAAAAAAGTTTTTGTTTTTTTTAATTAAAATTTTTAATTAAATTACATACCAAGAGTATCATTGAAAGGAGATTTTCCAATAACTGAACCAGCAATCATAGAAGATGGTACATGTGTAGAATATTTATGTTCATTTTCATAGATAATTTTAACACCATCTCGACATACTGATATTGTTGTTTTAACAAATTCACTTTTTGATTTAACTTGTCGAATGAAATTAATTGCATCTCGTATTGATGATTCATTTAAAAGTAATGTTGCTGCTGTACAACCACAATAATCGATATGAAATGATTTTGGTTTGGAAAATTTGTGCAAAGCCATTGGACAAATCTATATATATATACGAATTATATATTGATAGAGAAATAAATGAATACGCGACTACTCATATACGCTCGAAGTTTGTCAATAAAACGAAGAAAAAACACAATGAAAGAAGAGACTAATGAACAGCTTCTATACTAGAATAGATGCGACCTTGAGACAATAGCTCTGTCGACAATTTTTTTTTTTTTTTGTTGATATTGGAGAACGTGACTTTCATTTTGTTTACGACAAAGAGGAAGATAAAGATAAAGCTTAGCTATTAATTGAGACAAATCGATGCGTCTATCTATCGCCTTGAACAGTTCCGTTTTCTGAGCTCTCCATACTGTTCTAACCTTCTTTTCTTCCTCTTTTTATTTTCTTTCTGAACAATTAAAACAGTTCTGTTTCAATTCTCTCGTATTCTCTACAATGTCAATGAGTTGACTTTATCTACTTTTTATAACATGACATTCATTACTAAGTTAACTAATAATAATTTTAATAATTTTATTTGAACAAAACATAGGTGAATTTTAGTAATATTACATTCATACCTTATTATTTTGATCATAAAAATATAAAACTTAAGCAGGGTGAAAAAGAAAGAAAGAAAGAAAATAGAACAAAATCTGTTGAGAAATGATTTCATTCCATTGAGTAATAGTGACGAATGCTCACATAGGTGTGAATGATAGAAAAAATAAGAGAAATATTGAATATCTGATATAGCTCTATGAATAAAATATGATTCTAATTTTTGTATTTCGTTGTTTTTTATTTTGTAATTATTAATCAGACACTTGACAAGAAAGTGAAAAGTGATACGAAACAAAATTCACCTACTCATTTTATGTTTCTTATTCTCGAAAAGTACGTGTGTATATATTGTTAAAAAAAACAACATCATGTAGTGTTTCTTTTTTTTTTTTTTCTTTTTCTGTGCCGTTTACTCGCTTAATCAGCATCTTAGATTATTATTTTTTTGCTTCATGAAAAAAAAAAATTCTTTTCACCGTTTTATAACATGCGATTAGGAACGTAAATGTCAAATAAACATAGAAAAAAAAGGCAAGAGTCGATTGTACAAGAATCACAAGAAATGAAATTTTAAATTTAGTTAGATTTTGTTGAAACAAAACCATATAAAATGACAAACATATTCTATTCAATACCACAATACGATGCAGATATATTTGCAAATCCTTCAAAAAAAAAAAAACCACTAAGACGAACGCCAAACACAATCAGAGGTATATTGAAGGTGAAAAAGTTCACTGAAGAATCATTTTTCATTTATTTAAATCATGATATTTGAATATAAGAATAATAATTGTAGCAACAGAAGAATGAAAAAAAAATGACCATGAATACGTGTAGATAATAATAACAACAAGTTAGAAAAATATCAGTAAAAATGTCATCAATAATGATGAGAAGAATCAGCGTGAGACCATACGAAATACTTTCACAAATATTAATTACTAAAACAGTAATATATATAACACATAATGGAAACCTCATGTGTTATGAAAAATGTTATCCTAAACATGAAGGTATAAAAAAAAAAGTGTTTGAATATGAAACAAAAAGAGATGCATATAGTTAGTAAATAGATAATAAATAGTATTGACAAAAAAACAAAAGGACATTATTTAGGTATGATTATACAAAGAATTCGTTTTTTTTTTCTATCCATACGTACAAACTTTTAGACATTTATTAAATTATTCAAATTAAACTCTTAAATATTCTATGTTTTTCTTTCAAGAAGGATTCATTTCAAATTCCATGAGAATATATAACTTACAAAAACATACAGTTCTCAAACAAAAAAAATACTTCGATTGCTTTTTTTCATTACATTATTTAACATGACCATGAATCGTGTTTACATACATAAAATACTTACATATTACCTTTTCATATGCATACTCTTGTCGTTTTTTAATAACTTTATGAGAGAAATAAGAGATGATGATAACTCTTACCATGTATTTCATGAGATGACAATAACGGTACACCAATGTCTTATCGAATAGTTACTTGGTATTCTGCCTTACGAACACATTTATCTTTGTATTTTTTATCTTATAATTGTCAACATCTTCTTTTCAATTCTTCTTCATAGTCATGTTTTCAGCATAAAAGAAATGACGATTCTTGTTTTTCTATTATTTTTAATCATTGATCTTTTTCTTTTTTTTCCATAAAAATATTTAGTTTTAACATATATATTAGTCAAATAATATTGAAAAACTATTGAAAATATGCTTTTTATTATTACAAGTTTGTTCCTATCGACTTATATTACTTTACCGTACATAAATTAAATGTTATAATAGAGAAGTAATCCAATGAAAATAAAATTCGATCATTGTCCAAAAGAAACATAGAATACAATAGAACCAACCATTGAATATTGCCAGTGAGAATTAAATTTTGGTGCAACAAATTCTATTCAAGGACGGTAAATATGATTTATTCACCATCAATGCACAAGCTTCTATTCAATAGTATGTTTTTCATATAAAAAAAAAAGTCGATTATACACACATGTACTCAATATAATAAATATCTTCTAGATTATTTTGTATAATGTACAGATTGCTCGTGCAATGTTAACCGCTAACAGAATAAATATCGAAATCAATCCGTGAATTCGAAAAAAAAAAAATATAGTCTCAACATTCGAGGTCAAAATTCAAACATACTATATACATAAAATTAACTTTTCACAAATTAAACAAATAGATTGACATGTCATAGGTAGCTGCAGGTAAACTTGAATGTAATCGAACAGGTGAAGTATGTAATGGAATAGTTTTGAAGAATGTTGGTGTATAAATTAAGAGACGAGAAAGAAAAGAAGAGTAAATAAGTAACAGCAATTACTGATAAAGATATTTATTACAATCAAAAATGATTGAAATTAGCTCTTAGTTGAGTGAGTATCTCATTAACAACAACAATTGATTGTATTGAATGATATAAAATGAAATATATAACTATCTTTATGTTTACTATATCATGTGAAAAATAATTCGGACTAGTTAAAATTTATCTGTTTCATTTTATCAAAAAATAATTACTTGTGATTATCATAATGAAAAGAAAGTATTTGTGTAAGAGAATGTATTTTATTTTGAACGATTATATCAATATTAATAAAGATATAGGCATATATATTTAATATCCGAGAAAAAAAAAGGAGAATGAGAGATTATCCCATATCTAAATTCTAATTTTGTTTTTTTTTTGTTAATTTGATATAAGGGATAGTATTAGAAAAGAAGAAAAAAAAAGTTGAAGTCATAAATATATACAGAAGGAAAAAAGTAAAGAAACAAGCCTGAGAATGGAGAATTAGAGTATACAAAACAGACAACAATAAGATGAAAAAAAAAAAAATGAAATTGCACATTAAAGAAAAATCCATAAAGAAACAAAATCATTCATGTTGATCAGGTGGTTTACGAAAAAATTTTAATTTATCTCGAAATGACATGGTTTCTGTTGTAACACCACTTGAATCATTATTTAAATTTTCTTTATTAATACCATTTATATTATCTTTTTGTTGTTGAAAACGTTTAGTACGAAAACGTGGATCTAAATAAACTTCTTGTGCACCAATAACAGATGGTGTTTGATAATTTGATGTATCATCATTAATATATAAATCATCACGACGTGTTAATTCAGCTGTTATTCGTTCAACAGCTTGCAATGATGATACAGGTATTGCAACAATACTTGATGTTGGTGATGTTTCAATTACTGGTGGTGGTGGAGGAGGTAATGGTGGACTTATTAATTGATGATCACTGTAAGAAATAGTCAATATTGAAATATTTTTAAAATTTCAAAAATAAATCTTTACTTCGGTGTTCGTTGCATTAATGATTGTTTAATATTATTAGCTACAACAAATGAACTATCTCTTGTTGGTGGTGGAGGTGGAATTGGTGGTGATAATTTATAATCAATATGATCCTTTGTAGCTGGAATATGACCAATTGAAGATGAATGTTTCATTGATTCATTAGTTAAAGGTGGTGAATCAGGTAAACGCTAAAAAAGACAAACTTATAAAATTGTTATTCTTTTGTTTATTCATTTATTTACAACATGTTTTGATAAACGAGCTTGTTCTTTTTTGGCTTCAATTGATCGATCTTCTTCAGACATTCGACGAATTTTTAAGTCACGCATATCTCTATCAGTACGTATGTCACGTTCCTTAGTAAATGAAAATTTTCTTTTGTGAGAAAACAAAAAAGAAAAAAACAATTTTCAATTGAATACATACTCGATCTTTACGTAAACGTGCTTCAATTTCTACTTCACGTTTTGCTTGTAAACGATTTACATGTGCTCGTTCAATTTGTCGATCATGTTCGTACTGTTCAAGACGTCGTTTTAATCTAAATAATAAGAAAATTATTGATATTGAAAAAAAAAAAGATATGAATATATTCTTCATTACTTCTCATCAAATTCATTCATTTCATCAGCTGCATTTGGTGATGATAGTGTTAATACATTTGAAATCTATCAATAGAAAAGATTATTAGAAGATTTTCGTTTTTTTTTTTTCAATGAACTTACAGGAATAATATGGATACGTTCTTCGTCATTATCATTACCATTTGTATGAAAATTAAATTCTTCAACACGTCGATCAAATTCATGTTCCAATTTTAAATTACTAAAAAAAGAATAAAAATTAAAACTTGAAAAATTTTCTTTCAATGCAATATACTTTAATTCTTTTTCTTCGTGATCTGTACGATCATTTTTAGTTAATAAATCGTTAATACGTTTTATACGTAATTCACTTATATTATTTTGCCGTGAATTTGCTGATTTCATTGGTTCCTGTTGTTGAATACGTGGTTTTCTTGAAATAAAAAAAAAAGCAAAATTTATAATAGATCACATAAAATGGACGAAGCTTTTTCAAGTATTTCCATTTTTCTTCAAGATCTTCCTCACCTTTACAACAGATTTACCAATTAGAATTGTCGATTTGGGTTGAAATTTCCGGAAATGAGTTACCCTAGTGAGAAACGCTTCTAGTACAAATTTCAGCCGAACGCAGCAACCTAGACAAGACTTCCAGCTTATTCATAGTTCATTTATGACCTTCAGGAGAATTCTTATAACTTCGTCATTACAAGAGGAACAGAGCTCAGGATGATTTAAAATTAAAGTCAATACCTATGCGCAGTTTTTATTCGAACAAAATTTTGAAATACATTTTCATTCATTTTTTATGATCATTCCAGTACATATGGTTTTAAAAATATTAGCCACAAAAAAAAATGTAACTTCACGACACTTAATCTCTCTTGTCTCAACATAGAAATCAACTATCAAAAATCTCGTAGAACAAAAATTTACTCTCATGTAGACCTATAAAAAAAATGTATTGCTTATATCTTCAATCGAGTGGAATTAGTTTAAATTTTTTTGATTGAAGTCTTTAAAGATATAAAGCTCATTGAAAGAGAATGTCAATTCAACAGTTTCAAAATAATTCATTTATGATGTATTCAGAATATTGTAATTAGAAAAATAACACCAAGTTTGTAATTTACCGTATTGATGGAGCCAAATGATCGGAGGATGATGATAAACTTGCTTTTGATAATCGATTAGTTATATCTGTATCATTTGTCTGAAGTAAAATAACAAAAATAAAAGATATTTTTCGAACAAATTTTTAAATTGATCTTTAACTTACTGAATTAGATTGTTTGATTAATGCTAATGTACTTATCATAGGTTTAGGTAATGGTTTTGGTGCTATAGTTGGTCCAATAGCTGATTGTGTATGATTAATAGGTTTTATTTGATGATTTCCATTGATAAAACCATTTTGTATTGGTGGAATATCTTCTCGAAAGATTAATGGTGGTGCTGTTGATAAATTTCTATCACCAAATGATTGTCTTTCACTAGCTGATCGAATAAAATTTGTTGGTTGAAGGTCACCACCACCATCATCATCATCATCATCATCATTCTCTTCTTCTTCATCATATTCGTCATTATGATGGTCATGTCCATTAATAATATGATTGTCATGGTCATATGTTCGTTTTGGTATATCAAATGTTTGATTACGATTATTTATTGATGGATATTGTATTTGATTTGAATGAAATAGATTTGGATTTGATTGATGTTGATGCTGTTGCTGTTGTGACGTATGTTCATTTAATAAATCATCATTTGTTTCTTCATCAATTAATATTTGTGCTGAACGTGCTGGTTGAATTAATCGATGTTGATTATCATGTTGTATAAGACGTTGAGAATGATTATTATTATTATTATTATGAATTGGAGCACTTTTAGCATTATAAACAAATTCATATGATGATGATGAATTATTTGTTAATTGTGAACGAGATGTTGGTCGAGGTTGTATTATTGTTGGTGGACCATTTTGTTGATGATGATGATGAATATGATGATGATGAGATGGATGAGCAAGTGTAGCAAAATGATGTTGTTGTTGTTGTTGTTGTTGTTGTTGTTGTTGTCCATTGTTATGAGTTAATAATCGTTCATGACTACTTGTAGTTTTTAAAGCATTTGTTGAAGATGATATTGGTGTATGTTGATGTGATGATGATAATAATGATGGATTTGATGCTGCAGAAAACCGAGCAAGTGATTGCTGTTGTAGTTGTTGATGATTATGATGATGATTTTCTGATGGTTTAGCAAGTAAAGCCGAAAGACCTTGACGATTAGCCGCATCTTTAAGAACTTGTAATGTTACTAATGGTCCACATTGTTTAAGTGCTTCAGCTGCTCTGAAATAATAAAAACAAAAAACAAAATTTTTTCAATTTTTTGTTATATAATTTTGTTCTTACTGTTCTTGTGTTATATCAATAAGACTTATTTTATCAACACAAAGTATTTGATCACCAGCTTGAAGACGTCCATCATCTTCAGCTGCACCACTTGGTACAATAGCTTTTATATAAATTCCTTGAAATTGTTGAGATTCACCCTAGGAAAAAAAGGAAAAATTTAAACAAGACTTTGTTATTTTTCTTTTCATCTTACCTTTGCTGCAACAATACTTAAACCAAGACTATTTCCTTTTTTATTTAATGTTACAGTTTCAACACTATTACCAACATCAGTATTATTATGTCCATTTTCATTCTAAATATAAAAAACAAAATATTTTAATTTTATTTATAATAAAAAATTATTATTTTTCTTTTATGAAATTACATTTTGTGTTTGCATAAATTCAGTCCACATTCCAAGACTATGAGGATTAGTAAATAATCGACATATTGATGAACGACTCATTGGTTCAATAAATTCAAATAATTGTTGTGGTATACCACGTAAATTTTCACATGTATAACCATCTTCAGGTAATAAAAATGGTAAATTTAATTCAGGTTCTTCAGCTAATTGAACAAGTACACCTTCACGACGTAAATTTTCATCAACATGTTTATACGCAGCAGCAAGAAGTCTAAACAAAAGAAAAAAGAGACATGAATAAATTATTTACTTATCATATCAATCATTTACTTTTTTATAATTAAGGATCAAACTATGTATACCTTTGAGAAACTATTTCAGCTGACGAAAAACTTTATATAGGTTTTGTTCTAATTTATTACGTAAAAAAAGATTCTAACTAATGAACAAAAGAAAAGTAATTCGATGATGTAGATATCGAAAATAGATGTTGATTGAATAGGATATCAACGCTAACTTACCCACAATATATCATCTTATTCTCTAATGTATTATTCATATTCATATTAATAGAAAAATCCTTGAACGATATCGATTACGTAAAGGAAGAATAGATAGAGAGCAATTTATTAAATTGATAACGAACAAAAGATAATCTTTATTGATGAAACAAATCATCAATCAATCAACAATTTTTAATAAATATTAACAATTTTCTGCAAGTATTATTTTCTAAAGTATATAACCTATGTTGCGACAGTCTTGACACAGAAACTTTACTCATTTCTCAGTTACTAGAAGCACATAATTAGAATCAAACATTTTCATTCTTTCCGAATATGTGTTCAGAATTTTCTTCTACGGTAAGATTGGACGAACGTAAGTCTTATCATCGAAATAGAGATCATCAATATAAACATCTGAATTTCTTATAAGGTTTTCGGGTAAATCTTTATTTTCACGATATGACTTTCGGCGCAAAACGTACATACCTTCGTAGTAACCGGACTCTGGAACATTATTTGCTCCTCTCTGACAGAAAGCGAAATAAAAAAAGAGCAAACAATGACTCTGCGAGGTAACTAGGATTGAAATACGATCGATTTCTATCTCGTCTTTCGGGCACTACTTCTAGAATGAAAGCCTTTTCTGCCGAAATTTTAGTCCCTCACACTTCATAGGTCAGAAATTAAATGCAAGTTCTGAACAACTACTAAGTGAAAAAACAAAAAGAACATTTTGAAAATTCATATATATATATACATGTGTCGTTATTGAAATAAAAGCTACGAAATGATTTTTCGAAACTTTTGTAGAAAGTTTCTATCAAATATTTGTTCAGATACGCAATATAATGAATATCTTAGAGATAACGAAAAAACTCGACTTATTTGACATAGATATACAATAACAAGCTTACGAATAATCCTTCTTCTCTGCGAACAGAGATGCTCTCGAATTTAAAATAAACAGATTAATACAATATTTTAACTTAACTCCCAATTCATTGAAACATAAGAAATCCTACTAAAACCTCCCTCGGTAAGATTAAGTACAATTTCATTGTATATTATATTTTAATCTTGACTAAATCAAGGTAAAAAGTTTTACATTAGTTTTTTTTTTTCAATAACTTACGCTTGACTAAATGTAGGTGATATAGGTGGTTCATTTCTATTTAAAACATAATTATTTAATATTTGTTTAATTTGTACTGAATTAAGTTTAAATGTATTATTTGATATTAATTGTTGTACATCATGTGCATCACGTTTACCATTTTGTAATAATAAACATATTTGATTAACTTTTGTTAAATGACAATCTGATGCTAATTCTAAACCTTGTCGTTGTGCCCAATCACTTATTGATTTTAAACGTAATGATAATCTTTCACCCCAAAAATGTGAACATAATTTTAATTCAGGACAACAAACAATACGATTAAATAACCATGTATTTATATAATGAAATATTTGTGAAAACATTTGAATTGTTAATGCAGCATTAACACGACATTTACGTAATAAATCCATAACTGATGAAAGTGTTGCAAGTATATCACCTAATGTTGCTTGATGATAATTATTTGAATTAATATCTAATGTTATCCAACGTAAATCAGATAATTTCATATTTGTTGAACTAGTTTCTTCTTCAAAAAAAATAAAACAAAAAAAAAAAGTTTTTTTCTTTTCTTAAATAAATAAATTCTTTAATTACCAAAAGCAATATAAACATCACGTTCAACATCATCTTGTGGATTTGTAAATGATATTAAATATTTATCTAATTCATTTTGTACAAGATGTGTTAAATAACGAAATAAACGTTGAACACATTCAGCTAAACGATCTTGTACATCATGAGAAATTTTTGATATATCACGGTCTTGTTTTATAAAATAAAGTAATTCAGATGTATTTGCTATCCAATAAGCAAGATAACCACCATGTTCATGACATTCCTTAATAAATTTTTTTTTGAAGAAAGAAAATTATTTAGTTTAAATAAAAAAAGATTTTTTTTTTTTTAGTTTCAGTAAACATACTTCAATTTTTTTATTTATCATATCTTCGATACGATAAAGTAATGAGATAATATTTTCTTGTTTTTGCACAAGTGGAAAATTTGGCTTTCCATATGGTGAAAGTCGATGTCGTAATGTCATATAGAGTGTATACACAGGTGATAAACGAAATTGTATGTTCGTTAATGGATAATTATCAAATACAGAATGAAGAAATCGAGTTTCAGCTAAAAAAAAAATTCGATTTTATATTGGAAATATTTCAAAAATGTAATCTTCATCATTTTTATCATGTACAATATTAGATCCTTCTGCAATACTTCCGATACTTTAGTCAACCCAATTCCATGATTGAATAACACAATCCACGTGTCCGAAAGTTATTCGATCAGGTTTATTTTCAAATTTTTCTTCATTGTTGTAAATGTTAAGAAGAATTCAACTAGTGATTTATGTAGTCTTATTATCAAAGATGAGAATGACTCCTAATCTTTCAAGGATATTGCCATGGGTGGTCAACCGAAGAAAAAAACACAAGATTTTCAGAAGATTTTTACGTCTGTAGAACTTTCTAAAGCTTGTTATACTAATCATTTTGGTAAAAAATGACTATTCAAAATTAGTCTTTAAATCATTATCGTGAAGTCAAGATACTCGAAGTTTTTCAGCATTTTGGTCCTGGTACCATGATTTATAAAATAAATTTGAACATTTTTCTTAAGTCATGCATGAATGTATCTATTCAAAATATGATTCATAAGCACTTTGTTATTAGTAGATAGAGTCTGTGAAAAACCCAAAGCCGAGTTTTTTATCTCTTGGAATTCACAAACATAGAATTCTGTTTGAATGATTCACATTGAGAGAGCAAATAATTTGTCTCGATCAAAAATACAGCGTTGAGATCTCGAAGATGTTTCATTGTGTAGAGAATTGCTTACTGGATTATTCAAGATAATTTAAATAGAGTTCTATATTCAGAGACTGTATCCTTCCTAAACTAAAAATCATTTCTGACAGTAGAAAGAAAAACTTGGTGGAATGATTTGAGAAGCCACAATATTTAATAGATTTTTTCATTAGTTAATCATTCTGTCCTCATTGTTTAAAATCAAGGTGATGGAAAATACACCGTTGGAAAAAATATTATTCCAGGGGGGTAACGCTATAATTTCAAATAGAAGACATAATGAATCTTATATCAAATGAAAGCTCGTCAAAAATGGGGTTTATTGATACTAAATAGTGAGGCTTGTAAAAACTTTCTAATGTCAAACTTAAGAAGTTTTCAGAAATTTTATATTTTTTTCGGGTGGAAAATCAAGGTGCCACTGATTCAAAAATGAAGTCAATTTTTTTTCTTGAATATTTTTACATGGTTTGATAGACTTCGTTGAGCTCTACAAAACTGTGCATGTTAAAAATTTTTTGAGGCATCTTTTTGAGATAAAAAGTTCAAAAAACTACTCGGGAAACCTCAAAAACATTTAAAAACTCTTTTTTTTTTCAAATTGAAGAAACACGCCCAATTTTTCAATAAAAGTAGCTTTTTTCGTTGTTTTTACTACCTCAGACGTCTCGAAATATACTCGTTCGATGCAGTGTGAAAAGCAGCGTCTAATGAGTATGTTTCGAAACACCTGACGGAGTAAAAAACAATGAAAAAAGCTACTTTTATTGAAAGTGTTGTTCTTCCACATGGAAAATATGGATTTTTTTCATGCTTTCTAAGATTTTCCAAATAGTTTTTTGAATTTTTTATCGCAAAAAGAGTCTTAAAAATTTTTTAATGTATACAGTTTTATAGAGCTCGACGAGCTCTATCGAACCGTGTAAAAATATTCCAGAAAAACATTTTACTCCATTCTTGAATCACTAGTACTTTAATTTTCCATCCCAAAAAAAGTATAAAATTTCTGAAAATTTGTTAAGCTCGACATTAAAAGGTTTTCATAACCCTCACTATTTAATACCAATAAACCCCATTTTTAACGAGCTTTCATTTGATATAAAATTTATTATGTCTTCTATTTGAAATTATAGCGTTACCCCCCTGGAATAATATTTTTTCCAACTGTGTACATAGTATATTTAGAAGAAATTTTAGACCTTTTTTTATTTAATAATAGACAGTGATATCATGTTGAAATTATTATATTCAATCTGTATTCTATTCATATACAAGAGAAATGTTGATTAATAATATAAAAATGTTATGTAGTAGAATATAAGTCTTTTCCTTTAGTTTAATATAGAAAATTAAAAGTTGGCGGGTCATTTTGAAACATTACCTCAGCTTTATAAAAATTAATTAATAGATGATCACAAGTTACGAATACCATATTTAGAGTTATTATTATAAAATAAGACTATTGAGATAATGATTGATTACTATAATCAGAAAACTTCATTTATACAAAATGTCAAAGTCCTTGATGAATACTTATTACGCAATATTTATATAATATCATATGACTCGTTCCAATCAACAGAGTTTCTCATCCATATAAATAGAATACTGTATTAACTGTGAACTAATAAACATGTCAACTTCTTCGAAGCATTATAAACATGACCTTTAGAAAACATTCAATCTATTTTTATCTTTATGATCAAATAATAATAATAATAATAATGTTATATATTTTATTGCAATTTATATAGATGACAGGTGGATCTATTAGACTTAATTCAGCCTTTAATATAAATATATTCCCACACCCTAATTATTAATCTATATAAAAAAAAAAGTATGGATTACTAATGTAAGATATTAATTGTCAATATGATTGACTATGCACATGTGTAGGATATAGAGACAGCTGCTGGAAGCAAACATTATTATTTAATTAGATTTACCATAGGACCTCATTGCGTTGTTTTTTTTTATGAGTGATTCTTATTTTAGAATATTGATTAAACATTTCAACGATTTCATTTATTTACATATCGTCTCAATGAAATCTTAGAAATATAAATAATATCTTACTTTCTGCTGGAACTTCTAATAAACCTGGTAGAACATCGATCATTGTTCTAAAAATAAAAGAAAAAACTAAATAAAAACTTTCAAATATTTGTGTATATTTGTTTACCCTGTTTCAACAATCGAATTTGATTTTTTTTGTTGTAAATCTTTCGGTGGTCGAACTTGTAATGTATTCGATTCACTATGATTAGATTTTTTTATTCCACTAATTGGTAATGTTGATAATGAACTATGTATTGTTGATTTATCACCATTGATTTGTGTTTTTGTTGGAATTAAATTTGATACTTTCATTGTTGTTTTCTGAACAAATTGTGGATCACAATAACGAAATGTTGAATTTCGTCCAAAACAAACTAATGCACTATGTTGAAGAACAAATGGTGTTGATACAAGTTTACCATTTAACCATATTTCACCACGAGGTGTTAATGTAACAATACCATTTTGATTATGAATTGTACAATGATCACGATCAATACCAACACCATCAATCTAAATTTAGAGAAGAAAAATCTTTTTTTTTTTCTGTTTATATTCAATTCAAAGAATATTTACAAAAAAATATTGTTTTCCTATTCCAGCTTTTGCATCACGACCAACATATGTTGTATTTGGATGAATTTTAAATACACGAGGTGTTGTAAGATCCGTACCATCTATAAAAGAATTTGTTGTCTTTTTTTGTTTTCGTTACGAGAAAATACAAAAATAGGATTTACCATTTTTAACTTCAACAAACATAGACAAATGATCATTTATAGTTCGATCTTGAATTGATGGTGCTTGAATTGTATCTAATGCTGATTCTTGTGCACGAAGACGTTTACGAATTTCAATATATTCTGATGGACATTTAACAACTTTAAACATAATTGAACCTATTTAAGAAAACAAAATTTTTATAGAAAATTTTTGTCGATTAAAGTTTTTTTGTTTTTTCATTAACCTTCATTTTTTTGTGCATGATTTAAACAAATACTTAATGGACAGTCTTTATCATGTAGAATAACTTCTTTTATTGTTTTATTATCCATTTGATCACGTGGTGGAATAACAATCTTTAATTAACGAAATAAATTTTTTTTTTGAAACTTCAAAAAATAAGAAAATTTACTTGAAGAAGACAATAATTTTGTGGATCTTCATGTTTTAATCCATATTTTTCAAGCATTTCTTTTACAACCCATTCAGCCGTATCTTTTATTGATAGAAGAAATGTTTTATATGGTATTGATGGATTTAATGCATCACCAAATACTTTCATAGTACCACCTTGAAAATAAAATTTTAATTCAAAATAAATTAATTTAATAAAATATATTTTTTCAGTTTTTACCTCCTTCTTTTGTACTTATTTTAATAAATTTTTGTTTTAAACGATCTTGTTGAATTTTTTTAACCATTTCCGGATTTGATAATGAACGAGTAAATTTATTTGTTTCAGGTACTGATTTATATAATGATTCAACAATAGTTGTTGGTGTTACAGTTGATGATTGAGTATCATTTTCATCAATACCATTTTTCTATATGCATGACAAATAAGTCAATTTAACAAACGATGAAAAAAGAAAACTTTTTTTTTTTTTCGTTCTCTTTTATAAACTTAATATTCCATTGAATAAAAATTGATTTTATACGTATGTACATTTATATAGTTATGTGCGTTAAATAAATAAAAAAGAAAGAGAAAAAAAAATTGTACATGATTGGACAACTTATTTTATTTCATTCTTTAGACAAGCTGAAACAGAACAAGGTTTTTGAAAGGATATGATTTAAGTTTTTTTTTTTCTTTTTCACTCCCCTAATGTTCGTTGGACAAGTATTACATAGGCTCTAAAGAATATGTTCGTAGGATTTAGTATAGTATTGTAAATGTGTACTTTTGACTCTAATTGCTAATGGATTGATTCATATTCAAGTAGTTATTTTAACAAACATTAAGGACCTGAGGAGTAAACCATTTACATATCCTTTATGTATATAATGTAGTCCAACTAAATTGAAGCCGAAATCACATAATAATCAAGATAATTTTATATAGATAATTATGAGCTTTTCTAGATCCGATTTGTATTCAGCTTGAAATCTGAATAAAGTAGAGCTGATATGAGCCTATTGAAGTACAGCGTTTTGGCTATGATCCAATTCTGGATTATTGATGCAAAAAAACTTGGGTATATAGACCGATTTGGATCTATAGAAATGTAGCCTTGTAGCTGTCTAGTTTCTGGAAATAGGATAATGTATAGAGATCTACATTAGATAAACTGTTAAAGATAAAGCTTAGGTTTCTGTTTAAATATTAGAAATGATTAATTCACAACACCAACAAGAACGAAAATAAGCAATAAGCATACACCAAAAGCAGAGCATTGTTATTACCGATAGACTCTCGTCGATAGAAAATCCTAATATGGAAAAAAATGTGGGATATTCAACGCATATTGATTTTCTATTCAATCAAATAGAAAAAAAATTTTTTTTTTCTTAAACTAACTTTATCTTGTTTTTTCTTTTTCTTTGATTCACGTTTTGATGATCGCCGTTCTTTAAAACTACCGCCAATTGGTTTTGACATCTAGAAAATTGAAAAGTTTATATTAAAAAAACAGTATTGTATTTTTTTAAAATTTATACTAACTTTAGGTAATTTTGCATTTTGTAATACAAATCGACCTTCTCTTTGATCTTTTCCCCAATAAAGTTGAACCCACAATGGTCGTTCATCCATTTCTAATTTCCTTCCCTCTAGAAAACAAAAACAATATTATTCTTTATTTATTTAATTCATAAACACAAACCTCCATTTGGATGAACTTCATAAATACAATAATCTTTTTCATTTGGTAATGTTTTCATATCTGGTCTTAATTTTTCCATTAAAACTCGAATAACATCTATTGTTGTAGCTGTACTTGCAACACGTATACATTTTGTTGTTACTTTATCTTCAGCATCTTGAAAATAAAATCTCATAACACCATAAAAATCAAGAACTTCATTTGGTTCACTAATTTTAAATAAATCAAGTCGAGTTGAATTCCATTCATTAATAAGATTGAGTATTTCAGAACGATCTTTCGGCAATCCGTTCATGGTCATGTCATATCTAGAAATAGAATACTAGTGTAACAACTATAAGGAAAAAGGAAATAACATTCTTGTCCTTCTCCGATATACAGTCAACCGATAGTAATAAAGAAAGAAAGATCTTTATCAGTTTTTTCTTTTTTCTATGGATGTAATAAACATGTCTATTGGAAAGTTCAACTGACGAACAATTCTTCTTGTCATGTTGATTTTTTTCTCTCTCTATCGTCCGAATGAACGAACGAAACAATGACCCAGAATGTGAAATAATCACGAATCAAAATCAAAAAGAAAGAACTAGAGGTCGCTAGAAATACTTCTAATCGGTTGGTTCAATCATCATATTAATATCCAGTTATAAAATTTTTCGAAATATTACATGAATTGATTCACATGAAGAGTATTTGTTTAATTTAAAAGTAGACTTACAGAGTCATGTAGTATGATGTATAATATGTTAGTTGTGTCATTTATTTCTTATAGACTGTATTTAAAGTGAACAAGTGTTATTAAGAATAAATAAAAAAAACACAAATTATTAACAACTTTATTCTATTTGTATATGTAAAATGTTCAATATTCTAGGAGACAAATTAGTCAACAGTTTAACAAATAGAAAATAGTGCCATATGGTTGATTATTATATTAGTTTTTATATTTATTGATTTAATATAATATGAATGTGAAGATTGTTTTGTAAGCACTTCAATGAATAAAAAATCTTATTCATAAAGATCTTTGTAGGAAACAATTATTATTCCAAAATTCGTGCAATATATCAAAAATGTATTCGACATTTCGTAAGCAGTGAAATGAAAATACATGTTTTTTCTACAATACCAAGTATTTAACTCAAATCAAAGTAGTAATTTGGATAGCAAATGGAGTTCTCTATGAAAATACATTCCATACCGAAATTTTACAGACGGACTATGAAAGGAAAGTTTCGTGAAGAAAACCAAGCATAATATTTTTCAGGTTTCGGAAGACTGTTTAAATCAATTTTTAAGAGTATTATCTTCAAAGTCACAAAATGCTGAATAAAATGAGATGTTATTGTATTTTCTACGAACTCTCCTTCAAAAATTATAAGCATCACAAACAAGGTGAAATCTATCATAGCACTGTTAAAAGCATATTTTCGGTAATGGTTATTAACTTTTGAAGCGAAGGTTGTAAGAAATGCAATGACACTTTATCTTACTCAGAATTTTATACTCTTTAAGAGATGACGTTCATGAAAACTGATTTTCACAAAGAATTTTAATACTGTAAAACTACCTTATTTGGTGTTTTTTTTCTTACGAAACTTTTCTTTCATAGTCCATCTATAAAATTTCAGTATGGAATGCATTTGATAGAGAACTTCATTGGCTATACAAATCATTATTTAGATTTGAAGTAAATGCTTGATATTCATACAAAGACATAAAAAAATACATTAGTCTTATATTTTTGATCAGTGCTGTACGAGGTGGGTAAAAATATTATGCCAGAGGGGTAACGCTATGAAAGCAAATAGAAGACATAATGAATTTTATATTAAATGAAAGCTCGTCAAAAATGTGGTTTATTGATACTAAATAGTGAGGGTTATAAAAATTTTTTAATATCGAACTTAAGAAACTTTCAAAAATTTTATACCTTTTTTGTGGTGGGAAAGTAAAGTGCCAGTAATTCAAAGATCGAATAAAATGTTTTTCTTGAATATTTTTACATGGTCTGATAGAGCTTGTCGAGCTCTACAAAACTGTATATATTAAAAAATTTTTAAACAGAATTCTTGGGTTAAAATACACTGAAAATTATCTAAATAATGTATTAAAAAAAACCGCATTTTTTTACACTTTTTATAGTAAAAAATAGTGGTCTTTGTTTACATTAAATTCAGCTATTTTCCATTAATATCCTTATGTAAGGTGTTCGAAAATATACTCATTCGATCCGGCGTGAAAAACTGCATCGAATGAGTATATTTTCGAGACGCCTGAGGGAGTAAAAATAATTTAAAAAAAGCTAATTTTATTGAAAGATCGAGTGCATTTCTTCCATATCAAAAATATGAGTTTTTTTAAGATTTTTCAAATAGTTTTTTGAATTTTTTATCACGAAAAACTGGCTTAAATTTTTTTTAAATATATACAGTTTTATAGAGCTCAACGAGCTCTATCGAACCATGTAAAAATATTCAAGAAAAACATTTTATTCGATCTTTGAATTACTGGCACTTTACTTTCCCACCACAAAAAAAGTATAAAATTTTTGAAAGTTTCTTAAGTTCGATATTAAAAACTTTTTATCACCCTCACTATTTTAGTATCAATAAACGTCATTTTTGACGAACTTTCATTTAATATAAAATTCATTATGTCTTCTATTTGCCATCATAGCGTTACTCCTCTAGAATAATATTTTTATCCACCTGTTGCATGTTATTACACATCATTGTGTAATTACATTGGAGAGATTTTTTACTCTAGTATTTAAAGAGAATAAATCTATCATTTATAAATGATTATAGGTGTGATTGAATCGTGTTTAAAACAATTGATTATGTCATCAAGCAAAAAATTTACTGTTAGTTATTTATTAATTAAATTTATTGAGATTTTATGTTGTATTTTATTTACAGATTGCTGTTGAAGGAAATATTGGCTCAGGGTAAGCATAGATATTTATATTAAAATATAATAAAAATTGAATTTTATATTTAGAAAAAGTACAGTTCTTGCTTATCTTAGTAAATCATCATTATGTGATGTAAGAAAATATTTTGTTTTGCTTTATTAATTATCCGTTTTGGTATATTAGATCGTTACGGAACCAGTTGACAGTTGGACAAATCTTAATGGGAATAATCTTCTAGTAGGAAAATTATAGATTAAAAATCAATGTTGTTTTATTTTGTGGTTGTTTTTTTTTGAGGGGATGCTTTATAATAATCCACATCGATGGGGTTTTGCATTTCAAGCCAATGCTCAAATGACACTTGCAAAATTACATGCACAACAATCGAAAGCACCTATTAAAGTAATGGAACGATCTATTTATAGTACAAGATATTGTTTTGTTGAAAATCTTTATCGAAAGTACAATTTTTATTTTTTTTTTTTTCATGAAATTTTATATTTATTGTTTTTATTTTTTTGTCTTCTATAGTAATATTCTTCATAATGTTGAATATGAAATTTTAAATGATTGGTTTCAAATGCTTATATCAAATGATTCGTGTCATCTTGATTTAATTAGTATGTTATTTTTTATTAATTATCATTATTTGTGAATTTTTCTTATTTTAGTTTATCTACGAGCAAAACCAGAAACATGTCTTGAACGTATAAAATCTCGTAATCGACCTGAAGAACAATCAATAACTATTGATTATTTAAAACAATTACATGAACGTCATGAAGATTGGCTTGCACCACAAATTCGTACATCAACAACACCTGTACTTATTGTTGACGCTAATCAAACAAAAGAACATGTTTATAATACTACAAGTACACATCTATTAACTCTAACTACTTGTTAAATGTTTTTTTTTTATTTTCATTTATATTTTTTGTTGTTGTTATTGTATAAAGAAACAAAAAAAAAAAAGTTCATGATTGTTCATCATCAATAGATGATGTTAAATATTCCCGAGGAAATAAACATGCTATTCGTACAATTGGTTTAGCATAATTTGAATTATTTTTAATCTAAAATCAAAAAATTAATTATTTAATATAAGATTTTAATTGAATTACTTGAATTCCAAAACGTATTTTTTCAAGTAAATACGTCCATTTAAGTTTTGTTTTTTGTTCATCAGTCATTAAAATAAATTCATCGACCTTTATTTATTCAAAAAAAATGAAACAGAAAGGAAAAAAATCAATTGTGAAAAATAGTATGAGAAAAAACTGAGAATGTGAGTGCGGGATTGAAAGAAGACTCACATCCACACTAATACCTCATAACGACACTCATCATCCTATGTTGAGTAACATATATATCGGTAATGACCAGCCTACAAACGATTGACCGGTACCGACTCCATCTCTGGGTTCTACCCTTTTTCTATGAATGCTATTGAGTATTCGATATTTTTTCTTTCTCTGTTTTTCTATCATACACAAAAACGGTAAATAGCTTTTCTTTTTTTTTTATTCTTTGACATATAAATTTTTACTTACTGAACATTTAAGCATTTTTCTTGCAACATCATCACCTAATTTAACATTTGTTATTGTACCTGTATGATCAGTTAAATGAACATTTAAACTAAAAACTTCTTTTGTTGAAAGATTTTCATCATTGATTTGTTCTAATAATTTCATACGACATTCAGCTTCTGTACATTCTTTGAAACCATTATTATCACGAATAGAACGATTACAAAAAATACTGAATTTAATTGGTTTTTTTTTAAAAGAAACATAAAAATAAAAGTTAAAATTTACCATCTTTTTGTAATCACTTGATTTAATGGTCCATCAAGATCCAAATGACTTAAAAAGCATTGTACAATAAATGTATCAGTACTATTATTATCAGATAAATATTGTTTTAATTCTCGTATAGTTACAACTGTTGCTTGAAGTGCTAGATGAAAAAAAGTAGATATTGTAGAATTTTAAATAAAATTTTACCGTTAAAACCACCATCTATGGTAACATTGAGTAAATCATCGATTGAAATTGATCGCATTGATTCATACAGTTGAACTGATTCATTCGTATCTAATATTGTAATATAGTTTAAATTATTCGATCGAAAATTATTTATCTTGTCAAAGTAGAACTATTGAAATTTATATATTATTTATCTTTTCATAGCATGAAATCTATTCTAACTATACGAAAAAAAAAAGAAGCCATAGTTGAGAAGAGTTCGTCTTCATTTTGAATCTTCTATTTAACATTAAAATGAATATTATAGAGTAATCTTTTCGTGATTATTTCTGGTTCTCGTAGAAAGTGCATTCGATCAGACTAAAATTTTTACCACAAATAAAGTACCATAAATAAGAAGAAAAATCTGTGCACTCTATCTGTAATAAAATTTCCAGCCTGATCACACACGCTGTGTTCAAAAACTCGAAATGGTCAAAAAACAACAATATAAGTACTCTTAAAGTGAGATTCTGAAAAAGAAAACGAATTTCAGCCGCTACTCGATCCACTAATAACTTCATAATAAAGATAATTACCTGGATTGATAGTAAATAAACTTTGACGAGTTGCTGTTAATCCATAAACTTTCCGATATTCATCATAACGAACACGTAAACCAACACAAAAAATAATATGTTCTTCAGGTATCCATCGTTGAGCAAACTATGATATAATAATAATAATAGAATTAAAATCAATTCTTAAAAAGAAAAATATTTGATTACTTTAATTTGTTCACTATCCCAAAATGTTAACCAAACTCCACTAGTTTCTCCATCAAAAAGTAAAATTTCTAAAAGTTGTTTTTCTTCATTATCATAATCCGTTTCACGTTGTCGTCGTATTCGAATCGTTTTCAATGCACCAATCTGCCCAAAAAGAAAACAAAAAAGTTAAAATAAATAAACTAAATTTTTCACTACTTGTTGTACACCAGCTAAAACATTAATTCCATCATTTTTTTTTACTAATTGTTCACCATGAGTAACAATTTGTGCTAAAGTATAATAATCATTTCCTGCTCGACAAGGTATAGAAACTAAAGATTCATATTGTTTTGCTTTTGGACCTTCAATTTTCTCAACATATGATTTTTCATTTAATGAAAGTTCAATTGATCTAAATATGTCATTAAATACTAAATCAATTCAACAAAGAAAAATAAAAATATACAAAGGTGTCCATGGTGTATAAATATGTGCTTTATCATCTGATTTAGTTTTTACAACTGGATAATGAATTGCCACTAGAAAGACATAGGTATTGATTTTTTTGTTTAAATCAAATTTAAAATATTCATACCAACATCTCCAATTGTAAATTTACTACTAATAATAATTAAATCTTTTGGTGGAAGCCAATAAGCAACATTAACAAAATCTTTAATTGAATCTCGAAATGTAAAGTTGAGTACACTTCGTTGATGACGATCACCTTAAATCAATATTGTAAAATGAAAAGAAAAAAAAAACCCAATAATTGCATACTTCCTTCAAGTGTTCGCATTTCAACTTTACCAATAACGATACCATACATAATCTTACAGGAAAAAAACCATATCACATTTCGATTCAATAAAGAAAATAAAACTTACACCATCAACTAAACCTGGATTATCAGATGATAATAAATTTAATTTAATAACTCTTTGAATTGCTCCCATCGATTGAGAAGATTTTTCATGATCCTATTTTATTATAAATATCATTATGAAAATAAGAAATAAAATAAAATAAAATTCAACTTACCATAGTAATTAACCGTTCGTCGAATGAATACATACAGAAAACGTTCAATAAAGACGAGAGAAAGAAAAAGATTTTTTTTTTTTTGAATAGTCAGTTTTAACGATTGATATCGAGGTAAAATTATACGATTGGTAGATAATTAAATATGTAATTTAATTTCAACTTAATCACAGAGATTGTTCCAAAGAAAAATCGATATACAAATGAATTTCCATATTATCAGTGTGTTAAAACTAAATGAGCTGATGCTCAGAAATAGCTTGACGAGAGAGATGAGACGTCCCTTCCTTCAATCAAGAAAACTTTTTGATTTTTTCAGCAGAGCTGAAAATGTTGTGTGCGTTCTCTTAGAAAAAAGATCGCAACATACTTCCAACAATGCTGGATACTTCAGACCAACTCTACTAATGCTTTTTATTTCTATAGATAAACGAAAGTTCAAACTTGATAAATCTTAGTAATAAATTAAAACTTCAATTGATTACACATTAAATACTCTTTTATTGACTGTGTCAATATGTTTTTGGAGAATGGATCATCAGAAAAATTTGAAATTTTTATGGCAGGTAGATCTTGTGAATTAAAGCAAAAGTTGTCATAGACTCACCTTTCCTGAATTCTATCTTCTATGAGATACTGAAATCACAATGGCGAATAATGACTTCAATTTTCGCTTTCGTTTCTTCGAGATGCTATGTTCGATCGAGCTGAAAATTTTGTTAGAGGCACTAGACACTGTTTGAGATGAGTATCTTGTTATTTTTTTTTGTCCTTCAACTAAAAAAAGCAAAATATCAACGGTGCCCTGAAAATGCATAGTTGTTTTTTTTTGAATAGAACTTTTTTTGTAAGAGCTACCAAAAATGTGTAGAAAAATAAAAAATATATCCATCCCAAATAATGTATGATATATATGAAAAAAGTTTCAGCTGGATACAACATATTAGATTGAAGCAACGGAGGCGTCTCTGCGCTTTTGTTTTTTATGAAACAATTGGTTTGAGAAAAAAAGTGAAACAATGTACAGTCCTTCTTCTCGAATTTTTCAATGTTTTAAAGCAATAGTTAGATCTGGAAATGTACTTAGCAGATAGATACTACTTCAGATTATACAATGGCCATAAAAATACAAAAATTTTGGATTACGAAAAATGAAGTATCTTTAATGATTGTTATTACAAAATATTAACAAAGCATAGGTCAATAACTTTTTGAGAGAATCACTTCACTGATAAAGATTTTTTTTTTTCGATTGATTAATATAAAATTAAACTGAATTATTAAAACTTTGTATACGTTACAAAATGATCTCTATTCAAAGATATTTAAATCTTCTAGATAGTATTCAGTTTAAAAAAAAACAGCAGAAAATATTAAAGCATGGTTTTGTATAATAAATTTTGAAGGTAATATATTAAAGATCTCTGTTTATTAATCATCTTTCGTGAAAAAATAATGACAAAAAAAAAAGAAAAAGAAATGAAAATCACTACATACTATATCTATTTATACATAATACAGTTGTTCAAATAAAAAAAGAAAAGACAAAAAAAAACTTCACTGAAATATAAACTTATATCGTTGTCATCTGAAATTCGGTTTCTATCAAGATTTCACTGATTTCTTTTTTTTTCAAAACATTAATAAAGAATGTTAAAAATTTTGGCGCCTTGAAAAAAAAAATCTATTATATTTTTGTTTTATGTAGCTGTTATCTTATCTTGTCTTTGCCGTATTCGACGACGTTCCATAACTTGTTTACCAAATCGTTTAGCTGCAAGAACAGCTCGAACAGTCAATCGTATAGGTTGTTTTTGTTCTTGTTGATCAATATATTGTTTTCGAGGTGTATCATTTATAATACGTGATAAATTATTTGAATTTGGATTAAGTAATGGTGTTGTATGTGTTACTGTTACAAATGATTGTGGTGTAAAATAAGATTGTTCAATAATTTGTCGTTGTTGAGATACAAGTGATCGCATACCTAATGCTATTTGTCGATTAACCATTGAACCTTGAACAAATTCTCGACAAAAATTTTTTACATGATTAATACTATAATAAGGTTCCTGATGACATTCATCATTATAAAGTTTTGTTGTATACTAAAATAAAAATAAAATTTAAAAAAAAAAAAATAAATTTATTTTTATATATTACGAAATAATGATTAGCACGATCAGTTGGTTCACTAGGTATATCAGCAACAATCATAGCTATATAACCGGCAAGACCAAGAACTAATTCAATTGGATAGGTACATGTCCATAAAATATAATTTAAATGTGGTACATCCAAACGAATTTGACGCATAAATTTAAGTGAAAGAACAAGTACTGAAGTAGCAAGAAGAGATGCATTAAAACAACTTGACCATGATTGAATACATGCAACATGAATAAATAAATTACTTAATGCTCGAATCTATTGAAAATTAAAAGAAAAAGAATTAAAATAAAAGTAAAAAAACGAAATGAAATTTATTTACTTTTGGTTCATTTAATTTACATGTTTCAGTTGAATTAAGTTCGAGAAAAAGTTCGACAAATTCTTGTGGTAATGCTAATTGAAAATCAAAATTAAGTTCAGCAAATAAATGTCGAACTATATGTCCAATATCACGTGGATCAAATGCATTAGCTGAATAACGAGAATATTCTTCAAGCTAAAAATATATAACATTCAACATATAAACAAAAATAGAAAAGCAAAAAAAAAAATTCATTTTATTTTTACTTTCACTTGAATACGATTATGAAATTTTGCAACAAGAATAAAATAACCCATAGCACGTAATTGATAATCACGATCATAATGACCACGTAATGTATCTCGTGCATCAAGAAGTCGAACACAATGTTGAGCTACTTCTTCTTTCATATGATTTTTACGCTTAAAAAAAAAAAATTAAAATTTTTTTTTTATTATTATTTTAATACGCAAAAAAAAACCAACTTGAATTCCAATTAACCAATTAACAATTGATTGACGCCATATAAGACTAACTGCTGAACGTTGTAAAACAGTTCGAAGCCAAAGAACACTAAAATTTAATGTATGTGATTGTCGAGCTTCAAGTAACTGTCGAAGAAGATAGGAAAGAAAACCGATATCAGTAAAATATTTTCAATCGTATATCGACAAACCTACGAGTAGAGTATTTGTATGTTCAAATAAATATTGATGAAGACCAACCCGTTGTATACGTGATGCATGTGTATGATAATCTGCTGAAGTTGAAGAAATTGGTTCCAAAGTATCGTAAAGTACTATTTCGAAATAGAAAAAAGAAAGTTTATTTTTAATAATGAATAAATCTTACAATTATAACAGAAGATCGTTGAATGAAGAGGTCGTTGAATAGCAGACAAGTTATTACTATTAAATGGACTCTAATAAAAAAGAAAAATTCTTTATATGTAAAAAAAAAAGAAAAAAAAATTAATAAGAAAATAAAATTTACATTCCCAGTTGAACTAGGTACTAGTTGATTTCGGTCGTCGCCCATGCGATGCGAATGACGTATGACTATTTTCGTTTGTCTATCTCCAAGAGAAATAAAATGACAACGAATGAAGGAATAGGAAGACGATTTAAATAATTTCTTTTTTTTTTGTTTCTTCTTGCCTTTCGTCTTCGACTACAGAATATACATATGCATATTTCCACGTCTATAGTCGTTGATGTATATCTAGACTGAGAGAGAATAATTCACTCTTAGTCACAATACTATTGTTAACTATTCGTTGGATTATTGTTCTATATGAATGACTAAGGAGCATAGAATAAAACTGAGCATATGAATGCAACATACTATCTTTCCCCATGAAGAATTACATCTCAAGAAACAAAACAATCCTTTTATTGGTTCATATTTTCAATTTTTGTTAAGATTCATGTTAAAATCAAAATAAAAAACACTTATTCAATTGATAATTTCCAATTATTGCTTTTTGTTTTGAATCTTTCAAAAATCAATCTAAAATGTTCTGAATTGATCTTTCTATAGCAAGAAAATCATTTAGCATACGTAATAGTATCTGCAATAGCTTTGACTGTTCATGTAGTTAGTACAAAGTTTCTTTTTATATACTTATTTTTGTCAGTAGATCTCATTAATCAAGTATTAATTGTTCATTAACTAAAGAAATTTACTATCAATGTGTACGTAAAATATACTCTGAAAAAAAAGATATTTAAGTCATTTTTATGTATTCTAGTGATAGAAAGATTTGAGAGTAACACAAATTTAAGATATAGCATTTTTATATTTGAATAATTTTTATTTCGAGTGACAATTAATCAACAATTTGATCAATAGTTCTAGACTTTTCACAGAGGTTCCTTCCGATAATACAAACACAAAACGCTCAGATGATTCTTCATAAACTTCAATTTATTAAAATTGTACCCGTTTTCGTTTTCGAATTTATCAAAATTTTGTTTTTTTTCGATTTAATTGATCCTATTCACTTTTTTTATTTATACATAATTGCTAATGAATCATCACGTACTTTTGTTGAAAGATCTTTTATATTTTCATGTAATCTTAATAACAATCAATTTGTGCTTAAAAAAGTTGGTATTTTCTTAAGTGGTTGATTCATTTTGTTTTGGTACAGTTAATCAAACGTCTGTGAGCTTTGCTAGAAACTAATGAGGAAACATATCCAACTGTCAGATCGCTTTCGAGTCAAGAATAGGTGCATCTTGTAGAGCTCAGGGAGCTAGGTTCATCCTGAAAAGGATTCGTGTCCATGACCTGTTGCTGAGGAGATCGAGTGTTTGTACTTTTACAGCTCGAGATATCGAGGATGTCTCAACTGTATTATATCAAAATGATCTTCAATGTTGATAAAATCATCAGCATTTGTAGAGCTTTTAATTCTAAACATTTTCATAAAAAAAAATTTTTCAAAATGCTTTTGTTTTGATAGAGGTAGCCTCAAAAGACTTTAACCAGTAAAAACCTCGAAAAGCCCAAGAAAACTTTTTTTAGAGTTTTTTTATTTTTATTGCTTTAAGTGTTTTGAGTCTATCTCCATCAAACAAAAAAAACGTTTTGAATAAAATTTTTTTATGAAAATGTTTTGAATTAAGAGTTCTACAAATGCTGATGATTTCATCAACATTGAAGATAATTTTGATGCAATATAGTTGAGATATCCTCGACATCTCTAGCTGTAAAACTACAAACACTCGATCTCTTCAGAAACAGGCCATGGACACGAACCCTTTTCAGGGTGAATATAGCTCACTAAGCTCTACAAGATGCCTCTATTCTTGATTCGAAAGCGACCTGACAGCTGGATATGTTCCCTCGTGAAATCGATTGTTGAGGGGGAGACCTGAATTAAATATGATTCCTGGATTATTCGCCAATAAATACTTTAAAATAGATATACATAACGTTATCAATAGTTTGTCGTATTTTCAAAAAGGCACAAAGACTAGGTGAACACTGAAAAAAAAAACAGCTTTAATTGTGAAATTTTACACCAATAAACGTCATCATGACATGAACTTGAAAAACGTCAGTAAATTATTAGTGTCTAAATATGATGCAACAGTATCATAAATTAATTAGTTTACTATCGAACTGGTCTTCAGTGAAACTAAAAAAAAAATACAAAAGATTTTTATACAAATGCATCTCCAATTTTTCGCTGTTTGTTCATTTTCATATTCGTTTGAAATTAACTTTAATTTGGATAATATATTTTCATAATATCATTGTCGATGAATTAATTTTTAATCTTTTAGTTAATATAGAATAACTTCAACAAAAAAAGCATAACTAATAATGTGCGACATCAATAATGATAGATATCACTGTGGATTATAAGGATTGGTTGGATAAGATCCAACTATATTTTTTAACATTAGATATATTTTGACTATAACCCATTCATTGGTGCATGCCATGAATCAGTACTCGGACAATTAAATTAAAAAATGCATCAACGAAATAATAATGCTAATATGACTGCAACAGTGATGACATCGACACGTTCAGGTAGTGTTCAACAAAATGATACCATCCATGCTCGACTTGTTACTTTTTGTTCTACGTCTTCGAAATCTTCATCGATATCAACGAATGAAGTCGAACATCCTTATGTTCCTCGTCCATCAATTGAATCAGATTTTATATTTGAATCATGTCTTGTTGCCTTTAAAATAATCTCACTTTTCCTACAATATTTATTAATATATAAATCTGAAAAATGGATTGGATCTTATGGTACATCAACAGATTCATTTATTCATTGGCATCATATTGATCGATATATTGTTTTGATGTTAATTATATTTTGTTTATCATTACAAGAAAAATTCTTTATACTTAAAGTATTAATTAATATAATTGCATTAATTTATTCATTTTGGATTTATTCATGGAAATATGTACTTCTATTTACATATCCACTTGTTTGTTTATTACTTATTAATCAAGATCATAATACAAAGTCACATAATCAACAACAAATATTAGTATCATCAAATACTTTACCAGGACATTGGTGTTCAACAAATGCATGTGATTTACGTTATGAAACTGATTGTCTTCATATTGAATTTCATCAACGTATTCGACATATATTATTTTCATCATTTTTATCAACTTATTATATTTGTATTGTTCCAATAGCATTTTGTAATACACATTATATACGTCTAGATATAATTCTTCTTCTACAATATGGTTGTATTTTATTTCTTAGTTTAATTATGATTTATACAAGTCATTATCTTCCTTTGGAATTATTAACTGTTTTTCATCGTAATGGAAAACATCTTGGTTCATGGCAATGTTTAACAAATAATAATAATTCACTTCTAATACCATTATGGGATGAAAAAAATCAATTAGCATATCAACCAAATTCAATTGTTAAATATAAACAACATATTTATCGTTCGTCAAATAATTGTTCAACAGTTGCTGAACCGGGTAATATGTGTCATACACGTTTTTCATTTTTATTTAGTCGACCTTTATTTTTGCCACTAATATTATGTTCATTACAAATAATACTTTTAATTATTCAAATAATATTTCTTTTTATTGATCAACGTTGGTTTGTTCTTTTATCACAAATGATACTTTTTATATTTAATACATATACTATACATCATACAACACGTGATGTGTATTTACTTTATTTAGTTTATTGTGGAGAATGAATGATCATATGTGTTGCTTTACTTTCTATTCAGATAAAATACAAATAACAATAAGATGCTTTTTTTTTTTTGTTTTCTATAAGCTTTATTTATTGTTCTTGTTGTATTCGTGAATGACTTTGTTTTATTTTAGATATCAATATGATGAAAAAACTTGATTATGTTAATTTACCTGGTATTGTAAGTATGATAAAAAAATGAAATTTTTATAGAATTAAATATGTTTATAATAGGTTAATGATCAACCAGATTGTTTTGAAACACCTGATTATCCAGTAAATGAACAATTTCATGAAGTTGGACATGATCAATCGGATGCTGTCAATCAATTTGATATAAATGCAAAAGAAGTTCATGATGGATTGAATGGAAAATATCTTAATGGAAAAGTAGCGAGTATGTTGAAATATTCAGCAAAATATTTTTTATTTATCTCTGATTTATTCTTTCATATAGATTTTTCTGATAGTTCACTTAAAGCTCGTGGTTATGTTCAACATGGTATTTATCAAAATGTAAATAAATAATCTATTTCAGTGTTTTACACAGCGTGAGAGCTAAGTAGAGATCTACATTAGAGTCAACTAAATGTCTCACTTGTCAGTCAGATATAACACAGAAGATTTTTTGAATTATAACTTTTCACTCTTTTGTATTTACTGTACAAAGTGATAGGTTTTCTAACTTCAATTGATGTCTCTTTGAGATCTATGTTCATGAGAAGAAGTTGAGGTCAACCTTGAGTCTGACTTTTCTTCACCTTTGTAAAGCGTTGATGAGACATGAATCGAGCTTTCGAAATGCATCAGTTTGTATAATGAATATTAAAAAATACAAATCACTATTCAAAAAAACTTGTAGTGTTCAACCTCATTTACTGGTAGAAAATTCAGAGAGTTTTGATAGCTCCTAAAAATCACTCCAATGCAGGTCTCTAAGATCGAATGAGGAACGCCCCTGTGAAGATCGCATTGGCCTTCCGAAGTTTGTAGTTATTGTGCCACATACTATGTTTCTGTGCTTCAAAAAATAGGTGTTTGTTCTCGTAGACTTTTTAATCATCTTTCCGAAAAAGAAAATCTGGACAAAATACTAATCTATCTATATTATTATTAATATATATTCTTATTGATTTCAAATTAGTATGCCGAACATGAAACTGAAACACCAATTGAACGTTATAAACGTTTAATGGCTGAATTACAAGAATTAGAAGAAGAATTTAATCGAGTAAATATTAAAATAGATTTATTTTTTTGAATCTATTTATATTTATATTTTAGGCATCAAAAGAAGGTTTAAGTAAAGAAGAAAGTGAAA